AGCGCTGGCTCACGGAAACCTCGAGAGACATCCTGGATGAATCGGATGTTACATTGGCCGTCAAAACACAGCTCATTTACCCCAGTGGTACTGAGAAGGCTGTGGATGGCCATCCACATAGGTAAGATCATTTATTTTCGTGTCAATGGCACCTTCATATGCTAACATCTTTTTCCCCTGGCAGATGGCATGTTGCACAGGCTCTCCTCGGCCTTGTCGAGGCTCATGTTCCCGACCTTCGCCAGAAGTTCGGCCGCCGTATTGAAGTGGAGAAGCATGGCTTGGCCTTTCCGCGAGTTTATATCCTGGACTCGGAAGTCGAGCAAGAGTTGAAGCGACGTATCATTGATGATGTTTGTGCTGGAAAATCACCTACCTTCCATCTTGCTGAGTCTGTTCAACCGAGCGTTAAGGCAAGACTGAAGCACGCTCTGAGCGATCCAGTTGTGGAAGACTTCCAAATCAACAAGGCGAAGCGAGCTTTTGTTGACAGAAATTCTGCTGGTGACAAAATCCTGCTGCTTCGAGGTTTGATACACAGCGGTATTCTTTTGCTTTGTCTGAAGAAGAGATGGAACGTACAGTATGGGCTGCATCCCGGTCGTATACCCATTGCCGTTCCCTTCGAGGTATGTTCATTGTATCCGGTTCTCCTTTTCAAGGTGTTTAGCTAACGTATACCGCTTGTACTAGGCAAAGGGTGTCCCATCCGCCAACGCGGAGTTCGGTCATCCTGACGTCGCCATCATCTTCACTTGTCTCGCCTTTTACTACTCTGGTCTAACTTTGAAGCAATTCACCGACTGTCTTGGCAGCGTTCTGAAGTCTGATGACCCGCAGTCTGAGTACGACATCTGGACTCAGGGCTGCGCCACTCTTCCTCAGGATCTTCGACAGTGGAATCTGATCAATGCCGAAGATCATCTTCAGGTAGACCAGTTGTGGAAGCTACTCCGGCTCAACAAGGCAGTGTTGAATTATTATCTCAACACATTTGTGTTTCCGAAACACTGCAAGCAGTTCGAAGTCAAACTTCAGACATCTGGTTGGGATATTCCTCTCTTTCCACGAATAACCGACAAGCAAGCACAATCAGCTCGGACCACTGGCTTCAGCGGTACGAATGACAACAAATACTTGCTTCCACTTACCATCAAGCAAGATGACCTCCCCAGTTTGTCACAGACCAATGCCGAAGTCCTCACGTATCTTCTTGAGGGAAGAAACCGGGGGTACGAGAAGCTGGCTGAACATTACGGGAGACAAGCTGGGAGAAGACTAACGGAGTCTGAGCTTCTTAGACGCTTGTCACAAAAAAGAATACGTATCCTCATTGATGCCGGTGCGTTTGTGCTGGAGAAGGGAAACCAGGAAGTGGTAAAAGAATGGCTGAGTTATGACACTTACAGCCCGGCGGCGGTCTTTTTCAATGAAGACAACAAGGCCATGGTACTGTCCCGCGGGTCCAGAAAGCCGGTTTCATTGCTAGCCACCCCATATGCGGAAAACCTGGAAGACTGCCTGGTGTATCTCGACGAAGCGCACACCCGCGGGACAGATCTCAAATTACCACAAGGAGCTTGTGGAGCTCTGACATTGGCATTGAATCAGACCAAGGATCATACTGTTCAAGCCGCTATGAGACTTCGACAACTGGGCACAACGCAGTCAATAGTCTTCTGTGCGCCACCTGAGGTCGATCATGACATTCGGAAAGTGTGCCAGCTCTCTTGGCTAGACCACATCAACTCCGGACATTGCGTACGGTGGCTCCTTGAAATGACCTGTCGTGCTAACGAAAGTCTTCGCCCATTGTACGTGGCACAAGGGACTGATTTCTGCAAAAGGATGAACTCCGCGTGGGAGAATCCAAACTATGTCGGTTCGACGAAGCACCGCGACGCTCATATGAGCGTGATTCTTCAGAAGGAGTGCTCGACATTGAAGGAAATCTATGGAAGCAAAGCGCAAATTTCGGGGTTGGATGTTGGTTTTCCGGCAATCAGGAATCCGGAGCTGCGATCCTTCTACGAAACCCTCATGAACAAGAAGAAAGGCCTTGCTCATACCACGTCCGAGGCCCTTGCTTGTGCCCTTGATGAGGTAGAGCAGGAGCGCGAAGTTGAGTTCCAGGTTGAGGAGATCCGCCAGGTGCGCAAACCCACTCATTACGATGCCTTGCAATTTCCTGGGATGCATCCAAACATCCTGAGGTTCATAAAGAAGGGTGTGCTACGGGGCACGGATGGCTATGAGCATGCTTTCACCACCCTAGGGAGGACCACACTGGGGAAAAAGTATGAGGTTCGCTCAACAAGCTCGAAGCTCTATGTGTCATCCGAGTTCCGGCGCACTATCTCAGCCAGCAAAGACGCAGGCGATGACTTTTTTGTAAGTCTTACCTAGTCATGTAAAGGAGTAGGTCAATTAGCTAACTGATTTGATGTTGCAGAGACCCGTAGAATGGATTCTCTACGCTCCCCGCACTCAGACGGCCTTGATACTCATTCCTGAGGAAGCCGAAATAGCAATCCCCATGTTGCGTGCCGCTGAAAACCGCAGCCCGGTCCATCTCATCCCCTACGCTTCGCCAGTCACGCGAAACATGACCTCGCTAGGCCGACTTACCTATTACGCCTTCCCTTCGCTACCTAAAAGCACCAAAATTCCAGACTGGCTTACAATCGAGATCGGAATCCTCGCCGGTCGTCTTTACTTTGACTTTACCGAGTACGGCGCCATTGTCAAGTATCTCCAAGCGGACAGGGCCATTGAAGCAGAAGGAGAAGGCGCCGACGAAGACTGCAGACCAACGTCTTTGCTCGTTGATGGCAACACTGAAGTCGAATTTGCCAAGAATCCCCTCGCCTTCGTCCTTGACTGGCTCACACAGCGGAGACGCGGACAGGACATCACGCATACCCCTATGGGATACGTGTGTCAGCGCCGGAAGCTGAGCGCTGAACATCCGTTTTTCAGGTCGTCGGAGGCGGAGTTGTCGGAGGTTGGCGGAACGTCGCCAAAGAGAAGAAGCGACAAAGAGGACGAGTCAGACTCGGATGGAGAGTATGACATGATTGAGATGGACCAGTCGGACGATGATGGTGGCGAGGATGTGTCTGCGGTTGAGGAATGGCACCGTGAGGACGAGTGAAAGATGCATGATTCTTTCAAGGATAGTAGCAGGCTAACTGACGATGCGGATTGAAGATGAGGCGTCAGTTCGAGAGCTGATTGATGGTGTTATTTGCTTTGGACATTTGCTCATGGCGGGCCTTTGTTGGGGTGGAGTTATTGTCGGATTTTGAGGGACTTCTGCTTGGTTGTTGGTCATTTAGGGCAAGCACTGGATTTGTAGTAGTAGCGTTGTCAGATTATGTTGTTTGTGGTCTTTTCCTATTCGCCTTTTACTGAACAGGACTTCGAGCTCGTGTGGGTTGATTCACCCACACAGCGTTCATAGGACCACTCAGTAGAGGTACTTGCTTGTTTCAGTATTCGTTTTATCTAGTTCCGTTCATTGAATACACAACTCTGCTGTAAGCCATGAGCATGTCGCAGTGAATCATACAGAAATCGCTGTGTTTGTAACTCTTTGACATGCTACACTCTAACATAAGATTTGTAGGTGGTATTCTGCCCACAAGTATAAAAGACAATGATGCCAATAAGATGCGTATAAGCGTTGCCCGAGAGCATCGAACAAACCCCGTCCGTTCAATAACGAGATAAAGAAAAAGAATGAAAAAGAAATACGGCACGACGACACCCGAATGTTGTAGTGAAGCAACATTGACTTCGTGCGTAACGCAGAATAAACTCTGCAAGTCGACAACTAGAGGTAAGTATTGACTGTTTATGAACTAAGGCTACATGTGTGAATCGAGCCCACTGCCTCACCTGGCAATTCCGCGAGTAGGGAAGCATCCATGACGGCTCAGCCACTGGCCCCAAAGTTTGCTTTAAGGTGTCGCACTTGAGGGAAGCAATGCCATTTGCCATTTATAGATATAGGTAGGTACATATGATAGGTACATAGAGTGAAGGACCTCCTTCTTCGCGGCTAGATTATGCTCCTTTGAAGGTCCATGAACCAGCCGAACAGCTACAGAACTTGCTATGAGAGTGATGCACTACAGTCCAAGACTGCTTTGTTAATAAGCTCAAGACCTTGGGTGAACTCTGCTAGGCTTTTTCGGCAGCCTATTCATGTGTTTTGACCCATTGTTGAAGCGTGATGTATGCGCTGGTGATCAATAAGTACCTGTGACAATGCGTGCGACTCCTTGGTGTGTTACTTACCTGTAGTGATAAAGATCCGTGATCCAGTGAATTCGCTCATGGACAGTGATGTAGCAAAAGCCTTTGCGTCTACCTCATTTTCTGATGCAAATATTGTCGGAGCCTAGGTACCGATTGGTTTTCCTGGGATGCCACTACCATGATATAAAGAAATGTCTTTAGGAGTGGAAATATATAACTCGAGTCTTTTTTCTATTCATTTTTCATTTCAGATTCATTCGTAATGTTTTTAGTGAATCGTTTCTTGTCATTGGCGCTACCTTACAGTCGGGGGCTCGGGATCGGCACAGATTAGCAGGAAACCAAGCAACTCGGACACTCTGGCGAAACGTCACAGCGATAGCGATTTCGAATTCAACAAGCTATCAAAAATAATTCAAGAGGTTCATGTATGCGTGTGAGAAGGTATCAATTCACTGAGCGGAATAGTCATGGTGTTGTTTCCATTTGTCGAAGGTCCCTATTCTTCTCTTCGCAACAACTTTGAGAAGTGACTGATCATGCTACTCTAGCCCATAACCCATGCATCAATCCATATCTCAGCACGCCCATACAAGATCGCTCGAGAAGGGCTATAGACCACAGTACAAAAAGCATTTGTTGATCCATCCGTCATGCCATCTCACTCCTCCATGGGGATATCATCCTCGTCCTCCTCGTCAAAACCACCCTCGAATCCCTGGGCGCATTCCTCCACCTCACTCCTCCTCAGACTCTTCCTCCGAATCTGTGCTATACAAGCCGTTCATCTCCTCGTCATCAGGCTCCTCGATTTGGAGCTGGATCGGCACCCTGACAACATCCCAGAACACAGCAGCCTCGAGAAATCTGTCGACTGCAGCCGCTAGAAGGCAGCGACGAGAAGGGTCCTGTAAGGGGAGGTGCTCTGCAGCGAAGCTGAGGAAGCGCTGACGGGCCTCGATCATGGCCAGGAAAAGTGCTTGGAAAGTGTGGGGGCTGAGGAGCTCCCCAAGCTCGGTGCCCACACGAGCCTGTTCAAGGAAGGAGTCATCCTCCCAATTCCAAATGTTGAAGTCGTCGTCGCCGACGCCAGTCATGCCGATGCCGGCCATGAAATCGTATGGGTTAAGCATCGCTACGTTATTGCGCACAAGGCGCGTGGATGTGTCGACAATGTCGACAAGCAGACGCTCAACCTCCCGCTTAGCAGTCATCCTCATGTTGGGATGTACCAGCCCAACAAGCTCATGCAGAGCCGCGTTAACAGCCCTGTCACGGCGCTCGGGCTGCAGGATGTTTCGGCCGTGGTGGTAGTTCCAACGGAGCCCCATTCTGGGGAGGATGCGCGTAAAAATGGCCAGCTGTGCGGGAGCAGACATCTTGAGACGAAGTGTCTGTACTCAACAAAGGGTCAGCGGTTATTCATTATGCTTATGGAGTTTAAGATAGTTCATGTGAGAAATCGCTGAGCCCTTACGACATGGCTAAAGGTGGCTCTGGACTTACGTTCTGGTGGGGAGTGCGTGGGTGAGAACTTGGTCAAACGCGTGACAACGTCAACGGAAACTGAAAGGGCGTCGATGTCAGCAATCCATATACCGTATTATAAGCGCCTGCGATGATATATGTTCCGTACTTATATGAAGTGTGTGCGTTGTTATGTTAAGATGATCTCGTCGTGATTCTCGCGGTTGTCGAGGAAGAGAAGAAGTTGCGGTCGAAAGTTGAAAATTTAAGGAGGGAGAGAGAATCAGCGAGTACGAGTGATGGGATCGAGTGCAGGAGAGAGAATTGGTGCCTGAAATTTCCCTCCAGCTTTGCGTTTGCTATCTTTCTATTCTACCAATAGCAGAATAGCGAAAACGCGTATCGTGTTCGAGATGAGATGAAAAGCACTTTTTTTGCCCTTTGCTTGTTATTATACAACATGTAAGGAAGGCACGGCAACCGAAAAGTAACCTATCTCCACTAATGTAACCGGTCCTTAAGGGCAGGCTGATTAGCAGACACAGTCATTCCTTTCGAAACGCTTATACCACTTGTGCCACTGTCCATAGTTGGAGGAGTCGAGACTCAGTGTTTCAAAGCGGGAATGATGGATAAAAGTCGATGGTCATCATTGGGGTCATCAAGGAATGAAAACGACGTACATGGAATATGGCGGAAGCCGGGATTGACTTGACAGTTCATGGCCAGCTTCGTCGTGATAAGAGTGCAATACTCTTTGCGAAAAATTGTTGAGGAATGAAGGATGCTGATGCTTGAACAACACCTCCGACTCGTTCATAAGTAGACTGTTATTCTTGGATCATGTTTTGCCGAGCTGAAGCCATCTTCCACTTTCTCTTTAATCACTTGAATGCGAGAGTAACCTGGAGAAAGAGTCCCTCCGCCTTCTCTACTTGTAGAACGGGCTCAAAATGTTGCCTCGAGAAAGTGCATATGAGCAAGTGAACGGCCACGTTGTTGCCTATTATCACAAGGATGGTACACCGTCAGGTCAAGTGGAAGTTCCCTCATTAAAAAGACTCCAAGTACATCTGATGAATGCGGACAGACAAGAACATGAAGCAGGTCATTATAGAGTAGGAACGAACATAAGGAAACAGAAGCCAGGAGGACCAGACCTACTGGAGGCGAGTGCCACTGAGCGGGAGCATATTAAATAGCCGCAAAAGGCACAGCTGGCCAACAACATTGAGCTTGCAAATAACACGTCCGCGCTAAGGGACACCTCCAATGCAGGGGCACTTGGGGAAGGATCATAGCGCCCATCACCTCCTTCCTTCTTCATGCTACGTCCTGGCATAGGTGACCATGCTTTGTGATGTGGTGAATCTTCTGTGTTGTTTTGTGAGGAAGGGAATCAGGCCATCTTCGGAGCACCAGGTGATAAGTTGTCAACGGACAATAGAATAAGATAAACCTATGGAATAAGATGGAATTTAAGCTGTGTTCTGCGGGCGCTTCGGACTTCCAGATTCAAGTTCGATAGATGTGCCACCTTGAGCGGCTGGAAAGACTTGCCGGAACGTAACCGACCTGCCGGGACATTCTTGCCGGACGTACTTGGCCGCCGGACACGCACCCCCCACAGCACAGCCCAGCCTAGTGACGGGACTGCCAGCTACCTAGCACCAAGCCTGCAGGCAGGCCCTATATAGATAAGATCAAGTGCCAAGGTCTCCAACGAAGACGATACCCGAAGTTAACTTTGGGACAATGGCTGAGCGGTCATTGAGGCGCGCCTGAGGCGCCCTCACCTTGAGGCAGTGGGTTCGATTCCCACATGTGGCCCCAGTTCTTTGAACAGATGTAGTTGGCAGACCTTATCCTGTGCTTACGCGCAAAGTCCATGCTGCCACACTCCATAAGTCAAGTATCGTTCCTTTGTTATATTTTTTTTTTAATATTTTTGGGTCTGTTCCCCTTTATCAGAAAAATATACGCTGGGGTTTGTTTACTACTTCGTCGCTGCCTGTCCACGCACATCTTGTCAGTTAGCACCTTTTTCCTTCTCTCAATATCCTCTTGCGCGAAGGACTATGGTTCTCAACTTTGTAGCAACATAGCAAGGACATTCCACCCTTGTGACTATTATTGCCGTGCGATGCGTGTGAAATGAATATGTATTGGGACACCCCGCATTCAAAATCACCGAGCTGAACCTGGAGGTAGGTAGATCCTCGGATGTTTTCCTGGAGATTTTCTTGCTGACTCTATTCCAACATCGCACATTGTAGGTATACAGGCCAATGTCGTGCCTTGTGGTACTACAGGCAATGTGAGGCCACATCCTAATGCCACGGGCCAAATCGACACCTGCATGTGCCAGGCCTATGGCATTGATGAGCGTTGGCAAAAGTCAACTACACGTTGCACGATCTAATAGAGACCTTTATACAAGCTTGAAAGGAATAAACTCATTTTTATCATGCCTCCCATATCCATTGGTGATATCCTCCTCGCAGCGGGCAAGTAATGCCTGTCAGACAAGGGTCGTTGGATCCATTTTGGTGGAGGCTCCCGCAGTCCCGCCGCTCCACTGAGGTTGCATACGCTAACCCAAGTTATAACTGAATGGCGCTCCACGTGACAGGGGGTGTGTGCTTGGCTGTGACACGGCATTCCGATGACTCTCTTTTGCTGTTTCCTTGATTTGCATATTCTTCTGCCCCCTCCATCCAATTCACGGCTGCTTCAGTATCATGTCCTCAACCTCACACTGATTGCCGCGCATTCTCACGCACAAGACTTTTTCCCGCTGATTTCCCCTGCTCCTGTACCTCATACATTTGCATCTCCTGCATCTGCCACGTTCGTCCCGTCCCGTCTCCATCGGTTCCTGACTCCGCTACCCCGCCATTTACGTCATACGCAATGGCATCCTCGACCGCACAGTCTGGACCAACACGGGGACCTTTTGAGCCGCCGGTACCAACACCACAAACAGAACTGAAACAGCCGCCAAAGCGACCCAAATGGTGCCTCACCGAACATCTCCTGACAACGTACGGGTACGAATTCCAGACGGCCACGCAGCATCCGTTTCTCGAGGCAGCTGCCAAGGGTGAGCTCCCCAAGGACGTCCTGAGTCGCTGGCTCGCCAACGACAGGCTGTACATCCACAGGTAGGCCGCTTCTCTCATCGCCCAAACCCAACTGGCATTGACACGCTTCAGTTATATCCGCGCCGCCGGAAAGCTTCTCTCTACCATCGACTTGCCCCAGAAGATCCCGGCGCCCAAGCAAGATGGATCCGAGCCCGAACCCGAACAGTGGGAAACCCAGCTGGTGGACTGGCTGATCGAAGCCCTTGGCGCCGTCCGCAGAGAGGAGAGAATGTTCATCGAGGTTGCTGAGCGTTACGGCTTGAAAATTGACCTCACCAGTCCCGCCGCAACAGCGAAGAGCGTCAGCACCAGCACCAGCACCAGTGTCGAACACCATCTCCACGCTCCTGCCGCCAACGTTCTCACCATTCCCGATGAGCAAAAGCTCCCTGGCTTGCTGCAGATTTCCGAGCTCTTCTCCACCATCATACCTGCCCCCATCCCCGTAGCACCCGCGCGCGGTCTCGTCGTTGCCGTATCCGCTGACAAGTCATCGCCCGACGACCCGCCCTCTACCCCTGATCCTGACCAGACCGCGAAAGCCAGCGAGAGTGAGAAGGACAAAGAATCACAGCCTGACGATGAAGACGAACCAGAGGAGCAACCAGTTCATCCTCCTCCCGCTCTGCCATGGCTCGAAGGCGCTCTCACCTTCTATGGCACCGAGCTCGCCTACTTAGCCGCCTGGTCCTATGCTAAATCTCTACAAAACAAATATTCTGCGGGCGCCACCTCCCGCTCCGCTGGCACCCAAGGCCAAGAGTCTTCGTCCTCAAACAGCCCCCCCAGTGCCCCGAGACAATATACAACGCCTCCGCATACCTTCACTACCACAACTCCTGTCACTTCCCCCGCCCCATCCCGCGAAGCGCTTTCCGCATTCTCCTCGCCACACGTCAGCATTCAGCCGTTCCAGCCCCCTCCTCCCCCGAACAGCGCTTCCGGCGATAGATCTGCACCGGGAACGCAGGATGCGGATGGCGGCGCCCTGAGAAACGAGTTCATCCCCAACTGGAGCAGCGTGGAATTTGCACTCTTTGTTAACCGGCTGGGACGAATCATCGATGGTGCCGTGTCCGAGTTACTCGAAGCTGCGGGTGGAGAAGGCCCGGTGGCGAATGCGGCTAAGGGGGCTATTCTGAGGAGAGTGGAGGGCAGATGGAAGAGCTTGATGGTTGCTGAGGCGTCGTTTTGGCCCGATATCTAGGAGGTCGGGGGCACTCTTGGGGCTTATAAAGTTGGATTATCGTTGGGATGAAGACATCAAAATTCTTTGGTTTTATGGATGGGATCGTAGCATGACCGAATGTTATTCGTTATTTTGGATATACCTCGGAGAGATTCAAAGTACGCTGAATCCGGAATATACAGAATCTTCTTGCCCTCCTGCCCTGTTCGCTGAAGGCGCTACGTCGTTGATCTTGGAAGCAGCCATGTGAGTTTTGGTCTCTTTCTCCTCCTCCTAACGTACACGCGGACACTCCCGAGAGTCTGAAGAAGGCATAGATCCTACGCTGTGCTGCTCCTCCTTCCCCCCCAAGACAACCGTCTCTTCACGCCCCTCCCCATCGCCAAAGTCATGCTTTGGGGTTTGCTGACTGCCTCCAACAGACGACTTGTGTGTCTGAGCAAGGTCGGGCAAAAACCCGGCATCCTTGCCGTTTGCAAGATTGCCTGCAAGCGTAGACGTAGAATTCTGGACGCCCTCCAGACCCGTACCCCGCAGGAGATCCCCAACAGAACCACGATGATTTTTGGGGATCAAATCCGGACCAAAGTTTGGAAGTTGTGACCCGATCGAACCGGCTGCAATGTTAGAATCGGCTCTCCCACCAGTCATCCTCCCACCCCTGAACTTCCTCCTATGGTGCTTTGACCTGGGATTCTTAGCCTGCAAACTAACCAGTCGACCGCGCACTATCTCGCTGGACTTGTGATGCTGCTTGCTCAACTGCCGCATCTCGCGCCTGACACGGGTATATACCTCCGTTGCTGTATCGAGTACTCTTCGAATGGTTTGTAGCTCGGCTACTTCGGCTAGGGAGAGGATGCTGCTGGCGCCAGGAATGCTGTTGCGCTCGGCAACGGTGGCGGTACACCCAGTGGCGACGGCAATGCTTCCGCCCTGCGCGACGACGGAGGCGAGAGCGGAGAGTTTGAGCGTGACTTGGGAGAAGGTGTCGGTGAGGGTTGGGAGGTCGAGGAGCTCTGATGGATTTGGATCTGGGTTCGTGGTGAGAGCGGTGGGAGCGGTGGAAGTGAGAGTCTCGCGCTGACTGGTCTTTGTGGGACTGGTGGCGGGCGTTGACATTGTGCTTTTTCTGTCTGACGGTTCCCTCTTGATATTAGAGATGAGTGTTGATGGTGATGATCTTGGGGTAGTAATGATCTGTAGTGGTGAAAGATTTGTGGTGGATGACGGAGGCAGAGAATGAGTAGATACAGGAGTTTCCGACAACTTAAATATCAGGACTGGTGGGACATGGACAACTGGCGTGACTGGCGATTCGTCCGCTTGTTTGTTTGTTTGTTTTATCGATGTATGCAAACGGAGCCTGAAACAGTAATTGCAAAGGTAGTTGGCCGAACGAGCTGTCGGAGGCCTGTCGTGCGTTAAAAGTCTTCAATTTTGGTTGCCTATGCGCAGTTTGCATTTAACGGTTTGTGTTTGGTCAATGATTATGCATATTCATGTATGATTACGGCATTCAGGGCGGGTTGTCATGAGTCTAATTTGGTGTACCAGGCTAACGAACAAACCAGCATTGGACTTTACTTCTGTAGTACAATTATCACGCCAGTTTTCAAGAGCATGCTGACCGCAACGTCAATCCTGTGCCGAAGGCTCTAGGTCCTTGGAAAGCTCAGTTGACTCTGCTTCTCCAAGGTCACCTTTCGTCGAAGAGGCTTGCTCCTCCTCCGCTTTCAAGATCTCCTCATCAATCCGTCTGGACAAGTCCTCGTCACTGTAGCGGCCGTACATATGCCTGACCAGCTCACTCAACTGTACGGCCAACTGCGACGGAGTCTCTGCTGAATCGCGATGGCGTCGCATGAAGCGAACTCGAGCGGCGATGAGCTCATGAAACAGCTCGGCGTAGATATGTGTTGGCATTTTGCGTCCATTGCCGTTCCAGTTAGCAAGTTTTGCGAAAAAGTCGTACTCTTTGCCGGGTGCGTAGACGGCCGCCTTGTGGTGACGGGGGGCTTGCTGGTTGGCAACAAAAACCATGACTGCCACCTCAAAGGAGACGTTGCTGGGAGCAATGGGAATGTAGTTTCTTCTAAAGGCGTGGAGAACTAGTTCGTCGTGCTCAAGGCTGCGTAGAATGTGTGGGCGATCTTCCCATAGCATGCCCCTGGTAGGCAGTAGACACTCCTTGAGGGTCATGTTTGGTCGCCAAGGAGTGGACGCCATGGTTGCGACTTGTGATAACACCTGCGACTGAGCGTGTAAGTTTTCTGAGAGCTGTAGAGAAATGATTGACGGGAGCAAGGGGAGGTTGGAGACTGCGATATCGCAAAGTCAAAAGGTGTCTCAAAAGTTGGGAGCGCAGAATTGCGTAGGTACTCGCACTCGAGCAGGGAAGGGAGTGGCTACCTTCGTGTGTAAAAAGAGCGGCCGTAATGAAGCGCTGTTGTTGGGGCCCGTCGATATGTCGAATAAGACCGTTGATCAAGTCCTGAGTATGACAGCTGCCATGGACTTTGTGTGGCTGATTTTTGCCAGGGAAGGTAGACTGGAGAGAAATTGAGGGGAGGAAAGGAGAGGAAAGTGAAAGAAAGTGAAGGAAGGTGGGGCGCAGCATTCGGGGAGTTAATGACCACCAGCGTGGTGAATACATGCGAGATACGCCCCTCCAGCACTGGAAGAGAAACGGTCAGGAGCACAGGTATTAATGACTGGCTCTCACAGGTTGACTGATGGTTCCCCGTAACTACGGCTGTCTAGGCGGACGGGTCTAGGAAAGGAGAAGTGGAAAGGTTCGCTGTTGTGGCTTGTCGTCCTATCATCATTCCTAATAAAACTCGAAGTAGGCAGATCTTCCCATGAGTATCTTGCTGGAAAACTCGGCAAACACGCCCACCCCGGCTATTGAACTTATCGGCCACCGTCTCTCGAATATTCATGAGCTTGACAGAAAGGATTCCGCCGTCGACGGAGTGCCATATCTCCTTGTCACTGGGGATCAACTGCAGATAGTTGCTTAGTCTAGGGAAAGCAACAATAGAGGAAAAGGAAGATGACGATATTCGTCCCCTCGGCTTCTTCTATGTCGAGAGCGAAACATCATGGTTAAGTCCCAAAGGTTTGAGAAGTAAAACGAGAGGAGTGTTTTGTAGTATGGGTCAGTGACACTTACGAATTTGGTTTGGACCAAAATCACATCGCCTCTGAACCTCCCGCCGCTCCTCCAATTTGCTCTGCAGCCACAGGTCCCTGTCCACCCTCTGCCTTCAGGATTTCCTCCTCAAGTCGCTTGGAAAGCTCGACATCGGAATAGTGCCCCTCTGTTTTCTTGAGAAAAATGTCCATCTTCTCGGCAACCGAGGAGATAGTTCCAGTGTAGTCCGGGTGGTGGGTCAAGAAACAGACGCGAGCGTTGACAAGCTCGCGGAAGAACTCGATGAAGACGTGCTTCGGCATGCGACGACCAATGCGGACATCTTCGGCCAGGGTGGAGAGAAAGTGGTACTCTCGTCCACTAATATCCTTGGGCTTCCCCCTCCCCCCTGGAAGAAGTCGGTAAAAACCGAGTTCTTGTCCGGCAACCATGGCCACAATGTTAAGCTCATAGCCAATGTTTCCAGGGCAAATGGGTAAACCATTCTTGAGGAATGCTTTCAAAACAAGCTTGTCGTGCTCCAGGCTGCGAAGTACGGTCGGGCGATCCTGCCACATGAAGCCCTCAAGTGGAACGCACTCTTTCAGCGACAAGTTCTCTACAAAGACGGGTCGGGACGTCATTTCGGAGGGGGTAGGTAGGTTGAGCTGTGATAATCTAGAGTCAGCTTTGGGTTTTGGGAGTATCAGAGAAGGGGCATAGGTGTTGACCCTAGGGCGGTTTACTGTGTGAATCTCAATGCGATCTGAAATCTGAGGAAACCAGAGCTCGAATTTTTTGCACGATAAGGTGGTGTATGAGGAAGAACCAACCTAAAGGTAGGGATATGCGGAGATAGGAGTTGTTCAAGATGAGTTCTCGTGAGTGTGATTCTTTCCACGCAGTGGCGCCAAAAGTAGAAGATACAGCGGGTTGGAAATGGACCCGAGGTTCTGTTGAGAGTCGCAAAGCAAGACTGCCGTTACAGATTGTAGCGCGCAACCTGGTAGGGAAGGAGAAAGAGGTGTGCTGTGTTGGCGGATCAGACTCCAAAGGCTACAGCCGGATTGGAAGGAAAGTGGCAGACCATGACCGGCAGGCACACTCACGGCTGCCTGACGAGCAGTGCCTTGTGCAGTTGCAAACGAGCAAAGACGGGCACCTGATCACTCGCGGGAACGGCCCGGCACAGACTAAACTGGGCTAAGCTCAGAGGTAGAGGCACTTATAAGGGACGGGCCCAGACGTGTTTTCAACAGCGGGTGGTTGGTCGAATGGAATTTGGTAGCGTACAGTTTACCACTACGCATTCAAAAAGCCATGGGTTCGATTCCCATGGCGGCAACTGTTTACTCAATATTTGCCCAGGCCCGCACTTTCGGGTGCACGGGGGTTACGACCGCCCACTTTGTCTCGCTCGGGCTACCGTAGTATCAGTTGTGACCGTTCGGGGGGATATCTTGGGGGTGGTTCCCTGGGATATCATGACCAACCACATATATTTCCTTTCTGTTTTTTCCTTTTTTGTTCTGGTCTCCTCCGCTCACTCCTTATGTGTTGATATGTTCTCAGATCATATTGATAACACGGCATTTGCTACAGGTTCTGGTCCTCCCTCTGACGTATGCTAGCATGTAAATATATTGCGAACCAAGTTGTCTGCCGACCGAATAGATCACAGCATTGTACCTTGGAGTAGTGCGTATTGATGTATTGCATGCAGCTGTATTTATAGAGGTAGTATGGAAGAAAACTTTGGTTGGCCGTGAGGAAGCTGATGAAGGATCATGCCTCACTACAAGGATATGTTGAGAAAACCGGGTGCAAGTTGTGAAAGTTATAGGTAGTGTAACACTCGACGCAACATCCGCAAGATGTTGGTGTCTGATCACATCCATATCAGGCGTAGTACGCACTAACCACATCTATCTTGTCATATTGTCACTTGTGCTCCACCCTCCCCTTAAGCGTACACGAAGCGGATATTGATCTTCTTCTCAATAGTACCTAGAGGTACGTTATGGCATGGTAGTAGAGAAGGTTCATGAATGGCGATGGTCATTTGCCATTCTTCTGTCTTATCAACAATCGATCTAATAGTGTAGAATTAAACCTTCGATGATATGTCGTCATCAACACTAGCTACAGGTACTATCTGATGCATGAAAGACAACATCTCTTCTCATATCACAAACCACATCCCATGATCAAACGACAACGAGCTCTAACAGAAAGCTATAGGGCGACGTAAAGAGAGCAGATGCTTTTTCTGGCCGAAAGACCAACGCAGTTGTCGCTCTGATGCGACGCCACTATCTGCCAGTAGTCTTTAAATCTTATAGGCGATCGCATTCTTCTTCGGGCTTTCGAAGACATGATATGGCTTCCAGGCTCAAGGGTCGTGGTGTGTGTCACCCATAACCTCGTCTTCCTCTTCATCGGTGAGGGGATCCACGTCAGCGAAGAGATCAACGTCGTCAACGTAGCTGTTGGTGCTCAAAGTCCAGATAGTGCAGCCATCAAAGTCTGCGACCAGTGAAGACACTGCGGCGGCACCAGTAACGGGAGTGTCCTCACCGTCAGAGTCGATCTCTTCTTGCTCCTCTGTGGTTTCATCGTTGTCGTCGTCAAGTTCCGCATGCTCCGATTCCATCTTGACAAGAATATCCATTCCATCCCAAAACCACGCTACCGTAAGAAATCTGTCCACCGCCTGCACCAAAGGGGAAACTGGATACCGGTCGGTACCTCCCTCCTCATGATCCGCGAGATAAGCTTCGCGGGCTTTGACAATTTCGGCAAATAACTCGGCGAACGTCGAAGAGCTCAGTCTTCTCGAGAGAGGATGACTCTCCCGAACACTCCGGAGGAAATGCAACGTAGCGTCGGCGGTGATGAGACCATCGCCGTGACCGAGACTCTCGAAAAAGTCCACCGGAGGCTTTCTCCTGATTGCAGCATCCGTAGCGATGTCCATAATCTCTCTCAAGGACGTTTGCAAATGTCTGGCCTTGAAGAAGAGCAAGGTATCCATCATGACGTACCAAATTGCCTTGTCGCGCCTCAATCGTGTGGTAACAGTGGTTCCGGCCTAATGGAACTTCATACCAACCTTTGGCATAAAATTCTTGAGTTTGTCCCAACGCTTGGTGGGGTCAGGCCGGGCAGGAGGGGCGGCGCGGGCAATGGGGAGAGTACCATCAAGGCGAGGACGTAGAGGCAGCGGGACGTTCGAAGAGCCAAAATAGTAGGGTTGGTAGCGGTTGTTGCCGCCATTTCCGTTGCTATCGCTACCGCGAATTGGGCCGGGCATGTTTCTGTAAGGGGTATTGTTAGCATCTCCATTTGTGAAAACTGTGGGCTGAAGATGTACATAGCGCATAGGCAAGTAAAGAGATAAGTCGCCCGGGGTCAAGTAAGAGTAGGAGTGAGGATGAGGGAAGATGACAATCTTTGTCACCTTGGCAGTCCCCTCGTAATAAGGAAAACCCAAATTTTGTTGATAAACTGGGCTTGAAAGGTCGTTTTAAAAATGGGGAGGTTGTTGGTTCAATAAGACTTACCAAATCGGCTTGGGTCGAAGGGCAAAAAAATCGACCGGAAATCTGATTGTAGAAAGACCAGAAAAGGCGCGCAGGCTGGTAAGTGATGGCGATGTTGATAATGAAGAGTGGTTGAAGGTAGATCTGAATTGCGAAGGAAGAAGTCGCGTACAAGTACTCGATTGGAGCTCTGGGGTATGTCACTCGCGTCGTTTGTGGTGCGGGGCGAAGTCTTGGTTGAAAGTTTGTGCATGCTGTGTGAGAGGAAAAAATAAATTTGGGGGAGGCATACTGTAGCTTGGCAGGAGCTCTTGAAAGTTCTAATGGAAGAGCCGTTTGGAGTGACTGTGGCGCCCCAGACCAGGTTCCTTCTCCGACACTCATGTGGCTTAGAGATCTTTACAGATGGGATGAATTGCGGCAAACCTCACGGAACGACAAATGAAAATCAGAGTGGAAACTCATTCAGCTGAAGGTTCATCGTAGAGAATTCACCACGCGTCAACGCAGGCCACAAATGTGTAACGGACGTATGCTTTGCAAATGTGTATTTACCTGAAGGCCTTGACGCTCAGGGAAGACGCATTAGCTAGACAGCTATTGCTGTAGAGCACAGGATAAGTATTGAGCGCCGTCAACGTACGAGGAGAACGGGTGACGCCTTTGCGAAGGGGTAAAGGAAAGTGATATTGTATCAAAGGGGGTCAAGTATCGCTTGTGCTCATTCGAACCAGAATTCGAACAGTCATGGCGTTATTTCGAACCGACTGATAGCTCGCTTGCCAACTTGGCTGCACGGATGCCGCGAACGCTGGAGTAGAAGACGGTGCAATTGCCGGCATGTTTGCAATCCTGCGCTAGCCTTTGCGACTCTCCTCTAGGTCCATAATTTGGAACAGAATGGGCGTACCTGGTTAGTATGATCAAGTCCGATAATCATGCTCGTGATGGATGGGATATCTGTGATTGCTGACTAAGTATTGGTGCCACGAATCTCTTGTGGGCCATCATGAGATGTCGCTCTGAGAAGAAGCAGATTGTTTCCCGCCCCAAGATAGTCCCATAGGCAGATATATGGATGACATCCTCCACCGCGGTCAACTGGGAGCTGATACTCACTATCGGCAGTGCACCTGGCCTGTGTGTCTGGGTGGATGGCTGGGTTATTGGAACAGTATTTCTTCTTCTGTCGTGGAGGGATTGCGAAAGGGGACCCATATTTGACTCGTTCGTAAAGTGATCACAGCACCCGTGTGCCGAAATCCCCAGTATTCATTGGTCTGGGTACGCTGTCATTGAGTGTCTGACCAGTACTATCATGCTTTGGAGACTAACAGATGGACTGAAGTCAAAAGTGGATTGATGCTGCTTGTCTTGAGTGGACTGCTCATGGATTGACGTTGATGAGGCTCAAGCGAATGTATGCATGCGAGGTCAGGGTATCCTGACTAGTAAGACCGCCGATCATGCGCCTCTGGCCTCGGCCGAATTTGGAGTAATGGTGCCACATGTGGCGGTGCAAATAAATGACTAAGCGACGCGACACGGCCTTTGCTCGGGCTGGTCGGCGTGGGACCGGGAGGACTGGAGACGGGCAACTGAACGGTGTCGCACAGGGGCCACGCCGCCAAGGGAACCAAGGGGCCAAGCACCCCCTGTGACGCCGCTGCAATCAGCCAGTATGTGGTCCCAACATTGCGCAAGAGAGACCCGAGCCAGGCAGGTGTCCACAGGGGGTACGCCGTTCCGTCACAGCAACATTGATGCCCGCATGCAATTTACCCACCTCCGTCAATCTTCCTTGCTGGCTTCATTTGTGGTATCGTTCCGCTCTCCCAGTCGTCACTTGAGACATCGTTATTGTACCATTTTTAGAACCCTCAACAACCTGGGCTCTTCTTGGTCCATCTCTGACACAGCTGAACTCCGACGTTCGTTGACCTACCACAAGCGTCATCCCATCGTTCTTAGTCTTTCCAGAACAGGGACACCGGGCACTATCGCCATCCCGGGGCACCTCGACCTAGACTTCTTTCTGTGTCTAGGTCACGCTCCTTTGCCCACCACCCTTCAACCAGGACGGGGTAATCTGCCCTACGCCCACGCTCTTTCTGGAACCCCTTTATAAGTCTGCGGACATCTAATTTCGATCCGATCCACTTCTTGGCCCCTCGTCTCCCCCTTCCCCAGACTTGGGCCATCGAAACTCCCCGTCTAGACTCCCATTCCGCTATCCTCTGGTTCCGAACCGACCGGGTCGCATGCGAACCACCGCCGCCCTCAACCCCATCGCGATCCTTCGCCGGCCTTCATAATGGCGCCCGATAAGAGCCAGTTCCGCTACGAGCCCGCACCCCCCATACCTACCTACGACGAGGCCATCGCTTCCGGCGCCGGCAGCCATACCGTCTTCGAAGCTCCACACTCCCCTCTCGATGCCACAGACCATACAGAAGGCCACTCCCTGCTCGGCGGTACGGCATCATCATCGAGCACTCATGACCGGACACGTCCACCGCGCGGCTACCAGCCACCCACAGTCGAGACAGACGACGAAGGAGAGTCGTGGGGCTCGTCTGACGATGATAGCGATTCCGAGGCCGATCACGTTCGACGCGAGATGCAAGAGATGGAAATAGACGACTCCAGCCACCGTTCGCAAAGTATATGGGGCAAGCGCATAGGGAGATTTTCACTACCACGATGGAAGTGGGGGTGGAGGTTACCACAAATATCACTACCCCGATTCAGGAGACACGATGCCAACGCCAGTTTGGAATCCGCTACGACGCCAGCCGCCAACGGTAATACGAATAACAGTAACAACGACGAACCACCAAGCTCTGGAAGTCGATTCGCCTTCCCGACATTCGGCAGCACCGCCCTTTTCCTGCTGGTTGGGCGCCTCCTCGCCCTGTTCCTTCTTCTCGGCTTTGTTTACTTGATATTCGTCTCCGATGTGTTCGGCAACATGTCGCGCCGCCTCGGCTCGGGCATGTTCAATCCCAACGATATCCGGCAATATCTGGAATCCAACATCAGTTCCAATCAGATCAAGGACAATCTCCAGCATTTCACCTCGTACTCTCACCTGGCTGGTACCGAAGGCGACTACGCCCTGATGGAGGATATCGAGTTGCTCTTCCGTAAATACGGTCTTGAAGACGTTTCGCGCGACACCTATCACGTATATCTCAATTATCCCAAAGTCGATGGGCGTGCGGTGGAAATCATTGACGACAAGGCGGACAACGGAAAAGGCAAGGCTATATGGTCTGCGAAGCTGGAGGAGAATGACCGGGCAACTGGGTTGACTGGACACCAAACATGGGCTTTTCACGGTCACTCGAAAACGGGTGATGTTCGCGGCCGGCTCATCTACGCCAACTACGGCTCGCGCGAGGACTTCCAGCGCATCAAGGACCTTGGGATCCAGACTGCTGGCGCCATCGCTCTTGTTCGCTACTACGGCCCCCACGCCGATCGCGCTCTGAAGGTCAAGGCTGCTGAGCTCGCAGGTTTCGCAGGTTGTCTCATCTATTCGGACCCACTCGATGACGGTTTCAAGAAAGGCGATACTGCGCCGAAGGGGCCTTTTATGCCTGCTGATGGAGTCCAGCGTGGCAGCGTCAGTCTCATGTCGTGGGTCGTCGGTGATGTGTTGACCCCGGGCTGGGGCAGCAGGGAAAACATGCCAAGAATGAAGAAGGAACAGACCAAGGGACTGGTCAAAATTCCCTCTCTTCCGCTTGCCTGGCGTGATGCCAAGGTCCTTTTGCAGCATCTCAAGGGCAAGGGCCAGCGTGTGCCGGAAGACTGGGTGGGCGGTGTTCCTGATGTTGACGAGTGGTGGACAGGCGACCACGAAAACTCGCCCATTGTCCGGCTCAAGAACGATCAGGACGAAAACGAGAAGCAGGCCATATGGAACGTATATGGAAGCATTCTGGGAATTGAGCAGGAAGAGAAGAAGGTCATCATTGGCAACCATCGTGACGCTTGGACTTTGGGCGCCGCCGACCCCCATTCGGGCACGGCCATCATGCTCGAGCTCGCCCGCGTCTTTGGCGAGTTGTTGAGAATGGGCTGGCGTCCGCTCAGGACTATCCAGTTTATGTCCTGGGACGCAGAGGAGTACAACCTCATTGGCTCGACTGAATTCGTTGAGCAAAATGATGATATGCTGCGTAAGGACGCGCTGGCGTACATCAACCTCGACACCGCAGTAACGGGCAACACCCTACACGTAGCCGGCTCGCCCGTGTTCAAGGGCCTCCTGATGCAGATCCTCGACATAGTCAGAGATCCCTATGAGAACGCCACGCTAAAAGAGCTCTGGGAGCGCAGAAATGCCAATGACCTCGAAGGCCTCGGCGCGGGCTCGGACTACGTCGCTTTCCAGGACATCGTCGGCACGTCCTCCATCGACCTGCACTTCGATGGCAAGGGCCATCCTTACCACTCCAGCTACGACACATTCGAGTGGATGGAACAGGTCGGCGACCCGGACTTTGTCCACCACACGATGCTGGGACAGGTCGTCGCTCTTCTCTTGTACGAGCTGACCGATCGTCCCGTCTTGCCGTTTGATATGGCGCACTATGCTGAGAAGATCCGTGACTGGACTGGAGAGATTGTCCGGTGGGTTGAGGATCAGGCCAAGAACGCAAAGAAGGATGCTGTGCCCAAGGAACTTACGGCGTCGCTCAACAGCATGATAAAGGCCAGCGATGAGGTCATGGAAGCCGTGCGTCGGTTCGTGGCATGGGAGCATGAGTGGCAGTCGAGTGTTATCGCGAGCGGTGGATGGGAGCCTTCGGGATGGGGCAGGAGGAGGTGCGAGTTTAATTCGAAGATGGCGTGGTTTGAGACGGATTTGTTGGATCCTGAGGGTGTAAGTCTTTCCTCTCCCTTCTCTTTGCCCTTGCTCTGCTGTCCTCTTTAATTATCTCCTCGTCCCCTCTCTTCCCTCCTAAAATGCTAACTCCCCCTTTACCCATTACAGATCCCAAACCGCACCCAATTCAAACACGTCCTCTTCGGCCCTCAACTCTGGTCCGGCTACGACGAGGCCTACTTCCCTTCAATCCGCGACACCGTCGACTCCGGGGACTGGAGTCTGGCCAACCGCACCATCGCCAAGGTTGCCGGCATTATCAAACGGGCGGCGGCGAACTTAGCGGAGGGGACTCTGGGAGGATAGAGAAAACCTTTGTTGAAATGGCTATGCTGCTTGATGTACTTTTCCTTCCATTTGTTCTCAAAGCGTTTCTTGTCGTTTTCTTTGGTTTTTGGGTACATATTTTCCAGTTATTACGTAGAACCAGCTCGTTACTGCTGTCTGTATATCTATTCATACCTTCTTATTTTTTTTCTTTGTCCGATAGAAGATGATTACTGTGGGTGGATGGATGCATGAGGCAGCGTGTTGTTTGGGAAAGGGAACTTGTCGGAAGTATTAACAAAGCGAGCATCGTCGTCACAAGCAAACTCTGTAGTGCTCCGGTCTATACTCTCTTTTCTTTATCGTTCAATGATTTGCATCGCATGGCGCAGTTGGCGGATTGTTTCCCTTGTTGTCACATCCTTCCTTTTCAATCCCTTTTGTGTGGCGGCTAAATATCACCGTCGCTATGAAGCTTGCCACCATAGCACGATCCTAGAAAAGCCTCACGAGGCCAAATGATGGCTAATCGAGCCCAGAATCGGCATTCATAGAGCTGATTGTAATCCCCGAAATGTACAATGAACTGCGGCTCTCAACGCCTTGCTCTCCGTCATTACATATCTACGTACGGTGGGTTGGTTATAGCTATCGTACCATAGGGGGTTTGGGTTTCCTGTCCTGTCCTGTCCTGTCCATCCATCATGTAACTGCATCATCATCGCTCATCTGGTGTCGCATCTCGTCACATCTCATCTCGTTCCGTCCGCCGTTGGGCTTTTGTTACACTAACAACAAGACTCAAAAAAATCTGCTGCTTACTGCTTACTTGGGAGTAAGCACGATGCCCTCGTACTCCTTGCTCCTGATAATCTCCAAGGTCTGCATAAAGTGCTTCCGGCTGGCCTCGACCGAGGCCGAGTCTTGCTGGTTACCGGCCAGGTTGGAGTGTATAAGCTCGATAAGGCCGTTGAGGTACTTTGTAGTAACCTACAAGGATAAGAAAAGATAGTTAGACGCCATGGCTTTTTCTGACGGGGCGAAAAGGGTAAGTGATGACCTACCGATTCATTCTTTTGGTCAAAGTAATACACATATCTGTCCAGGATTTCGACAAACAGCTCGATCGAGGTAGCAGTCTCCATGCACGAATCTGCAACACGAAGGGCACGCTGCAGGCATTCGAGAACACGCTTGCCGTCTCGGTAAAGCTATCGCATAACATGTTAGAACCGTGTGAAACCTCGCAAAACAAAGAGGAACGGAGAAATGCTATTACTAACCTCGGTCTCTTCGGTCTCCCCGTTACTAGCAATAGGAGTCGCCCACCACAAATGACTGGCCAGATACACAGCCCGGCACTGATCCGGCTTCCTCAACAGCTTGCTCGCGTGCTGCGCGCACTTGGTGATGAGCGTGTCGTAGTTCTCCTTTCCAAAGTTGCGTGTGCGGTGCAGAGCGCTGGCAATCGCGCAAACGGCCTGGAACTGCGCCTTGGAATCGCTGATCGCCTCTTCATACACCGTGAACGCCTGCGCAAAGAACTCGTACGCCACCTCCTCGAACTCGGTCTTGTCGGCCATTTGACCGCACGAGCAAAAGAGGCGCAGGGACAGCTCGGCGGCGCCGGCGCCGTTGACGCGCGTGTAGAGGGTGGAGATGGCCGAGTGGAGGAACTTGAAGAGCGCGGAGCACTGCGACTGCCAGTTATCGTCGTAGTGCTCGCGAGCCTTGTAGCGTCGGGCGAGCTTGAGGCCGGCGGTGATGAGAGGCGGCGTCGTGGTCCGGATCCGCTCGTTGCCCTCGGCGTAGGCCTTCCGTGTCATCTGCAGGAGGCGGAATTGGGTGTCGTTATCCTCCGCCTGGAGGAGGTGGACAAGGCGGGCCAGCCAGCCCTGTTCCTCCAAAGTCTCGTCTGTCTCCAGGGCACGGCCGCGCTGCTGCACGACACCGGGGTAGCCAGACGGCGCTTGCGACCCTTCTTTGATGAGGACCTTGAGCACCTCCAGGACATTCTCGAGGTTGGCCGTGGTAGTGATGTGGGTTTGGTTCTTGATTAGGTGTCTGGCCACTTCGCCAGCAACAGCCCGCCGCGTAGGATAGGTTTGTGATTGGAACAGAGGAACGTATGTAGGTAGGGCGAGTGCCGTAAATATCGACACATACCTCTTGAGAGGTGCCTGAAGCAAGGCCAGGATGCTCTGCTGCGCTGGTGGCGAATGCAAATCGGCACTGTTGGCGTGTTCTTTTACCTTTGAGTGGGCGTAGTCGAGGATTTGGTCGACATAATCTAGCCTTTCAGGATAGATGTTGAGAGCTAGGTTCGTAAGGGATACACACAGCGCGATGGTGTCCTGGATCGGAAGATGTTGCGCCTGCACAAGGTTCTTGACCTGCCCGAAAAAGATTTCGTATAGGGGCACGTTCTCGGGAATGCCCCTGTGCTTCTTGGCTGGTTCGACTTCATCTCCATTTGTCACGGTAGCCTCGGTCTCTGCTACTGATGGTTCGGCGTTCAGAGTTTCATCGGTCGAGCCCACATCAGTTTCTGCATGCTCCCCATTTTCAGGGGCTTCGGGTGTCGGCGCGCTCGCTTCTTCGGTTTCCGCAGCCGATTTTGCGAGTTTCACCCTTTCCAGCAGGTTCGCGAGTGCTTCTTCCTCCAACTGGCCCCTATCCTCGCCTTCTTCATTCTGTGCCTCTCGCTCGGCGTAGTCGGATAGTCTGTCCATCAGGCCAATAACAATTCCCTTTACGTTAACGTGGGGATTTAACCTGGACACAGCGGCGAGGAACTGATCGAGGGTGTGAAGATGGAACTCGTCAGGGAATACCTGAGTGATGACCTCAAGCAGATATTCCTGCGCCAGGACATCCCGACACTGCACAACCTGCTCCAGCAGGGGGGCCAGAATGCCATTTTTGTATGTCGGCAGATCCACCAGCTGGCTTAGACGGACAATGTTGTTTCCTACAAGCAATTGCAGCTCTTTCCTCTCCTGTGTCCGCTGGTCTCTCTCTCTCGAGTGTCCTTGATGTTGTAACCGAACCCAGAGCTTGTTCATCTCAACGAAATTGGTCAGGATGAAGTTGATCGAGTCCTGCAGGTTGCCCTCTGGGCCTTCGGAGTCGCCAGTCGGGAGATAGTCGCGTGCCTGTCCGGAGAGGTAGTAGCGCAGAAACAAACCGCGAACAGGGTGCTGGACACCACGGCTCATGTCCATCATGTCCTTCATTAACTCCTTGACGGGAGCGCCGTCGATGGACATGTAGGCGGTGCCGACCGTGATCATGAGATAAAGGCGGGGTATAATGTTGCCGGCATACTGGACGAGTTCGTAGAGGTCGGCGAGGTGGTTAACGGGGTGATTCTCGCGCAAGTGGACGGAGAGGTACCGGAGAGCATCGAAGACAGCCATGTAGAGCTCGTAGTACTGTTTGGGGCCCAGACTGCTGGTTCGAAGCTCCGAGACAAGGGTGGAGCTATAGGATGTCGAGGGTGGTCGACGGTCAGCACCAGCACCAGCGCATATCGGGCCATGCCGTGACACGCTCCTTTGGGGACATACCAGCACTTGAGAGCATCCATGAGCTTTCCGGGGGTGTCGAGACATTTGCGCATGAGGGTGCTTTGCTGGCGCACGGCGATCAAGGCATCTTCGAGGAGGCGGGCCTGGTCCTCAGGCGGCGCGGGGGTCGACATGTCGCTTCTTTGCTGCTTGTAGCGCTCCTACGATGCGTGAGGGTGGATGTCTTTGGCGTCGTGTTTGATCCAACGGTTGTTGTGTTCGAGGTGGCTAGGAAGCGCGGGACCATACGAGCATTAATCTTGTGCTGATGAAGGGAACGGGGAGGGCGCAGTAGAATGTAGTGAATGTCGGGATGTTGTTCAGAGGCGCGGAATGACGACGCTCGAGGAGAGAGAGCCGTAGCTGAGCTGGGCTGTCTGGGCTGTTGTAGGTAGAGTTCCAAAGGCACTTCGCATGAGCTGCCTGTAAAAGCTAACAGGTCAGCGGGGAGTATCCATATGTTGCAGGGTGTGAGCTGTTAGTGGAACTAGCATAGCCAAACATGTAGCTGCCCCTGGCTGCCCACCAAGCTGGAGCTCTTGATTACGTAAGGTTCTCCATATGTGATACGTACTTGGATGACACAGACATAAGGGTTAGGGGTAGCAAGCATAGCTGGGAGACACCAGTCGCACCCAGACGTGATCACTCTTACAACCCAAAACAACTGTACCTCCCATCATCATCTTCGTCGACATAGATTATCCCCGTCCATCCTCCTTATCTAATGTCCGACTGCCCGAGTCTATTCTTTTTGTTGGGCTGTTTTACTCTCTAATCCAGTCTTGACGCCTGGATTCTGGGGTACAACGAGCAACACAATATCGGACCAAGTGGCTCTACCTTCGACTTCCAGCTTCCACTAACGAACTGTGTTTGCTGAACGCCAGTGGGCGCTTGGATACATAACCTATCAAGACTATTTGTTTATCCAAACGGGTTTCTTCGTTGCTCACTTATACTCTGGTCGCCGCCCCCGTGGTCGACAACATGACCGCGCTCAACACCTTGCCGGCCGAACTTCTCCTAGACATTGGAGAACGTCTTGATCGCAGAGACTTGGCCTCTCTGATCCGTGTTTCCAGATCTTGTCACGCTGTCTTGACCGACAAATTATACAATGTCAGAGGCAAGCAGGAGGCTGTGCGTTGGGCCGCCGATAATGGCAGCTGCTTGGTCATGAAAACCGCGCTATCGCGATCCCTCGATGAGAAGGAAAAGTCCGAACTCGTCAGCATGCCCATCCTTCGTCCGCTTGTGTCGCCAGACGGCCGCCGCCGGCAGCTAATGGCTACTCCGCTTGCTCGCGCGTCGTATCGTGGTCATCTTGATGTTGTCACCTATCTCTTGGATGTTGGAGCATGCCAGGAAATACCGTCGTACCGGCTCTGCAACTGCATTGACTTGCAAAGTATCTTCGAGGGCTTCGAAGGCCATGATTTCCCCAATGTCCCGAATTGGTATCCTCTTCACTACGCAATATGCAGGTAAGTCTCGAGCCCTTGCCGTTTGGCATGCTTCCCGATTTGCTTGCTCTGAACAATGCTTCAAAACAGTAAGAATGAAGAGGTCGCTCTGCTCCTTATCGACCGGGGTGCGCCCTTGGTAGGGTGTCAAGGTCGTCCCCATATCACTGCACTCCAAAGTGCCGCTGCGAACGGCTGTCTAAAGGTCGTACAGCGTCTCGCGAAACGATACCGTGAGCTGAATCATGGCCCTCTGTTGACTCCCGGGCACAGGGTAGATGTAGGTCGTCCGCCAGCCCCCAATGCAACCGATGCTCGTCTCAACTCTGCGATGCACTACCTCGCGCTGTGTCCGCGTCGTGAATATGTTCGCGACATCTGTCTCTACCTGATGGACCTTGGGGTTCCGCTAGATACTCCATGGGGTAGTAGGGCCATGTCGCCCCTTCTAATGGCATGCGCATTGGGAAATTTCACGGTAGCTAGTGAATTTGTGCAATTCGGAGCAAACCTTCAACGTCGGGATCTGACAGAGCAGGAACGTCAACAGCTTCTCCAAGAAGACGTGTTGCCCGAACACCGGCAAACAAACGCCTCATACGTGTACACTGCCATGGGAGCCACGTATAGACGAGCTAAGCAGGCCGGCGTTGTGTGGCGTCCAGGCGGCAAGGCGCGCTGGGAAATCGAACGGCAGAACTTTATCAGAGTATTCATCCAGCACAATGGCAAGGTTAACGTACCCGTCAGTCGAGCTGGTGACACCGCTTTGGCAAGAGCAGCCGAACGAGGGCTCGCGGCTGAGGTCCGAATACTTATCTCGGAGGGAGGCGCTGTTGTTGACAAGCCAGATGCGTTTGGAATGACGCCGTTGTGCAAGGCTGCTCTACGCGGTGGATTCGCTGCCGTTGAAAGTAGGTTTACATCACCATTACATCTCAGTGCTCCGCTTTCTGATGGGCATGTATTAACTTGGTTCACAGCGCTCTTGGAAGCCGGGGCGGACCCAAACCTTCCCAGTCGAATTGGTCAAATCACCGCCCTGGAGATTATCAGTGGCATGATTGCGGTGCCAGAAATCGAGCAGATAATTATCTTGCTACTACGCTACGGTACGCGTGTGGGAAGATTATCCCCTCGATCTCCCCATCAGTATGAACGAACTCACTTGATCGGGTTGTTGAAGCGAGTTCTCGATCGTAACAACCCTTCAGACTACTTGGCCGTGTCGACAATTCTCGAAAACAGTACTGAAGCAAACATAGCGCGTGGGTGTTGGCAATACGCAGCCGAGGTTGCCCTTCGTCTCGACAAGAATGGGGATTCCAAGAAGCCAGGACACAGACAATTGTGCTTACTTCTAGGTACCTTTGGTTCCAAGGTTGGCTATGCCTTTGATGATTCCAGACTCTGCTCGATTGTTAAGCAGCTCATCAAGACAGGCCACCCGGAGAACATGTCGTGTCTGTTTTACCTTGGAGGAGGGAATATGGAACTTCAATTGCGGGACTATTTCCCAAGCGTGGTTAGGACACTCAGCGGCGTCTTCACTCGAGAAGCGATGCTGGCCTTGGCCTTGACTCATAGTAAAGAATCAGCGTTGCCTTTGGTTTCTCAATTGCTCGCTGACAACGATATCGACGTCACTGGGATACTTCACTGTCTCAGCACCAAACCGACGCTACTTCATCTGGCTTGTAGCAACGGCGACTGGGGATCCGCAGGCCTTCTTATCACCAGAGGTTGTTCCGCGAACGCTGTTAATGGGTGTCTTTTAACGCCCTTGGCGGAGGCTGCAGCGGGCGGTTACAGAAAGCTGGTCGAAGCTCTGATGGACTGTACAGCGGCTGATCCACACGAGTCATTCCGGAGTCCTTCAGACACCACCAGAGTATTGCAAGATCACTTGGCAGTTCAAAATGACTTTCTTCGCCCGCCTCCCGGAGCCAAGCTCTCCCAATTCGTCGTCCGTGAGCTCATGAAGCTCCAGGGTGCACCTTTAGGGTTTACCGATAGTGATACCAGCAATCAGCACTCATTGGACCCATCCCTTCCCAAAAGAGGGGCTCGGAACCGTTACACGCCACATCTCTTTGGATTCTCTGCTCTTGAAGCGGTAAGTTGCGTATATTTGTAGGTCGTCTTCGCAGTCCCGATTACTAACCTCCTGCACAACTTAGGCCTGTCACGAGGGACACACCGGTGTCGTAAAAGCAATTCTCAAACGTCACCCCCTTGCAAGACATACCCATCTCCAAGTTCAAAGGGGTTTCATGCTCGTAAAGCCGTCGTCCAGTCTTCTGACTGATACGATCATGAACGGACACTGGGACACAACGCACATTTTACTCAACAACGGAGCAGATCCCAACCAGGGCATCCTCCGCGGCTGTCTCGACCTGACTCCCCTCCACATCTGCGTGGAGGCACTTGTGCACACAGTCCGGTTGTACAACGCCGAGGCCGAGACCCTTGCTTCCGAGCAGCCTATACCCCCCGGCTCCGAGGCTCCGCCCCCGTTCCCACCGGATATGCATCCCCAACTGTTGCCGTCCGTCAAAAGAATTCAGAAAATTGTTAGTGTCATTGCGCACCTAAAGAACAGAGGTGCAAAGGAGGAATCAGACAATTCTGTATTCAGGATCGTTCACAAACTGGAGGGTGAACCGTTCTCGCATAATACAATGGACTTGTTGAAGAGGTTGATGAACAGAGACGACCCAGAGTACATGGGGGGAAGATTCATGGAGAGACATGAGGTGGTGGTGACGAGGAAGTTTACGCTGGATCCGGAGGGCAAGAAGATTGTTCTGAGTGCTGAGGCAAACGACGAGTCGAAGAATGAGGGTAAGGGTCTCCCGAAGAAAACAAAGTAACCATGGCAATGACGGGGTGGCGCACTTTGGCGGTATTTGGGTCGTGTTGCATAACTCTTTGCATTTGTTTTTGGGTATTTTTCGCCGGATCAGCGATATGGTCATCAAGGTTTGTTTTGGGAAGAGCGATTAATTAACACAAGTACCAAGTAGCGATTAACAACATGAAATGTTTGAATGTGCTTCAAGCTGCGATGTTTTGTTGACCTGGATGATTTCGTTAGACTCCAATAATGAGCCTTACACAATGCCTGTGCAGTTTAACCCCACAGTTTGAGACATGGCAATCCCTTGGGCTCTTTGGCTTTGACACAAGCTCCCATATGGTGTACTTGATTTTGACAAAAGCATATTCACAGCTTGAAAACGCCTAGGGAAGTTGACTCGAGGTCTCGAGCTAAACATCATACGAGTAGTGGACTCTAAACTTGACGATGGTTAGTCAAGACGTGGTCGGTCCCATCCCGGGAGGAACAAGGGCCCCAAACAAAGTGGGTCTCCGACCAACACCATGCGAAGCTAGTTTAGAGATTGGACTGACGTTGGGCTCTAAATACCTATCCTACAGCACTATACTTGACTTCTCTCCTCAACTCTTTTCTCTCCTTTTCCCATTACTTTGTCCTTCTATTTCAAATCATATAAAAATGGCAAACAAGAAAAATAAACCTCCCTCCCCCTCCCCCTCCCATCCCCCCTCAGCCGGTCTAGCCCCAAGCACCTGGGCCAGCGCCCACGGAAGAGGAACTCCCAGTCCCGACACTCGCCCCCGCCGCACGTCATTAATAGCCCAACTCCAAATGCGGCGCTCCTCGGGGGTCCTGGGCTTCGCTGGCAAAGCCCTCGCCATCTGTCTACTCCTCTTCTTTTTTTCGACTGGCGCCTACGGCGGCATGATCACCGGTTTCACCAATGGCTTCTTTGCCGCGCTCACACGGATCAAAACCGACCCTTCGGTCGTCCGGGAGTATGAGCCAAAGGAAGAATTCACGGGGGTGAAGGCGGTGGATCAAGTTTTGGTTACGCTGGTGACGTTTTTTGCTGCTTGGTTGGATGCTGGGGGCCCGGTGGAGGGAACATCGTGGGAGGAGACGTGGGAAGGGCCGTGGCTAGTGGGCTTGGTAAAGGGGAGGGAGGGGACGCGGCGGGGAAGGACGTGGGACGTGGATGTGCCGCTTTGGATGGCTATGGTGCAATTTGCGGGTGCTTGGGCGTTGGTGAGTGTAGAGGGGGCGAGGAGGGGCAACCAGGGGAGGGTAGTTGGTTGGTGAGTTGATTTTTACCTTTGCTGGTTTGGTGACTGCTCGTGATAGAGGAGTTGTGGATGACTTGTGTTGAAAGGGGAAGAACGGGTAGTGATGGCTGACGGTTTTGCAGGACTGGGTTCTGGGGTATGGGCATGCAATTATTGTCATACACCATCGCTGGCCCGATTTACTTCATCGTCTACTTGGTTACATCGCCCGTAGCAAGTGGCAGCGACGTGGACGCGCTGGTCGTCGACGGATGGGAGATGGCCATGCTGCCAGTGTGCGTCACAATGGCCTTTATTGTTCCGGCGTTCATGATGGGATTACCAAGCATGCCGCAAGCTGAGCACCAGAATTGGATAGCTACCTGGCAGGTGTTTCCCATTCTGCAGGCTAACCTGATTTTCTTCCTCAAGAGCTTGTGTGGCTCTTCTGATGCTGGAGCAGAGGGGAGAAACAGCAGCAGAGTCACGAATGGGGGGAAAGCGGCCGGCGCAAGCCCGGTGTATCGATTCACGATGAGCCTGTGCATAGTAGCTCAACTGGCCTTCCTTGCCATTGCGCTGATCCCGCCCACTGCTTTGCCAGAAAGCTTGGCTGCCTCGTATCCGTGGCTCTCGACGATGTTGAGGGAGGTGAGCATTGGTTCGGCTCTCCCTAGGGCCCTATGGAATCCACCGTCTACCGATACGGCGAGCGCGATCCGGATTGCATATTTGGCGCCGTTGGCGAAGCACTTTCTTCAGTGGGATGTGTACAGCGGTAACTTTGCGCTGCTCACCTGGGCTGCGTACCAATATTGGGCTGCTGGAGTCGGCGGTTTGAAGCGATTCGGCAAGGCGTTGGGCTGGTTCGTGCTTGGTGGGCCGGTTTCGGCAGCGGCATATCTTTTGTGGGAGAGAGATGAGGCGGTTGTCGAAAGAGAGGATGAGCGGGGGAGAAGGAGAAGTCGGTAAACGGTGAAGACGGGAGACGGGAGCTTGATCAAGAAGAGACGGACCGGGGCAAGTCGAAGTCGAACTCGGGGACCGGAAACCAATGACAAACCCCGAAATGCGGGGTTCCGAGCTTGTGGGTCCCCTCACTCACTGCTCGGCGCAGATTTCCCGTATCCACCACGGAAGGGGCGCGTGGCGCTGGAGACCTAGAGGAGGTATGCACGAAAGGGACAAGGATCCGAAACAGGATTCAATGTCCATCTTGGCGACCTTCCCTCTTTTTACCTGTCATCTTCATCCCACCTTCTGTTCCTGACTTTCGTCATTAATTTCGATTTCCGTCTGTTCCGGCCAAAACACTGCACTGCCCGGACACCACACAGTACAGTACCTATCTTCCTTCCCTTCGGTCGCAACTACTTGTCGCTCCAGTCGCTTCTTGCCGACATCGTCGCTCGTTTCAATCCGAACTCGCTTCCGCTTTGCTTTTGATGCACTCGGTCCAGTCTGGGGCCGCCGCTTTCTAGAGATTTTCTCGGGTTCTTCCCAGGGCCCGCGCAGCTCCACAGAAGACCTAAGCCGGGGAGCTGACCACCATCGCCGCAACGATCAATGACAGCAGGCAAACCGCCCATGATATACCGTAGCTAAGCCCCTGTGATGACCTGATCGGCCCGCCAATCCTTCGAGTCGATGACATGACCGTGACTTCTACACTTACTGCGTAGAGATACCAACAACAATTGCGCTGGCGCAACCTAATCACCACCATTTCCAAATCTTGACAAGCGACGCCATGAACCTCAGAACCCTTGGACAAGCAACAGCATGAGGAGCTTTACCAGGAGCACGGCCGACGAGGGAGGCGCCAGTGTCGATAATGCTTCGTTCGAAAAGGGCCTCAGCATCTTCAGTAAAACCGGCATCTTGGCCCCTTTGCGCAAGACCGCGACATCGGCGACAACGGTGACCAGGACTATCAAGGCCTCAACACAACAGCTGTATCGGAGATACGTCCTCGAGCTCATATTTCAAGAAAAGGAACTGCCGCCTTCAAAAGACGGCCGACATATCCCATTACGACCCCATCATGACAAACCCCTGATCGACGAACGGCGAGGGAGCGCATATATACCAAACACGATTCGGACATCCCGCTACACCGTCTACGATTTCCTCCCGAAGCAGTTATTCTTCCAGTTCTCGCGCCTGGCCAACTTCTACTTCCTTTGCGTCGGTGTTCCTCAAACCATTCCGGGCGTCAGTACAACCGGAAACTTCACAACCATCATTCCCCTATTATTCTTTGTATTTCTTACTGTTGTCAAGGAGGGATACGATGACTGGAAACGCCATCGGCTCGACAAGGTGGAAAATGCAAGAAGCGCGACCGTCCTCCGACCCACAGGCCACGTTGACAGCCGACAGGACTGGCGGACTGGGTTTGGATTACGAAGAACACAGGACAATAAAACAGTGGCGGTTGAAGACGTTATCCCCGACTCGGAATATCAATGGCATGCCGCGCAATGGAAGGATTTGAAAGTCGGCGATGTCATCAAGCTCTCCCGCGACGAGGATGTTCCCGCAGATATCGTGCTGCTGTACGCCGACGGCGAAAATTCCATGGCCTACATCGAGACAATGGCCCTCGACGGAGAGACGAATCTGAAGAACAAGCAGGTATCCAAGGCGTTGCAGCGTTGCAACACCATACAAGGCATTGCCAGTTGCCAGGCCGAGTTCGTGGTGGAGGATCCCAATCCGGACCTCTATCGATTTGACGGAAGAGTAACCGTGGACGGTGAAACGTTGCCGTTGACTTTGAATGAAGTGGTGTACAGAGGCTGCACGCTACGCAACACAACATGCGCGATCGGTATGGTCATCAATACGGGAGAAGAGTGCAAACTCCGACGAAACGCCAACCGGCACCCCAAAGCAAAGAAGCCGGCCATGGAGAAAATTGCCAACAGGATTGTCATCAGCCTTGTTGTTGTGGTCATCTCCCTTTCCGTCGGTTGCTCCATGGGCTATTTGATCTGGAAAAATGCTTATGAGCGCAAGGCATGGTACTTGAAGCACCTGGGAGTCGACTTTGAGGATATCATTATCGGATTTTTCATCCAGTTCAACAATATCATTCCTTTGGCGCTATACGTTAGCTTGGAGATTGTCAAAATTGGGCAGATGTTAATGCTCAATTCCGACCTGGAGATGTACGACAAAGTAACCGACACGCCAGCCAAGTGCAACACCAACACCATTCTCGAGAATTTAGGGCAGATCGGTTACGTCTTTTCGGACAAGACAGGGACTTTGACTGAGAATGTCATGAAGTTCCGAAAGATGAGCATCGCCGGAACGACATGGTTGCATGAGATGGATATTGTGAAGGAGCAGGAAGAACAAGGGCTCACCCAAACGAAAACGAAGGGCAAAGAGCTCAACCTTATGTTGGAACCGACTTTTGAAAACGACAACGCATTGACAAAGACAACAACCGCTGTGTCAGTTCATTCACCTAACCCGCGCCGGTCATCTTCACAATGGCGGTCGACTGGTCGGCCTGACCATGTCCAGCCAGAGGTCACGACTGAGGATTTACTTGAGTACATAAGGCTGCGCCCAAAGGCTCCGTTCTCGAGGAAGGCAATTCAGTATCTTCTTGCTATGGCCCTCTGCCACACCTGCTTGCCAGAAATCAGAGACGGGGAGATTGAGTTCCAGGCCGCTTCACCCGATGAGCTTGCTCTTGTCAAAGCCGCTCAAGAGCTTGGGTTTCTCGTGGTTCAACGGTCCTCCCAGTCCGTCACGCTCCGTATATCGCGCGGTGATGGCACTGAATTGGAGCGCACCTATCAAATCCTCGACGTGATAGAGTTCAGCAGCAAGCGAAAGCGCATGTCCATTATCGTGCGATGTCCCGATGAAAGGATATGGTTGATTACCAAGGGCGCCGACTCCGTCATTCTTCCAAGGCTGAGGATGGCACAGTTGGCAATACAAAAGGCTAACGAAGTGCGCAAGAGCTTGGAGGTTGAGCATGAAATGCAACGCAGGAGTGAAGCTCGAGAACCACGTAACAGTTTTGGCGGCCGGCCCAGCCTTACAATCCGCCGCAGCATCAACCTTGCCAGACAGAACAGCGTTGCTGGACCTAGCAAGCGCCCAATCACCAATCGTAGTAAGTCGTTTGAGGTGGGTAGAATGTCCCTGTCTGCACCAGAAAATCGCCTCAGGCCCCAGGTTACCGTTCGCACAGCATCCTATGATGTGCCTTACGAGGACGCTGTAGCGGCGTCAGTGTCAGACAAGTTTGCATTCCTTGACGATCCTTCCGTGTGCGATGAGGGTGCTATCTTCACTCGATGCTTCAAGCACATTGATGATTTTGCAACCGAGGGCCTCCGAACACTTCTATTCGCTCAACGGTTCTTGTCCGAGTCTGAGTACAACACATGGAAGAAGCTTTACCGCGACGCAGAGACGAGTCTTGTCGATCGTCAAGAGCGCATCGAAGCGGCCGGTGAATTGATCGAACAGACCCTGGACCTCATCGGTGCCACGGCAATCGAAGACAAACTCCAGAAGGGTGTCCCAGAGACAATTGAGCGTCTCCGACGAGCTAACATCAAAATATGGATGCTCACTGGCGACAAGCGTGAAACGGCCATCAACATCGCCCACTCGGCTCGGCTTTGTCGTCCTACTTCCGACATATATATCCTCGACGCCACCAAAGGAAACTTGGAAGGTCAAATCATGGACATTGTCGACGAGCTAAACATCCGGGCCGAAACCATGCCTACTGCGATTCCCAACCACACCGTAGTAGTGATCGACGGTCACACTTTGGCTGCTTTGGAAGAACCGGCAACACACGGGAATGCCAAAGAACTCTTTTACAGCCTCATCCCGACGATTGACTCGGTCATCTGCTGTCGTGCCTCCCCCGCCCAGAAAGCCTTGCTCGTTACCGCCATCCGTAACCACTCCCATCAACCGAGCACCATCAAAAAGAAGGGCTTCCTCGCCTATCTGATCACACCTAAACGAACACCACCACTTACTCTCGCCATCGGCGATGGTGCCAATGATCTGGCGATGCTCTCAGCTGCCCACGTCGGCGTAGGCATCTCGGGCCGGGAAGGTCTGCAAGCCGCGCGAGTTGCTGATTACGCCGTGTCACAGTTCCGCTTCCTCTCCCGCCTCCTGTTAGTACACGGGAGATGGAACTACGCTCGCACATCCAAGTTCATTGTTGCCACGTTCTGGAAGGAGATGTTCTTCTATCTGCCTACCGAGCTGTACCAGCGCTACACTGGATATACAGGCACCAGTCTTTACGAATCGTGGAGTTTGACGGTGCTGAACACGCTTTTCACAAGTCTGTGCGTGATCGTCCCCGGAGTGTGGGAACAGGACCTGAGCGCAGAAACGCTAATGGCCGTGCCAGAACTGTATGTCTGGGGCCAGAGGGACGGCGGGTTGAATCTGCGGAAGTATCTGGGATGGATGGTGGCGGCTGTTGCACAGGGTGTGGTGGTCTGGTGGGTGTGTTGGGGTCTCTACGGTGGGATTGCGGTGAAGGATAATGGTCTGTTTGCCGTGGGCAATTTGGTCTTTACCGTCGCCATTGTCTGGACCAACTTGAAATTGCTGTACGTTTTTGTCCCCTCACCCATTTTCACTCTTTTTCTTCTTCTTTCTTTTAGGCACAACCCTAACCTGTCAACCAACAACAGCATCATTGACACACACCACAAGACCGGCATAATCCTTGGCGCATTCGGTATTACCTTTGCAGGCTGGTGGATCTGGCAGATCTTCCTCGCCAGCGCCTACGCCCCGGGTGTCTGGCCTTACGCAGTCCGCGGTGGATTCTTTTCCTCGTTCGGCCCTGATCCAGCCTGGTGGGTTGCTCTTTTTGCGGCCGTCGGCCTGCTCACCGCTGTTGAACTCGGCTATAAATCCACCAAGCGGAATATGATTATATCCGGACTATGGAGGCTGGGATGGAGGAAATGGATGCAGTGGGAGACATGGAAGGGACTCCTTGCACTCGGGAGAGGAGGAGGAGCGAGGGGAGCAGGGCCCATGTGGGCTTGGGATGAAGCAGGTGGTGAGGGAAGGAACGTGGAGGAGTGGGATGTGGAACTTTGGCAGGCTCTGGAGCGGGAGCAAACCGTTAGAGAGGCTTTGAAGGGGATGGCTAGGGTTGGGCATGAGGGCGATGGGCCTGAACCTGAGGAAATATCGAAGGAAGAGGAGGATAATGAGAAGAACAGGGTTGAGGAGAGTTCGACGATAGACAGCGAGGGACAGCATGAGTCGGCAGTGGTGGAGAGTCTTCAGATCTCGAAATAGGTTTTCGAGGTTGGATGCTCTCTGCTTGTCTGGATTGTGGAAGGCAGTGAGTGTAAGTGGGGAATAGTTTGGTCTTTGGATTGCTTCTCTTGGATACATACGCATCGAGATACCCTTTCGTACATGACATTATAGATTTCATATCTTTCATAGATGATATTTGGAACACCAACTGCCCAACATCGTGGAACATGGTGGGCATTGACGGCGATGGGACTCGGGCCGACGGTCATCCACCTATCAATCTCCCTTGGTGATGGCTGACCAACAGTCACGCGAATACCAGGCACTAGGCACAACGAACCAACTCAAAGCCTGGTTCCCAGTTTCTACGGTACATAAGACATGGGAACCGTGGGATTTGTGTACTTGTGCCTGTGCCTGTGTCTGAGCACCTATGACTGCGACCGCAACGGTGACTCTTGAGTAATCGGGCACAGAGAAAGTTGTCCTTGAACCTAAAGAATGAATATTTAAATTTTTTAAATTGTTTTTCTCCTCCTGACTGATTTTGGGCGACCACGAGCGGAAATATCGAATCAAGTAACTTATGCTGGTAGCTGGTAGCTGGTAGCCTGGTCGTCAGTGAGGATGTCAGTCAGTCAATCAGTCAGCCAGGCCGATCCAGCAACCGGGAGGAAGAATCGAAGGATGAAGAAACCCAGTAACTCAATCAAAAATTTGCGGACACGATGCTGACAAGTTGGTATGTGCTAGAAAGTTACTTTGGGAGGCAACCGCTATTATTCGTACTGGAACACGGGCAGTATAGTAGCAAAGGTTAAGAGTCATGAGAGCTCTGTTGTTATTTGGTTGCTTGTGTGCTGATGAATGTGGCTGGGACAGTGAATCCAATGAGATAGGATCTTTTTATGAGGAGAGCGGCGTATTTATGGTGGTGTGTGTGTATTTCGTTCTTTTCTTATTAAAGAATTTGGGATTGGAGAGGACTCCCAACGTTGAAGCGGGTGTGGCAGGTTGCACGGATAGAAACCGTCGAGTGTTACACAGCCCGGTAAAGGTTTGTTTGTTTCACTAGAGACATCGGGTCAACTTACCTAAACGTATTGATATCTAGCTAGTTCGTTTCGTTCTATGATCAAGGCGTGATCTTGCTGCGAATACGCCGTTCCTTATGTCAAATATGTCGTTTGAAATTAAACCAATGCCTTTGTAGTCAGTGCAGTGTGTAGCCAGACGAAGCAAGTCAGTTTATCCTTGCAAGATTTGGGACAATTCGGTTCAGCATTGAACTGTACATATCGATGACAGGCTTTAGGGCTGAGTATAAGTGGGCTTATAAATACAAGCTGTCTGTGCACTTTCAATAACAATCGGACCTTATCCGTTCAATCGGGTATGGTGTAGCGGTAACATCGTTGACTCTCACTTCTTAGGAGTGACTGCTCTCTCAACAGCCCCGGGTTCGACTCCCGGTATCCGAGTCTCAAACATTCTTTTTTCTATCTTTCTCATCTTCTTTTTTCCAAGGATATCCGGGGCTTCGTTCTTACCATTATATTGATTTTCCTCCCTTGTTCCTTTTGTGTCCGTAATGTTTTGTTGTTGTTTTTTTTACTTAATTTCGTTGGGTGTAGTGAAGTTGAAACATTCAGGGCAGGGAAGACATCTGCCATTCCTACTTTCTTGTAACAACTACTACAACAACCCAAGCAAGACGATACAAAATTGTTTTGTCGTGCTTTCTTGCAGCAGCCATTCTTGGAGACTACTACTCCCGTTTCAAACGTCCGGGATCTCAAAACAACAACTGTAACCGGCACCTTACCATTGTCCCTTCTCGGCATGCCTTGGCTGCTTGAGATTCCAAAATAGGAAACCTTTTCGCTTCAACTCCGGAAAAGTTCAAAGTGGCGTCGCGATAGCACGTGGTAGGCAGGGTTGGCTATGGCCAGAGAGTGGTACAAAGGCTGAGGGAGAAACTGTCAGAGATCTCTGGGCATCTGCTTCTTTCTCTGCTGGGTGACCGATGAAATTTTTGCAACCCCCCGGTGACATGGTTTTCAGTGCTCCATCTCCTAAATTTTCACAACACTGGCGTAGTGGCCTCACAGTGTATCCATTTATCGTACAATTTGTACATCGTATTCGCCAAGTCTGTGGGGACCGTGGTGACATGGTTCGTCTTGGAGAGAAGGCTTTGTTCCTTATGTCCGCCCCATTTCGTATCGAGGTTTGTATGCAAGGTTCCTCGGTAGCGTGAAGCGAGTGTTGCAATATTTCAGTGAGCTTGTGTTCCGATCATGTCTCGAGCTCGCCTTTTCTTTGCTGTAATGCTGTCCGTGGGTGAAAAATGAGTACTGTACGGTTTCGTTTATAGTAGAATCCGTACCCGGAACTCCTAGGTATGTAACGTAGGCCGCAAAATTACACTGAGGTATGGTGTTTAATTTCCCCTTTATCCTGTTGGTTTCCAGCTGGCTATGCCCTGCATATTTGAATGGTTGTTTTGAGCAGGGGGCCGAAGCATTCTGTTCGGCGTGCTGTTTCGGGCAAGTCAGGGTGTCATCGGCTCCATGAACTGACATGGGTTGATGAATGAGATCTGTGTAACGTACTTTGAGCTGTCAAATTCGAAATGGTGTGGTCAAGCCGCCGAGCCTTGTGAGCGCAACGGATGCATCGACGTCCAAGAGGGTCGAATTGAAAGAGAGCTGTAGTATAGATTTCCCCATGGTTGCGGCGAGTGTACTCGAGAATCAATTCTCAAATTCCTCGGACGTTTGTTACTGGTAACCTGGTCATCCTCGTGAGATATGTTCATAGCTATTGCCAGCCAGCAGTAGGTGATGGCCGGCACTTTGAAGCTTATTGAGGGTCAAGGCCCGCCCAAGGCTCTGGCGAGATGCCGAAGCACCCCCCACTGGCGCATGGCTCTCGGACGGCCCAAATGTCACGGATCATCGGACGACAAACATGAGGGCTAATTGACGGCTCTGATTGGGCGGTTCTCAAGAGCACTTTCACCGAGGCGATGCGCGATGGTAATGCCTTGTAATCGCGACCTCTTTCCTACGCTACAAAAGATACGCGATGGTTAAATCAAAGCCCGATACCAAGGATTGTCCTGGCCGAGAGACAAGATAAATTGGGGAACTGTGATGGGAACACGGGACGTTTGTTGTGTTGGCATGGTGAAAATTCAATCGCACCCTCGTCGGCATTGACTTGAGAAGGCGCAGCCCCGCTGCGTAGGGCTAGAACGGCCCGTAATTTACAGTGTAACGCTCCCTAGATGGATCCCAGCGCTCGAAGCTGATGCCTCCATAAAGCAGACTAGTGGGAGTGGGGTCCGGTGAAGGAAACAGACACGTAAAAACAACGAGAGCAATAAGGTTGGTGACGGTCGGATTCCTTGGGAAGCAAATGACTCGTAGGAGCATCCAACGAACAACCGAGAAGAAGGATAAAGGTAATGATGAGCACCTCCCGTTGGTTGGCCCAGCTTATTCCAATCAAGCATTCTGCGGGCTGCAGCCACAAAGCCAAATATTGACGGTTGGAGGTGTCAAATGGAGCTGATGTGCATGCATCTGCGCGTTGAGGCGAGCTGTGCCAGACCGGCCGGCGCGCAGCACTGCATACTACGTACGGCAGCAGCGAGGGAGAGACGGGACCTGCGAGCACCTCACATCCACTTTGTCGGTGAGCGGTCCAGAACGACGACATGAGTTCAACATTGGATCGATAATACACTACTGTGTAGATCCTTTGGACCCTTTGCAGGTCAGATGAAGTGACTGACATAATGCCGAAGACAAACGATGTCAAAAGACAATCAATGACGGTTACAGTCGTGAGGATCAGATGCGCCGTGTCGACTTGGCGAGGGGTAGCACGTCATACAAAGCTTCTTTTATTCCATATCTCAGGCACAAAGCCTGGGCGGCACAGGGGGATCGACGAAACAGAACAACTCAAACCACTGTATGACGGGCCAGACTGGAGTACTGACTCTTGCTCGGTAGGCTTCCAGCTAGCCACTGTTAAGAAGCTGAGGGTGATCTACGCCTAAAACCCGCCCAGCTTCTTGTCTTCACGCTAGCAGAGACAACAGCCAACGCTACCATTTGCCAGCGCGACCTGCTGCGACCAAAAGTTCCTCTTGGAAAGGGCGCCCAAGTGGAAGGGAAGTCTCGACTGGGCTGTTTCCCAGTCTCCTGTCTGCCGAGTCTTAGCAGGGGCACTTCGGTTGATCCTACCCAAGACCCGATCCATCCTCGCATCACCCAGGATTCCCTGGTCGCACTCACTTCCTCGCTTCTCCTCCCTCGGCTTCGTTTGTTTCGACCGTGGCGACCGTTGTCACACATCGTAACTGGGTGGGGTGGGCTCCATCGGGCAGACACGAGAAAATGTCAAGCTTGAATCTCGCGCTCGCGAGGTCAGCACTAGAGGTCTTGACTTGTCCCAAACTCTACTCAGACCCACAACGCCTCCAACAGGCTCAGTTCAACACCACGTTCCCGCTTGGCAAGATTTCATTCCCTCCCGCCTATGTCACTCTGCGGCCACTCTCAATAGTGCCCCGGCTGTCAAGGCATCACTAGCCAATGCTGCTGCCATTGCTTCATGGGACGGTACCATGGCCGGGGTTTTGATATATTGTATTGTACGGGCGCACTGTAGGTGACTAAACATCATCATCATCATGTCCGCCATCCGCCACAGCCATCACTAGCTTCGGCTGTCTAGCCCGGATGAGGTGACAACGGGTCAAGCTTGATGGGTAAACCCATCGAGAGGTTTCCCGTCCCCGGTTCCCACGAACTCGGCTTCCCCATATATCCTGCCGTTTCCCTGTGTCTCCTTGTTTTGACTCCTTCAAACTCTCTTCGAATGAATGTCACCCAACCCTCCTTTGACACTCCCACCGTAGTATCACATACCGCCTCCGTGCTACAATCCGGACGTCGTCTTACTTTTAGCCTGTCGATTCCCCAGCATCAAAGGAACTTCCATACCTGACGGCTCAACACCTCTCGACCGGTTCAGTCACACCCAATATCAACCACAAGTGTTACCGGTATTTCATCCGGACTATTATTCCTTGTCTGGTGCCTGACTGTCGCCTTTGTTTCCAACTCTTTGTTGACGCATCACCGGGGACACCAAAGAGACGGCACGACCTCGATTCTGGAAGGCCATTTATAACCCTCAGTCACCGAGTCGAACAACTGGGCATTGGTACCAATACACATCCCGACATACTCTTCCAGCAGAAACTCAAATTACTTCGACAAAATGATGGTTCCATCGTTAAAGGCCCTCTTGATGGGTGAGTATCCCCCAAGTCTGCCACGAGCTATCCGACTAACAACCTACTTTTAGCCTTGTCCACCCCCTTGGCCAACCAGGGCGTTCCGACCGACACCTTCGGCAATGGTGGCAAGGCCGTTGCTGCCCTCAGTAACGGCGTTAGCCTACGCATCATGCCACTTGGCGCATCAATAACGTATGGGCAGGGGTCGACCGACGGCAACGGTTACCGTAATTCACTGCGCAATGCCATTGTCAAGCTCGGCAACCCAGTCAACATGGTTGGATCGCGTCATCACGGCACCATGCAGGACAACGATGTCGAGGGCTGGCCAGGCTACAGAATCCACGAGGTCCACGCGAAGGCCCACACCGCCGTGCCCGCGTACAAGCCCAACGTGGTCCTCATCAATGCCGGCACCAATGACGCAGCAGGGAATCTCAACATTTCGACAGCGAGCGACAGAATGGGGGCCATGATCGACGAAGTCTTTGCCGCCAGCCCGCGCGCTGTGGTTATCCTTAGCACGCTCATCATCAACACCTTACCGGCCACTGAGAAGCGCGTGTTGGTCATCAACGACCAGTACAAGGCCTTAGCGCAGCGGATGAGGGATGCGGGTAAGCGAGTGATCCTGGTGGATATGCACGACGCAACCAAGGGCCCGATCCCCGAAGACATGTTCGATTCCACCCATCCTACTGATGTCGGGTACCGCAAGATGGCCAACATATGGTTCCAGGGCCTCGTGGAGGCCAGCAACCTCAAGTGGCTCCAGGCGCCCGAGCCTCTCGGCGGCGTGCCGGATAGCGGGGTGGTCACGGCGAGGATGGTGAAAGAGAAAGCTGGGAAGCGGGCGGAGGTTTTCAAGTCATAATACCACCGCACCGTGACGACTGGCTGAAGAAATCCGGAGAAATAAAGAAGACAGAACCGATGTTCAAAGGGATGGGTTTGCATGGCTGGCGGAGCCTGGAGTTACGGAGCATACTTTTTTCGACGTTTTTTTTTTTTTTTTTGGTTAATGATTTTTTTTCATTATACCCCCTTCGTGTTGGCGTTTATGGATGACTGATTGAACGACTTGGGTATTAGATGATAATGAATAGGTCATATGGAGCGAAGAATAGGAATTTTGTTTCTCTGGTGTGATTATTATGCCTTTTTTCCATCTTCGTGAAGGACATTAAGATTTCAACTTCATTGTCGTCGTTCAGTTCGTACTGTCTCAATGCCGGCCGTCTTGTCGAAATTATCGTGAATTTTCGATATCTGGCTGCTCAATAAAAGGCCTATCGTGTCATCGTCCAATACCCGCTTAATCGCCCATAGGAATGAACGAGCAACCTGTAGATAAACCTCCCAGATGTGGCACGAGGTTGGGTTGTTCCGCACTGTAGGGGCTAGTTGGTGAACGTAGATCCGTCCGCCGCGCCAAGATGGGGAGCAAGTCGAAGGATTGCACCATGTATTGCACATCGTTAACGATAAATTGGTCACGGACCATATCGCTACAACCAATGTGAGTAAAAAAGCAATTCATTCAAGCTTCTTTCAAACCTATCACAACCTTGACGCCATGTGGCTATTCCTACGTGCGTCATTTTACATCGATTTGTTGGGTCAGGTCTTGGTATGTAGGTACACAGTCGGAATCGAAAGCTTGGTATCTTGGTCTTCTCTTGGCTTGCATCAATCGACATTGTGGCAAATGCTTCGCTCCAAGCATCCGAAATTTAATCCTGGTTTATACCGACAGTGTGGTTTGTCCGGCCCGTAAAAGGGCCGTACCGGTAACCGTCTTGGCTGTTGATTGTGTTGGAAAGATTGACCGACTATCTAGACTTCCATATTTTGTATATGTGGGCGAAGGCAATTGAAGTTATCGTAAAGGTCAGGAAAGGCAAGATAGCTAGGTACATAGCTAGCTGGTTGAGCGCTTTCCAAAATTAGTGTAACCTTAGACATGGTCTCAGTCAATTCACACTATCAACCACCTGCCCATGTATAAGTACCAAGTTTGAAACTTGTTGCCAACCCCAAGCTCGACATGATAACATCGTCTGTGTTTTTGCACTGTTGTTTTTTCTACACTACACTACACTACTTCAAACTCCAGAATCAAGAACCTTCTCCGAGAACAAAAAACCAAGCTACGTACGCCAAAGAGACATTCAAAGCTGTATGTAACGTCTTCAGATGGTGGCTCCTAAAACATTTTTGGTTACACCAGACCACACCACACTACACTACCATCCCTGACCGTGAAACGTACCACAGACAGCCAAGCTCACCCCCAAGACTTCTTTCTCATTATGGTACTTGCTTCACCTACCGTCAACGTTACTCATATTGTCACTCCTCCTTCTCCTTCTCTTCTTCTTGAAAAGCACATGTCTTGGATGCTGGTCACTTCACAACCACCTTACCTTGTGTAGCTCCCCACATGGAAGTGTGACTGTTCAACGAAGATTCTGGTACGAACGAAGGGAGGTGACACAAACGTGTAATCAGGAAAATGTATGAGCCTGCTGCGCAAGTTGAGAGGCATTAAACCAGGTACGGCCCAGGTTTTTTGTTTCCTTTTTCTCAGGCTTTTTTTTTTTTTTTTTTTTTTTTTTTTTTTTTTCTCTCTCTCTTCTCTTTTTCCTCCAGTAAAGGAACTACTTTTACAGACAAGCTAATGTCCTGTCAAGACCCCTTCGAACGGAAACCAAAAAGCGACTTCTCATAGACCCTCAATGATTCACATTTTTATCCCGCCGCGCATCGATGGGGGAATTGGAAAAAACAAAGAGTAAAAGATCAGAAGATGAGCAACCCTGGACAAAAAATGAATCTCGAATGACTCGATAACTGGATGTGGACGAGCTGGGAATCGAACCCAGGACCTTTCGCATACAGGGGAGTATGCTAAGCGAACGCTCTACCAACTGAGCCACACGCCCGGAAATTGTGAGAATGGAAGCAATGAGTTTGGCTTATGATCTCAAAGTGAACTGAGTGAGATTTAATACGAGGTATGGAAAGGATGAATGGTGAAGTCGTTGATCGAAGAGAAAGAAGAAAAAGGACAAGAGAAGGTGAGGGACTTTCGATGATGTAAGCATGGCCCATGTGTGTGGATCAACCAATGCCAAGATAACTTACCATCTTGGTCAACAGATGAGGCACTACAAGACACAAGAGAGAAGAAGAGTGCAGATGAATAGCTGGGTTTGTGGAAATCTAGTTCAATTTCATTGTCCCCTAACGTACTGAAACCAGGGTATCAGTGTTATAATATGGATACTAAACGCAAAGGTCAAAAGACTGGCCCTAGTGTGTAAAAAAACGTCCATCCTGCTAATCCTAACGCCACTCGCTGCTTATGTAGATGAAAAGCAAATGATCCTGTATAAAAGAAAAGAGTTCCAACGCCTAAACCCCGCTTTTCCATGCAACGCTCCTCCCCGGAAGTTTTAGACGAAATGATAGTGATCGCCCTCGATTGGGACATCGGAAGGCAGCTCAGATAATACTGAAAGCGGAAGTCGTAATAGTGCTGATAGAAATGTGAGGTCGGAGGTCGTGGTGCCGAAATAATGACCAAAACGTCGAGCAATGACGTCGCTATCAAAAGAAGGTGGCACTGTGGAAACCAGTTGACGATCCAGCCGAAAGCAGTTGAAGCTGATTGCTCCCGTACTTAATACGAGTCGCTAACGACCGACTCCGTCGTCTCGGACATGTCCATGTCGAGGGGATCCTCACTCGAGAAACTAGCTTGACTAGAGGTGTCGAAACAGGTCAGTTAGTTGAGCCATCCGACAAGTCAAAAGACCCTTCAAACACCGGAGAACGAGAAAAGACAAAACCTACGATAACTGACTCCAACCCTTCTTGGAACTCGCCCTCGCAATCGCCTCCTCAGCAGCAATGACATGCGGCAACCACGGCTCGGCACCCGCCTCCCAGACCCTCCAGGCCGCCTCCTGTACTTTAGCCGGATCGGTCAAGTCGTCTACAGCGGGGTCGTTGCGGAAGTAGAGGAAGATGCGGCCAAACTGGTCGTAAATAGCCTGTAGTGTCGGCTTTTCGCACTTGCATTCGACGTTCTTGACGAGGATGGAGAGAACGCTGTGGACCTCGGAGCACGTGTTGCAGACCCAGTTGCAAGGGAACGAGTGAGGAATCACCTCCCTGCCGCGCGAGTCCAGCTGGGGGCAATCGGTGCAGTAACCATGTGTGCATTGGGCCTTGATGCACTGCTGGTCGTGAGAGGAGCCTTCCTCGTTGCATCTGCAGCAGGCTCGGGAACGCGCGGTGAAGAAGCTGGTGGGTTTGATATGGCTAGCCGGCATTGGGGCAGCCTCGACGACGGTGAGCTTTTCCATTGTTTGCGACATGATGGTTTGGCTTGGACGGTGATTGATGTGTGATAGATTCGCTTGTGGGCGAGGTTGGTGGTCCGCGCAGCTAAGGGGACGATGTCGTGTTTTGAGAAAGGTGGAAAAGTAGCAGGGCTGAGCCGATGTTGTTTGCCGTGGTGACCGTTATGACGACTGGCAGGAAGTGAAGGGTGTCTGCCAATAAGGTGTGTGATGTTGAGGTTTGATAAGCTTCCGAAGACGGAAGGGGGGTGGTCAACAAGGTTCTTGGTTGCCAAGGGACAGTAATGCGTGGGGTGTCAAGGTCGCAGTGGTCGCTGTTGAGAGCTTTATCCAAGGACGGCAAGTAAGACGGGCGAGAGAGATGTAACAGGAAACAACTTTCCGCAAACCGTGACCGAGGAGGAGGGGCGACATTTTGTTTTCAGAGATTTTATATCATGAATGGAGTTCGAGCAATTGGCCGAGGCAGATCCGGCATGCCGTTGTCGCCGAGATCCAAGTTTGGAGGCGCCCCCAGTTGCCTAGGCCACTAGCGTAGCTGCATCCACTGAGGTGCCCAAGTTCCACCTGCTAGTGCCGCGATCCCGCTGTGGTGCTATCCTGATCCCAGAAGCTGAGATGCGATTTGGCGATACAAAGTCGCCCTGAAACGACCCTTTGCTTTCTTCCACCACATCGTAATCTTCTGTTGAGAAAGTCTGCAAGGTAGAGAGAGGTAGTCACATGTAGATCAAAAACTGGCTTTCGGTTCGGCCGTGAGTTTGAGTCCCCTACCCTTGAACCTCTCACGCCTCTCTCGCGCTTTAGCCATCATCGGTGGCAGACTGGCTTCCGGACTTCCCCTTTCGTTGTCCGGGCGTGATGGGTATGGTCAGCCCTGAAGATGGATGATCTCCAAATAGATGACATCTCTTTGAAGTATCAACCCGGGGTGCATCGATCCGGCTGCAGCCATTAGCTCACAATATGGTAACAGATATTATGGGACTGCTCTATCCAAGCTATCCTTTTTGCCGACAGCATTCATCAGAGGCGCATTAAAAACGGCACTTGCCATGATGGTGTCCTCTCAGCCTTTCTTCCACACTTGAGAAGATGTTCAAATCCGGTGATTCATTGTGAGCAAAAGGACACAATGCCGAGATAACAGTGAACACAGAGACCAGGCATAACGAAGCGAGGAGATATGTAGTGTACGTTTGTGCACACCTGTATTGTTGTGATCGGCGCTCCCAAGGACAAAGGCCGAACTCCAGCTTCGGACGATCCCCACCTGATGGGCCTTGAGCATTGTGTGCATCACCAAAACTCCGAATGCATGCAAGCAAGATAATTCCGTCGAAAATTGACACTTTGAGCCTTGACAAAAACGGGTGGAACGTATGCGTCTGCATCGGAGATGGCAGAAATGACGATAAAACAGATGGTCGGCGCCAGTGCAGTGGCGGACATGATGTCGATATTGCCGCTGGTCGTTATCGCTGTCTTTATCGTTTGAATAGAGAAGTCCATTAAACAGGTGTGACGTTCGCTCGGTTGATTGGTTCGAGTGGAGAGAGAAGATTTGGATAAAAGTTTGTTGGGAATCTTGGCTCGACGTTTGCGCAGATGTTTGTTGAGAAAAAATGGAAAAAGATTGCAAAGCATGTGAGGGGTTCCGAAAAAGCCTAGGCCATGCTCCACTATTCATGCTTAAAATCGTCGCTAGTGATAGCGGCGAGGACAGCGGCGGGGCAGGGCTGCCCGACGGTAGTGTACGCTACCCTACCCCACACAGCCCGAGAAGCGAACCTAACCATCTCCGCAACTGCCACCGACAACCCCACAGTTCGTTGACGTTGACACATGGAGTGCGGGGAAGGAAGCTGAAGTGTCAACGTTAACCTTCCGTCACAGATGCATTTCCGTACATCCGACATCCGACGTCCGAGTCCGCTGGTCCGTTCGGAGGCAATCCAGATACTACATATGTGAATAGATACTTCCCAACCAAATAACCAATCCAGATTGCGAGGGCAAACGGGCGCAGAACATGCTTCGGATAACGTCTCAACGGGATGAACGACACTCCTGACTTCTTGGCGTTCGTCTCAACCCATAAAGATCACGGTGTCGACATGATCAAGACGCAACCCCTTAAGACGCGCGCCAGTGCCCCCGTGTAGCAGTGTGTTCAACTTATCTCAACTACTTTCCTAGAATAGATCTGTGACAGTTAACATCTACCTAGACCGGCACAACTTAACAATAGTTGAAGCTAGCCCACGGAGTTTACGGTAGCCAAGTTTCGGGATTGGACATATCAAATGACAAAAGTCTTGAAAGCCAAGATGGACAGGGCTTTGATAATATACTACTAGCCAGTCGGCTATAACCATCTCCAACCTCTTCACACGAGAAACCCAAGTAACGATCGAGCGCTGTAAGCACTATGTCGTTTCATGCTCGATGACTAGGGAGAAGGATATATGGTTGTCCTGTATTCCTCTCATTATCTTTTGAGATATAAAATAGACAATTGCCATAGCTGTGCCTGACAATCTCTTCCATCGCATTTTCCTGCTATAGTGATAGGGCTACATGCCAGAAGGATCTGAGCGAAACTTGCTGGGTGTGAAATCCCAGAAGGATAATGCAGGAAGGGATAGGGAAGCAGGCCAAAGATGTGATGGGGATTCGCTATGTATCAATAGACATACGATCACCAATACACAGAAACTACCAGGCGACCAGATATTGTGATAACCGAATCGCCTATTCTGAACTTGTGTTCTCGAGTCTAGATATGCTCCTCTAGTTATTACATAACATACACCTATATGGGTGGGGGTTTTATGCTAAGATATTCATCAAGATCAGAACGCTCGCTTGCTCCAAATGAATCCTTCCGTCATGCAAAGACCAAAACCACCAACCAATCAGTACTCGTCCTCGTCATCTACTTCGTCGTCATCGGCGAAGGGGTTGATGTCATCCTCTCCACCCTCATCGTAATCGTCATATCCGCCTTCGTCCTCGTTATTGTATTCCTCTTCGAATTCCTCTTCAGGTGCTGCGTCCTCCACCTCTTCCTGCACTTCTTCCTCGGCAGCAGGAGCGCTCTCGACAGCCGCAGCGGCTGCACTACCAGAACCCTCGCGCTCTTTGCCGTGGTCCTCGGTGGCATCGCCAGCCTCACTAGCCAGCGCGCTATCTGCCTCGTTACTTCCCGGTCCCTTCTCGTTGAAGTCCAAGTCAAAGATCTGGCCAAGCTTGGAGTAATCAAGCTTGGTACTGATGCCGCGGTTGCGCATCATGTTGACAGCCGCCTCCTCAGCCGTCTCGGGCACGCCGCCGTTGTCCTCAACCCGATTCTTCTTGTTCTTGCGCTTGTTCGAGTTGGGACCCTTGTTCTTCTCGGCCAGCTTCGCGTCAAACACCCTCTGTTGCTTGGACCGGAGGAAGTCCACGTGGATATTGACCCAGATCTGCTCCTTCATCTTGGCCTCGGCCTCGCCTAGGCGGCAGTACTTGACTTCAGGATCGTCGGCGAACTCGTGCTCGTGAACGATGGGGTCGTCCAGAGCTTTGTTGGGGACGTACTCGGGGCGCGTGTACTGCGTCGATAAGGGTGGGTTGGGGCGGTCTGTGACCCGTACATCCTGGCGTTCTTCGCGAGCACCAGCGTCTTCCATGACGGTGTCAGTCTCCTTGGTTGTGCTGGGTTGCTCGGTGCTGGTGGGGGCAGGAGGAGGGTCGGCAGTAGGACCAGAGGTAGAAGCAGGGGCAGAGGCGGGTGCAGGGACAGAAGGAACAGAGGAAGAATTGGCGGCTTGTTGCTTCGCATTTTGCGCTTGCTCTTGTTTTTTCTTCCGAGCATCTGCCAGCTTCTTCTGCGACTCAACACGTTTGTCCGTCGCAACCTTTTCGGCCTGAGCGGCATTGAGGAACTCGGGATCGTGCAGATGGCCCTCCATCTCTTTCTCCAAAAGAGCCTCATCCGTCTGCCATTCCTGGGTGATGGGCATCGTAATTTTCCTGAGCTTCTTCCCTCTCTTTTTCTCCTTGTCACCATTTTTTCCGGATGTTTCGCCATTGCTGGAGGCCCCAGAAGCGGCAATGTCGACACCTTGAGCCTTGGCGAAGGCGACCTCGCTGCTGGGATCAACATCCTCCTCTTCATCGTCCGAATCCGAATCGGAATGCGAATCGCCGTCTTCATCCTCATCTTCCTCATCTAGTTCACCGTACTCTTCAACCAATGTCTTGAGCTGTTGCTCTTCTCCAGCAACTGCAGTAACAATGAGAGCCTCGGCCTCAACATCAGAATCGCTGTCTCCTTCTTGCCGGGGAACTGGAGGGACAACGAAGCCATCTTTGTCGATAGTCTGGGGTGCGGCCGAGGATCCATCGTTAGTCCGGATCTTTTTGGTCCCCTTCTTCTTGCCGTCTCCAGCCTCCTTCCTCTTCCTCTTCTTAGGGCGGGTGTGCTTGGCCTTCCACTCGTCTGTTTGCTTGTAGACAAAGGGGGGATCGTGCTCTGGAGCCGCTTTCAAGAGGTCCTCGTTGTCGAAGTCTTGTACAGTCATCTGGGCAGCGGGTACGCTGGCAAACTCATCCATTCGCTCCTGAATGGTGGCCATTGTGACCTTGACGATGTAGACAACTTCTCTGACAGTACGGCGATAGTTGTGAGCTCTGGCGGCCATGATGAGAGCCGCACCGCAGATACCAGCAGGCCTACGACCATGGGTGATGTTGTCGTGTTGCATGCGCTTCGCAATACGGACAGCGGATAAGGCTACTTTGTTGGTGTCGTGCAGGAACTCCAGTTTGGAAGCAAAACGGTAAATGAGATCCTCGATCACAATGGGCCGAGGGCCTGTGAGAAATTCAGGAAACCGGTTGAGGAAGTCCTTGTAGCCACGACCAAGAGCGAAAACGTCGGTATGGAGGAGATCAGCCAAGTCTATGAGCATGATCTTGTGGTTATTTTCCGCCCTGCAAGCGGCGTACAAGCAGATGGCGGCCACATTTTGCTTACGGCGACCCTGGACGAAGTTGGCGTGTGAGCAGGCTTTGTAGTAGCGGAAAGCAATATCGCTGATGCTTTGTCCAATTCTGAGCTGGTAGGAGTACTGTTGCATAAGAGCCTTGACCTCGCGAAGACTTCGTTCACGGGCTTCAGAAGCACCACCGCCAGCAACACGGCGGAATGCAAGACCACCAACGCCGCGGATCCCGCCTTGATCAAAGGCGACATGAGTACCGTGAACAACGGCGGCACCAGAAGAAGATTCACCGAATGTGATTTCCGAGACAATGTTGCTGTCATCAGCGACCATACCACAAGTCTGGCAGGTTCCGTCGACGACATTGGGCTTTGGACATTTCGGGTTGGCGCACTTGGGTCGGTTAGGCTTAGGCGGTGCTGCTGCTGTAGGCGCAGGTGTAGTGTTGCTGGGCCCTCCGTTAGATGCTACCGAAGCCTCCCTGAAACGGCGCTCGCGGCTCTCTTCACGCTCCATGATGCGGCGTACGGCATTTGGCCGCTTAGGCTTGGGCTTTGACGACATGACTGCTGGTTTGCTGTTTGCCTTGTTCGTTGTCGTCTTTTTATGATGTTTTCTATCTCACCAAAGTTTCTTAGAGCAAGGGAACCGATGCCCGAAAATAGAGTAGGTAAATGAGCTGTGCAATGGAAAAACCGATGGTTGATGGGAGGCGTGATGTTGGCCAGTGTTGTTCTGGAGAAAGTGCTGAGCGTGGGCTGAAAGCGACGCGTCGTTGAATCCCAAGTGAATTGCAGTGGGGCACTGGTCTCGTCACCCACCTGGAAAGGTTTCGGGCAGGGGGACGGCCTAGGGGAGCAGCAATTGACGGTTTTGATGGAAGCCGATATTGGTGATGTTGACTTATGTCGGGCCCCTTGAAGGAGTATCCGGACCCTGGTGGTGAAAGGGGTGTAAGACGATTGGTGCGAAGATGGGCTAGTTCCTGGCTGGGTGGTGATACTGGTGACGGAGAAAGTTGCGAGGTCGAAATGGACTGAGCGGTTTGAAAAAGTTGTGTCCGCATGGTCGAGCGGGGTGAGACGCAGACTCAAAACTCGCATATGCACAGACTGCAAAATGGTCCGTGACCGGTGGGTCCCTCGAGCAAAAGGCCGTCAGTTCGATTTGAGGTCTTGTTCAATTCTTTTTTTCCCATTCACTTGCAATTCACAATTCACCGCACTATCGTCACTCTTGCCTCGCTTGCTCTCCTCCGCTGACACATTGCTCACATATGGCTCTGTTTCAGGTACGCTTTCCTGTGTATGGTGTCCAAAATGATCGCTGCAGCTTTATGTTACGGTCTTGTCCCCTTGCTCGTGATGACTTCCCCTGTTTATCATAAACGAGAAGCAATAGTCTACGTCGACGATAGCAACATTCAAGGCTAAATTCGGTAACGACAATAGCCGTGCACTACAGCTCATGTCTAGTCACTTCCCGATCTAAAGAGCTTTGGCCTGGCTGTATGCGAAAGAGCGTTGGGCAAATCACAGACGCGAAATGGCCATTGTGAATGCAAGTTCTCCCGAAGTTTTCCCGTAGTCTTAGGATAACCGGGCCGCTCTACCTTCGTCTTACTTATCCATATCATGCTCCAACGCCGTCCAGACAGAAATACGAAACACTAGGGAAGCCAAGCAAGACACATATACCAATGACACAGATCTTATGTGCATGGAATAGCTGACTCTGATCCATCGTGAACTCGCGAAGCCCCTCACTGCAACCCAGTCTCACAGTCAAACCAACGCTACTCCTCTCACTCGCGCACGCCATCATGGTCGGCTGATCTCCGGATTCTGGCGACGGACCAAAGGATTAGGTCCTCCGTCTCTGAATATCTTGCGTAATAGAAACTGTAAAGCCCGAGCTAAAAGAGTCGTCACCTCTGCTGGTGCCTTCTCTACGTGTATAAAAGGTATCAAGACACCTCGATCAGAAAAGGTGAGTCCAAAGTGAAGAACACAACTCCCATATCACCAACATCGTCTACATACTTCATAGCCATATTTCCCACTACCTCACTCTACAATTCGAACAAAATGTCCGCCAAGACCTCCGATATCTTCACCATCCGCGCCGCCCCCGGCACCGACATCTGGCGTAAACCACCCACAACCAACATCTACAATGGTATATATGACCTACTCTTAACCCCCCACTTACATCCATTTCTTACCTCCTCTATACAACCATCACTAACCCTACCTAGCACCAACCGCCATCCCGCCCTCCACCCGCTCCACCGGCCCTCTAACCTCCTTCCTCTCCGTCCGCGCCTCCTTCTCTTTCCCCTGGCGCGAGCGCTACGACCAAGCAGGGATCCTCCTCGCCTTTCGTCCTCGCCACCCTTCTACTTCTTCTTTAACTCCCTCTGCTACTTTGGAATCCGAGAGGAAGAACGACATCCCGCCCAAATGGATCAAAACCGGCATCGAATTCTACCAATCCCAACCGCAACTGAGCACAGTAGCCACGGATAATTGGGCTGATTGGAGCGTTACTCCTCTCCTTTCCTCTTCTTCTTCTTCTTCTGGAGCAGAGACAGAGCAGTGGACGACCATCTTGGTGGAACAGTCGGCCGACGAGCATGGAAAGAGTATTTGGGTTTATAGGATTGTGGTGGATGAGAAAACGGGAGAGGAAAAGAGCAGGACGGCGTTGAGAGAGATTTGCTGGGTTTATGGGCTGGCGAACCCAGGGGTGGAGGAGTGGGATTTGGAGGTGGTGGCTATGGCGGCGAGACCGGAGAAGGAGGTTAAGGATGGGGACGAGAAGGAATTGGTGGTAAAGGTTAAGGGGTGGGAGGTCAAGTGGGCTGAGGAATAGGACGGTTGAGGTTGACCCAAAGTGTATGTCACTGTCAGTCACTTCTCGTTTGGCGAACAGAGACAGAAATATATGTGGGAGGTGGTTCCATTACGTAGTTCTTCAAGTGAGGAGAGGGCTTGCTAGCTATCTAACGCAGCTATGAGATTGAATATTACCATTGTTTTTCCCTAGTTGTGTTTGTGTCATCATCATAAGAGTCATTACTATACATCATCACGAAGGTGTCTTGGCTAGTCTGCTAATTAAAGCGACCGTTTCGCGAATATGAGTGAGCGAGTGACCCCTTGCTCGTACAGCTAACAAGTCTCTCCCATGTAGAAGCAAACTATACAAACCAGACGGCCTTGAGACACTGTTTGATCATCCAACCAGGGGATTCGTCCATGAGGTTGTCAATACAATATCTGTCCGAGGGATAGGCAAAAAGAAAAAAAAAGAAGGATTGAGTTGCGAGCGCCGTATACGCATGTCGGAGAAAGATCAAGTTAATGCCTCCCCGATGTGGTATCAGTCTGAGTTGCGATTGTTGTCTGTTGTTATAAGCCAGTGCTGTTTGTGACACAAGGGAATGACCAAAGCATCCTCCCTCAAAGGTTGTCATTCAATATCGATCCCGAACTCCAGTCAGTTGAGAGGCCATGCGGGCAAAAATGAATGAAGGGAAAAAATTATCGTTGGGTATCGTGAGATGGTGAAACAACGTGACTGGTGAAGTAAACCCGAAAACCTAATCGTACACCATGCGTAGGACCATCCTTCTAGATAGTCTTGGGCGTCCGCGTCGCATTGCTCGCGTCAATGACGTCGTCAAGGTGGTTACACATGGCAACGAACAGGTCGAAGAAGAGTTTCCCACTACCTTGTCCATACACGCTGCTGCTGCCGCACTTTTCCATTTCGGCCTGCATCGTGCCGCTGCGCTTGAAGGTCTTGCGGCAGCGGATGATGAGTGCCAGATAATGGGCGCGCAGGCGACTGTCGGAGTCGGGCGTGTGCGCGTAGCAATACTGCGCGCTCCGAAGGATGGTGCCGACGTCGATACCAGTCTGCAGCCCTTGCTTCCGCAGCGCCAGCCTCTTGAGTTCCTCCAGCCCGTAACGCTCTGCGGCGCAGTAGACCACCGTGTCGCGGAGCAAGTATTGGTTCAGGCTGGAGAGGAACACGGTCGGCTCGATGGAGAACTGACCCGCGTGGCCACCTCCGAGTTGTGGTGAGTTGTTGCCTGTCGGGGGTGTAAGGGGCGCGGCCCGATTGGCGGGGATAGAGAGAGTGTCCTCGAGCTCCCAAGAGTCCTGCTGCTGGTTGTGTAGGAGACGGGGGTAGTAGTCGCCCTTGTAGAGGTATTCGAGGATGGCGCTGAAGACCTCTGGCTCTTCATCCTCGAGCAAAATCCTCTTGGATTGCGCAAGCATTCTTTCGAAGAGAGGAGCCTGGCACAGGATATCTTCATGCGCAGCAAACAATCGCCCCTCGCCGCCCACGGTGATGGTGATGATGGGGGAGGGGGTAATGGCGAGTGGCTTCTCGGCTGGCTTCGCTTGCGTCGACTGTGGCTGTGTGCGCGAAGAGTCCTCGCCCACGAGCGGCTGCTTGAGGTTCGATAGCTTCTGGAGATCCCGTTTCGATTTCTTCATAAGTCTTGCAGACTTGTCCACCCGATGTTGCGAATCTGTACTGGTTGATATCTGGGTAGGCTCCCTCTGAGAGTTGCCCGCATCGCGGGATCGGAACGAGCGCTTGAACATGGTGGTGGTTTTGGGGAAGATGAACCGGGAAATGGTAGCGGGGTTGACGGATATCCAGGAGGAAGGTTAGATCCAAGAGAGCGACGAAAGAGACGAAGAACCGGAGAATAGAAAAAAGAGGGAGAGAAGGAGGGAGGGAAGCACAAAAGAAGGATTGACAGGGCCCGGGCGGTGCTATCTCTACCGAATGAACCTCGAGACAACACCAGCAAACACTTTGCAGCCCTTTGGTTGTGTGTTGGGGGGACAGGGAGTAAGAACCAGGAAAAGAAGTGTGGTAAGGGAGGGGTTGGCGGGATACTTATACCGTTAACAGCCTCGCGGCCCATGTAAAGGCGTGATGCCGGATTGATGGGAAGCCAACAAAAAGCAGGGCGGGGACGGCGGTTGTACGTAGATACCCATCCTCCTGGGTTGTATTGGCAGGGGTTTTGTTGAACATCCGTCCAACAACAATTGGCAAACCCAGAACCGTCAATATCGTGGTTCGTTATCCAGAGACAGGGGCCATGTTCTGGAAATCGACTTGTCGTCCATTCACCGCGCTCAGACGGCGTGTGGTTGGGTGTATTGACTGCATGTTGCAGCCTGCCTTGATGCATGCTGAGGGTGTGCGCGATGGCGCTTCCGGCGATGGCTGCATGCTTCGACTTCCTCCTCTCCCTCTGCACTATGGCGTAGATAGTTTGGTCCGCCTTGCGATGGATATGTGGGATAGTCCCAATGGTGAAGACGGATTGAACGAAATGAATGCTGAGCTGTCCATCGACGTCAACAGACGAGGCGGCCTCCGTCCAGTCTGCCCTGGCCTGAGCTTAAATGGTTCATCCAATGGTTGAAGAAGGGTCAAGTTTCGCCCAATCCGTCGTCGGCCCGTGGTATATACGTCGCCTGCTTCTGTTCTTCAAGATACGTACACTAGGGGACCAGATGACTCTTTGCGACTGTCAATTTGAAGACGTCAATCGATGTTGCTTTTGTTGGCATGGAAAACGCGCAGATATCGATCTCACCAATCTTCAGTCGGGCAAGGGGCCCGTCATCTCAATCCCGCACAGATCCACGGCGATGGGACGCTACAGTGGGGCTTGTGAAACAAAGGTCCGCGGCTCCGCTACGGCTGCGTGGAAGCAGGGGGTCAAGGGGGGTAGGTTTGGGGATTTTGGTGTCAGTCCCACAGCTAGGGGCCATTCCAACGCTTACAAGTAGTTTCAAGATTGTGATGCCTTCTATTTGGAAAGGGTGATGACTCGATCACGGGATAATCGTTCTCAACGTATGTGAAAATTTGATGCTTTTCTAGGCTATATACGTGGCTTTGAGGGGCAGTCGTCGAATAGGGGGGACAGCATCGCCGGCAAAGAGGAGCCTGTTCCAGCAGCTGTTAAAGTGGTGATAAAACGAGGCTAATAGAAAACAAGGGCGGAAGAATCATGTGAAGGCATGCCATTGCATGCAGACGTGTTCTGTGGCAAGTCTCCTCTCATCAAAACACGAACCAACTTATCCATCTCACTCCTGATCTCCCTGCTGCGAGCCATCTGGGGTGGCGTCCTGGCTTGGGCTGCCGTATTTCTCTGCCAGTTCTTCACGCAGGCTGATGAGGCCATACATAAAAGCAAAGACTATCGAAAGCGATTGCGGTCAGCACAATGCTCTTGTCACCTAGCCGGGGACGCAGATGTGACTTACATGCAGGTCCCAGAGCCACGAACAAGGCGCAGTATCCAAACATGAGTTCTCTGTACCTAACAATCTCAGGGTCCAGCCAGAAGTAAGGAGCACGGCCGATGAAGAGCTTCCCAAAGGCAGCCCAGCCAAGGTAGGCACACAGCAAGACTACCAAGCCAATGATGTGGGTGTGCACAGGCTGTGAAACTTATCAGTCTTCCTGTCATGACATGAAGACCTGCTCCACTCGACAACTCACGATCTGGCGTTTGATGCTGTTCAGAAACATGATCTCAAAGAGAGCGAGAAGTGATGTATAACCCCATAGGTTTATAACACAGAAAGGTTCAAACCATCCATGGCTAAAGAAATCACCGGCTAGTCTCGTTAGCGCAATTTCAAGGAGAATGTCGAGACTCAATGGGAACATACCCTCGAGGCTCCCCGCATCATCGCCGCTGCCCCTTTGCCTTTCTTTGGGTAACTCGCCGTGACCATGCGGCACTACAAAGACCCAGAAGATGAAGGTGTTCATAAAGGCAAATACGTGGGACACTGTGTAATACAAACTGAAGTGAAGCCGGTTGCGCGAGGTGATTGTCTGCTCGGGCGGTGACATTTTGCGAAGCAGAACCGACTCCCATGTGTTGTGCTCCTCATCGATATCGGGATAATAGAGGTGCGTGTAGCTCCAGCACTAAGTCAAGAAACCCGGAATTAGTACCAACAAGTCAAACTACCGGTGGAGAGACAGGGGGCCCATACAAAGGCGAGCAAGTGATAGAGCCACAACAGAATGAAGGCAATGGTCGAAAATTGGAAGGCAATGCGCCAAGGAGAGTCGCCGTCTTGCCGCTTGTAGAGTTTGTAGTCAAGAAGCATGGGTGCAAGAATGGTGAGGTAGATCAGAATCAGGCCCCTGAGGACAACAAGAGTGGTCTGGTTGATGAAGCCCCATGGCGCGTGGCATACACGAAGAAAGATTGGCTAAATATAAACTGTCAGTACGATCCAAGATGATGTGCGCTACGAATGGCCTTGCAACGTACATGGTCCTGGACAACTCCATTTGGTCGCGGAAGATCACGGCCCAGGAGGGAGCTTCGTTCCGTTGCCTCGTTGCCAGTCGACATGTTGATGAGCAAGAGAGAACTGGTCGTCAGAGGTGGAAATCGGGAGATATTGAGGAACAGGCGAGTGAAGAACGCCAGCCGCTTTCGATAAAAGACGATAGATCATAAAAGAAAACTATGATGACCATAAGGCAAAGAATGGAATGCGTTCTCTGCTAGTTTCTTTGGCACTGTCTAGAATACTCCTTCCATGAGTCAAAAGCAACCTGATGAACCTGACGGCAGCGACGTGCAGTCCGTCTGGCACAGCTCAATTACCCGACCTTGAATCCAAAAATGGAATATCATCCTACCTCTAGGTAAAAGCGGTCGAAACAGAAAGCATGACCATTCGGTTGGGTGAAGTCTGATTGTCCTTTTTCTTCCGAGGAAACGACGGACTACAGGGGAAAATATCGTATCGAGTTCTCAAACACCTAGCTGGGCGAAAAAGTAGGAGCGATGGTCTTTTGGTCGGATTTCGGTCTTTTCCAATTCATAAAGAGCTTCCACTGGGAAGAATGACGATAGCACTGTGGAAAACATCCATTGAAAGGCCCATAATCTGAGCGTCATATTCTCCGAGGTTTTTTATTCAGAGTATCTACCATGGTGCATGGTTGAGAGAAAGAATATATTGTTGAGGTTGTTGTGGTTGAAGTTGAGGTTTAGGTTGTTGAATGAGAAAGAGGAACCTCGTACATAGTGCAGGGCAGGCACCTTGATGTCTTGTGGGCCGTTCGAGATGGAACTGAGTGGGTCTCCTCTCTCTACATCCACCAATCAGAAGCAACCATTTTGCGGCTTTCTTGTCACCGTGTCCGCTCCCGCTGTGCCTGGCTCTGATGTCAATTGTCAACTACATACAACGGCGTCAGTACCTGTAGCAAAAGTCAACAACACCGATCCGACCCATTCCAGGAAGCAGCTACTCCGAACTTGCGCAGGAACCTTGCGGCGCCGCGCCAATCCACACAACAACAGACATCGATCGCTTCTGCTCTTCCGCCGTCGCCATGTTGTCAGGCCTCGCAAACCCGCGGCAAGCTGCCGTCCAGCTTATGAACTTTGGCCTGATCCTGTCGACTGCATTCATGGTGTGTTCCTGTCCAGAACTCTCTCCGCTATGTGACTTGCCTCTGAATAGCTTCATCAATGGCGTGCTAACCAGCTTCCGTGTCGCAGATGTGGAAAGGTATTTCGGTTATCACAGATTCCCCGTCCCCGATTGTCGTCGTCCTGTCCGGTAGCATGGAGCCGGCCTTTCAGCGCGGCGACCTCTTATTCTTGTGGAACCGCAATGTGTTGGCCGAAACCAGCGTTGGGGAGATTGTTGTGTACAATGTGAAGGGCAAGGATATCCCCATTGTGCACAGGATAGTTAGGAAGTTTGGAAAGGGGTTCGTTTTCCATCTGCTACACCCCTTGCGCTGTCCCGTACATACAGCTGACCATAGGGCTGCCTGCCTCGAAGACCTGAAGCGAAACTGCTCACAAAGGGAGATAACAACGTCTCGGACGACACAGAGCTCTACGCAAGTGGACAGGATTACCTGGTTAGAAAAGACATTATCGGGTATGATGATTTGTTTTCGCTTGTACCAGGACGTTTCGATCATTCCGCTAACATTGTCTTAAACAGGAGCGTTTTTGCCTACATTCCTTTTGTTGGCTATGTCACCATTCTTTTATCCGAGCACCCATGGCTCAAGACTGTCATGCTCGGACTGATGGGTTTGGTGGTGGTTTTGCAGCGTGAATAGCCACGTTTAACTATAGCATAATTCCCTTCTCGAACAGCGATCGATGCCGCCTTTGTTTTCCCCCTTACTTGTGACTTTTACATGTACTTTTCACCATCTTTTACCGTTGGAAGTCCCAAGGTGAAGAAGATAAATGGAAAGAGGTGAGCTAACACCTTGTCAAAGTCAAATGGCTTATGATTCCATATTGACCCGCTACTTATGTACCTAGGTACTCTATCCCTTTATGGTCCGCTTTCCTCTATCATCGATTGCCAGTCCATGCTACCTAGAACTCTTTGTCTGTCGATAAAGTTGGGGCCGGGAGCCAAGTGCCTGCCCTGAGCTGCCGTAGCGAAGGACCAACAATGCCGGCAATGAGCCGACCTCTAGGCAGCCACGCCGCCTGATTCGCCATCCAGACGCCAAGACGCCGCTAAACCCTTATGCGATAGGGTTGTAAAAGAGACCTTGAGGTTTGCAACTTCAAGGTACGCCAAAGTCAATGGGAGCCAGCGTCTAGCCCTTTGCACTGCAATCTAGAAAATCTCATTCCGCCCTTTTTCTTTCTTTGGCACGCCACCGCCGGTTTGTCGACTGTCGCTCGTTGTTTTCACGACTTCCTGTGCACTCTGCGCACACTCTCTCGTTCAATTATCAAACTTCTGTCGCCAACATCATCTGGATCGTCGTCACGCCGATCGCTCTTTTCGCGCTTAATCACCGGTCAACTGAATCACTACTAATATCTCGATAACGTTATCCCAAACTTGGTCAAACAAACGAACAAAATGACCGCAGCCGGACCGTCCAGCAGCACGCATGTTGCACAGGAACGAACCGATAATGATGGAAGCACAGCCATGCAAGGAGCACCACTCCTGCCTCATTCAGTCACCCAGGACAAGAACGGTGCGGTTTTCCAGCAGCAACAGGCGCCTGTACCGTTTGGATATGGCACTGGCACATATCAACCTATCCCTCTGCGGATTCCTGGTTCGGAAATTGCCTACAGCAAGAAATGGCACGTTGTGAAACTGGCTTTCCAAACCGCATCTCTTGTGTGCTCTGCCGTCATTTTTGGAATTGGCCTGGCACTGGGCGTCTATGGTGAACAATCGGAGGATTACCGCTGGTGGGAAATAGACCCCGTTTTTGCCATTGATGCCTCGGCAGTATGTCCCACCCTTATCAACTATACTCATTCGACATCGTATCTTTGTACATGGCCATATGATAACTAATGCTCTCTAGGCTGGACTGGCAATTTTATGGACCGTGGCTGAGTTCCTAGTATTGTATGCCTCTAAAGGACGTCGAGGCATTCATCCCGGAGCTCATGTCGGTGTTCAACTGATCATTGTCCTTGTGGCTTCCTTGGGGGTCAGCATTGGTGGCGTCTTCGTCTACGAATTCACGAGAGACTACTACGATGAACCTGTTATACCCAACCTCCTAACGGGCCTCGTGCGAACCCTGCTTGCGTTCTCTAGCATTCTTTGGATCATCCACTTCTTCCTCTTCGTTCGAGCCTGTGTTGAAACACACACCGTCAATGCGACAAACAAGTCCCGAAGAATCACCTATGTCCGAGTTCCGGTACCCGTACCAATGCAGATGGGCCAAATACCTCACAATATGGTAGCTGGACAACATTCGATTCCTGACCAGCAAAACATAATGTATGGCGGTTATTACGCCCCTGTTGCGCAACAACCTTCAGCAGTCCCACAGGGCTCTCAACAGCAACCTGCTGTGCCTCTACAGGGCTATCAAGCGTCAACTTCATGAGACACTTGTTTACCTCTACGCCCCCACTTGACGACTTGAACTGAGGTTTAATACACCGTTGTGTTCACGACGCGGCTGACGCTCCCAAGTGGTCTAGCCAATATTCAGTGAGCTGATAGACGGTTCTCAAAACTCAAGGAGACGCTTGAGTGAGGGTATATCTTACCTCTCATAATACGAATGACTTCCAATTTAATGAAATATTCATTGTTTGGATACATTCAAGACGGCACAGTATCGCTCAAAGGACGCTGGGGCGCGTCGGATGGACATTGAAGTCCTTATTGAAACGGAAACATGTGGCCTACCATTATGGGTCACGAAGCAATTAGGGGATGGGATAATGTTTTACAACACAAATAAAATAATGCGGTAATGTTGCCTTTCACAACACACAACATGGGTCGTTTGCGGCCCTCAGCCTTCCGTGTCCAGGCCATTATGTTTCCCACATGCCCATTCTCAAGGTACGGCTCGTATTCGCGTTGTTCAATGGTGGTTGCCGCGGTGCTGTGTCCTATGATTCGTGACTCTTGGACCTAAGCTGTATCTTCAGTTGAGCATTCCAACACTTACATTTCGGTTGGATCCTTAATCTTCTGTTGAGCCCAACTATCCTGCTCATCCTCAAGCTTGCGAAGGAGTCGATTGACGAAATGAGCGAGGTCATTGTGTCTAAGATCCCGGAGCAGTTCCAGGACTTTGCTAAGAGCTTCACTGTGCCCCGTTTTGAGAGCGTTGATGAGGCTATTAACACTTACAAGCTGTCTTAGGTGAGGAAGGAGTGGTGGGGGTAAAGCAAAGGCTAAGATGAAGAGGAAGGAGGCAGGATGATGGCTGCCCTGTTCTGGACACAGAGATTTCGATGTGGAAGGAACGTACAATCGCAGCATTGGAGGACTGTCCAGGAGACTTGGGATACTGGTTCATCTGTTGCTCAGGCTCCGTCGTCGGGTGCAGAACGTTGGAGTAGTATCTGAACTGATCGTGAATGATATGTTGGATGTGAACAAGTGACCTAATGGGATGGGTATCCTTGATAGGATCTCCTTTTATGGATTTGTGCGAGAGGGGGATAGAATGACTGAATGATGATGAACACTAAAGTAGAAAATACGGGTAGTCCCTTTCCATTTTGGGGCCACAGCTGCCCAAACCCCCTCCCCACTGCTCCTGCTTTCTGTCAAGACTTTCCTATCACCGCACCACTTCCTAAAGGCAAGACCATGACTTGGAAGGAACGATATGTGTCAACTGAAGGACTAACAAAGTGAGCGCCTGCCTTGTTTTTCCGTCCTTAACACTGCGCGGCGGTGCGCCTTCGGGCATAGAGTTTCAACTTCGAACTACAAGTTTGAGAGTCACATTTCTCTTCCCTTTCCACTTTCATGCCCGGATTTCCTAGTTTCCAACTTTTAGTGGTCATTTTACGCCTTCTTGACAGCGCCTTCTATCCCAAATGGTCAAGCTGCAGCATCCGCAACAAATTCTTTCTGCGATCACAGAAATCCCACTGAAATTGGCAGTCGGCGTGGCGGAAGCAAGAACCTACCAGTGTACAGCATCCGAATTTTCATCCCGCGCATAAACTCGAGCCTTGCTTATAGAAGTCCAAAACTTAATGCAGCCACCCGACCATCCAACGGGCATCTCGATCTATGACGGGTCTTGACTACTTCCCGAGCCACTTGTTTGTTTCGAGAGCTGCAGTAGTAGTTCGTCAGCTCTTGTCTGGACGGCATTTTCCCCTGGGAGAAGCGTATCAACGATGCGTTTCAACCGCTGCATGCATCACAAGTCACAAGCCAGCCGCATTTACCACACACAATAGCATCCCTCCGGAGACATTGCACCGGAAAACGCAAGGGACACTCTTCCGTCCCGACCCCTCTCGACCACGGGCTCATCATTTTTGGAGCTTCCTTATCCAACATTATCCTATGGCAACGAAGAGACAGGAAAGAAAGATGTCAAACATTTGGAGCATGGTAAGTACCGACAGTCATCCCATCAGCCCACTTTTTTGATTCACAAGCTAAATCTCAAAACAATCAAGAGCTACCGACGGCCACTCTTTAGCTTTACTAATATGTGTTCATGCTGTGCTATGTGACACTGACAAGTCTGCCATGTGTCTGTTGCTTCACTCGACATGTATCGCCGTTGTTAGCCCAATGCAGAAACGATTGGAGAACTAACGCAAGGTCAAGGTTTTAGGACTGTGATGTCCTTATCTGATACTGAGAGAGAGACGACCACTGTATCAATTTGATTGTGCGAACTTATACCGACCCATATCAACATGTATGGAGACCTGATATCCAACACGCCCGGGTCTGAAAGAATATCACTGAAAAGAACAGAAAACTAGATATCAAATTGTTTTCGCAAACACTTCGACCCTACAGACAACGTTGGATCTCGATGACATGACGCATAGCAGTCTACAACCGTGGTAGTTGGCACCGAAAACGAGCCAAAGTGGCTTCTCAACACATGCGGACTTTATTCCAGCCAATGTTCGTCCTTCCTGATCTTCAGGGGCTGAAGATGTTGTGCCTGGCCCCCAATAGCCTTGAAGCTATATGATTTGCAACTAGGCATTTCCAGGCCAACACTCTACGCCACACTCGCCGATGTCCGCCGCGGCCCTTACCGTATGGTGTGACTCTGAAGGCGAAATCGAATGACATGTCCCGAAGTCTTCATTCGGCAGGCCAATGACAGTTCAATGTTCAAGAACAAAGTAGCAAAAACCACGGAACAAAACACAGCCAGGTAGATTCGGATGCAATGTAACTCCTCCACCGCGCACTAGGGCGGAGGGCACCGGTACCCGGGTGAATGGGAGACCCTTTTTTTAGAATCCCGCATCTAAGTATGTAGCGCTAGGGCTAACGGGGAATTAGCAATGGAAGAGATTTTCGATGGCTTCAAGACGCACCATTGGATACAGAGACGTCGGGAACTCACGATCGATGAATGTGCGGCTGCAAAGAAAGGATCGTGTCTTAAGCTCAACGAGAACGACGGATGATCAAAGGATCATCGAAACGACAACCTCAAACCCATCACGCATGTCGAACCGACCGCATACAGGAGACTCGAGCAGCCAACAAGCGCGGAGCCGGGCATAGCCGCCCCCTGTCTACCGACATTCAGTTATTGAGACGGAAACCCACGCATACACTCTTTTCCGAATGGAATCCCCCGAATTTCCGGGATGGGCTATTCTCGTCCTGTTTCTGTTTGGGCACAATGGCACAGTGACTCTCCCATTTTTACGGTAGCCTCATCAGGTGTCCCAATCCTGAGATGGCGTCTCGTTCCGTCGGCAAACTTGCAACGTAGTTGCCTCTAGTACCTCCAAATCAGAAAACGCGCTATTCCTTGCAAACATCTCTGCAGAAAACCGGCAGTCAATATTATGGCCCCTTCTCGTTGTGAAACAGAACAGAGTTCTCTGGAGCTATAAGTATCAGAGAACATGATCGCCAGAGCCAGAGAGAGTCTTGCCTTGATCCTGGCATCTCTGGACTCCCATGTTTGAGGCAATAGCAAGATACTCATCCGCTAAACAATGCAACCTTTGGACAGTGATCGTCGACCTTCCTATGATGATATACAAGTAAGTGTCAGTCGCACGGTTTCTTTGTTCGTGCTCCTTTCCCACGAGTTATACCCGAACACGGCCCTGTACCACGGGGGATCTGCTTGTCCATGTCTGTCCAAAGCTTATCGCCGAAGGAATGTGATAACCATGGCTCAGAGTGGCATGTTTTCCGAAATCATGGCCTGATATTGCCGGGATACTCAGATATGATCTGCCATCGCGCCCAGAATCTACCCGCTGCTACTAAGCCAAGAATCGGACCACTGCCAGCAGTTCACACTTTAGTTTCTGGTAACCTTTGAAGTATCTCAACTGACAGTATGACAGCCATCGACCCATCCGAGCATACCATGCAATCATCCTCATGACCCGTACATCTCCGGCTATGCTTGTTTAGACTACCAACAACTTACTCATTCTGACTTCTCAACCCCCGCGGTTACTCTACAATTGCAAACAGACAACTACGCGAATTCAAGAACCAACTGTGCGCCGATACAACACGCCCCGTCCAGATCTCATGGCGTATATGCGGATCATCATATACCACACTGTCTCCGCTCGAGCAGCTTCTCGGATGGAACTAGCTCCGTAGGGCTGACACTGTCCACCTCAGCACTCACTGTGTCCGGCTCGATACCGGTTACATCTCACTCAGCTTATCTGCTGGGCTCTCTCACCTCCCCTGTTACAGCTTTTTCAGCAGATGTCGTTACTGCCAGTTCATTCCCTTCTGATACATGGCCGACTTGCAACCAAACGCACACTGCATGGCCCCCCTACGTGGCCGACGAAATGCAGTACGAAAGCCCAACCACCGCGGGACTATCTTTGCAATCGCTACCCGACATATTGAAGCCTGTATTGGGTGGGGGTTATAATGGGGAACACAAATACATCGATCAGAACATGATCACTACCTATACAAACGCATATCGGCGAAGCCAGGCAGCATTAACAGGGGAATTAGGTGCTGCGAAGAAAAAGGAGAAGCTTAGAAAGAGACGGCGACACCGACTGGCACAGACAGAGGACGGACAAATGGTTAGCAGCAAGCTTGAAGACGAAGAATCAGCACATAGCCCGTCGTCAGCCGGCACGAAACTCTCAGCTGCTGTCAATCGCAGCTTGACGGCTAGCCGCCCGTCCTCGCTGTTATGGGTGCAGGAAGATGTTGCTGGAAGTTTGATGAACCCAAAAGGCAAAGAAAAGGGGCGAAAAGAAGACAGCAAGAGCAACAAGAAGAGGAAGCAACAACAACAACAACAACAACAACAACAACAACAACAACAACAACAACAACAACAACAACAACCAGTTCAACAATCATACAAGGGGGTCGGCTTAAAAAGGATAACGAGTAGAAGAGCCTCGTATGCGGAGCAAGCATGGGAAGCCGGAATTTGTGACGGTGACACGGACATGGTGCTCAACTATACCACCACGCTCGACAACAACAGCAACAGGAGTTATTCCGTCACTGGACATGACTTAGACCTCGACACAGCACATACAGCGAGTCCCCGGCAGGAAATCGCCCGCATCAAGCACAACAAGGTAGAACAAAAGTACCGTAACCGACTCAACGCCCACTTCGAAGCGCTTTTGGACGTGCTCCCTCCCTCGGTGGCCCTTCCCGGTGAGCAAGGGTTCGAAGCCGAAACCACAGAGCAGACACAGCCACTGGGAAGACTTACCGATATGGCTGAGCTGGATATTCCGGACAAGGAACGCCGAGTGAGCAAATCTGAGGTCCTTGACCGCGCAAGGATGTACATTCAGACATTGGAGAATGAGCACAAGCGACTGGCGGCGGAGAGGAAGCAGTTGAGGAAGATCTGGGATGAGTATGGGAATGCGAATAGGGAAGGTCAATGATGCTGGGTTGCGAAGTGGTGAAAAGACAATCGAAAAGAAAAAAAAAAGGGGGGGAGAAGGGGGGGGGGGAAGGGAAATCATGAGGCATTGTTTGCACCAGGTAAATACACACATGGTAAGTCACGACACTAGAAGCGTTTGGAACACGAAATATACGAGGATTATGTATGATAGGGCAGAGGATTTGTCGGAACATATATTAAAATAAATAGGAAGACAGCGTTGTCTGGCGATAACCGACTTATAAACAAAAGGAAAAGCGTAAAAGGGAAGGAGGGCATGGCTAGTCCAGTGGTACATAACACATTAACCGACGGTCCTGCACCTCATGTGAGTGACAAGAAATACATCAATACTAGCCATATTCATGAAAACACTTTCCAAGCACTAGATATCCAGCTTCTGGATAAAAAAACGAGTGACTTGTTCTAATTTGACTTTTTCCCAGACTTCTTGTAGTGTACGTAGGACATTGAAGCAACTCGGAAAAAAAAAAGTCTTCAACCTCCACGCCTCAGCTTGCGAGACTCACAACGGACCAAGTAAATATACGTATCTCCCGGTATTTCAACCCTGCTTTGGTTGGACTTCTGACATTTGCACCCCGGACCGAAGGACTGCCCTCCAATACCCCGATTTCATATGCGCATACAAAGACGAATCAAAACGATCCAGTGGTCAATCAGAATGAGTGTCGAGTGTCATGCACACCATTTATTCGTTCGGTCCCTTACGGATGTGGGGGACCGGGATCCGGATCGGTCCAACGTGCCTGTTCGGTTCAGCTACCTATTGATTGGACACTGAGAGAATTGGGTTCTTGTTCCTGGAAATGTTTAATGTGACGACAGATCCAGTCAACGAACGCATGGAGCGGGTCCGATTTGAGCAAGGTATAGTCCTTTGAGTAGATGTCATGCTTGAGATGTATTGATGTCGCACTACATAACTTGGCCCCAGAAGTATCTTATTTATCTTCTCGCGATTGATATGCACTTCACGTCCATCGATCAACCAAACCCTGAAGCCATCATTATTCATGTTTTTCATCTCTAAGCAGTCGCCTATCAAATCCATATCCAAAAAGCACCAGATCCAAGATGACTCCCAAGCCAAGTAACTCAAGCAATGACAATGAGGTTGAAGGAAACAGGAAAGGCCAAACAAGGCCGTGGCCGTGAAACTAAGAGGAGAGGGAGGCAATGAGCCCCCTTACTCCTCATCATCACCACCAGCAGCAGCCTTGGCGGCATCAGCCTCCTCCTCGTCGTCATCCTCGTCCACGGCCTTGGAGGCCGAACGCTGTGCCTTCTTGGGGCTACCCTCTTCGGCCTCGGCCTCGGCATCATCATCTTCTTCCTCTTCTTCGGGAATCTCCTCCTCGTCCTCATCCTCTTCGTCACCCTCCTCCTCTTCCTCGTCTTGTTCCTCTTCCTCCTCGTCTTCGGCAGCTGCCGTCTTTAGCTTCTTCTTGGGAGGGGCTTTGTCTGGAACGTCAGTTCTGTCAGTTATATCTGTCCAAGACTAGCTAGCAGGGGCAAAGTGGGCAGGGCTGCAGTGACTTACCTGTGGTCTCCTCTTCCTCTTCCTCTTCATCTTCGCCTCCTTCCTCGCCGTCGTACTCCTCATCTTCTTCGTCGTCATCAACATCCTCTTCCTCATCGCCAGTGGAGACATACCTGTGGGAGGCCGTTTGTCAGCTATCCTAGCTTGGATGAAAGATATATTCATATGCATGTCTTTTGCCTGTCTTCGTTTACCCACTGAAAGTGATGGCGCCGCCTCTTGAAGTGTCGGGTGATCGCAATCCACACCAATATACGATTGGCGATTCAACTAGCGACAAAGCAAAGCATTGGCGCCGCAATGCGCAAAGGCAGCAAAGCTCCGTCACCAACGCGTGTTCTTGTTGCCGAGGCACATCGCAAAACGATGACGAAGAAACAAAGAACAGATGAAGCTAGAGAGGTGAAAACAGCGGGTAGTACTTACTCCTCTTCCTCCTCACCGTCAGAATCCTCAGGGAGGGAAACGAGCTCTTCGGGCTCCTCTTCAGCCTTTCTCTTGCGGGTGGCAGACATTGTGAAACTTGTTGAATTAAGTAGTTAACGCGATATCGGAGAGACTCGCAAAGTCGCGACCGAGGCGGTAAAAACGCGTGTGAAAAGGTGGCGGAAATGGAGAAAAGAGAGAAGAAAGAGGAAAGACGGAGGGAGAGAGAGAGAAAAAAAAGATCTGGGGGAAAGAAGGCTGGGGGTGGTGGGTGGTGGTGGGCGGCAAAGCAAAAAGCGTCCGAAGAGAGAGAGAGAGAAGTGGAAGTGTAAAGAGCCTAGGGTAAGCAGAGACACCCACCCAGTTGGGGGAACTCTGACTGGGGAACTGGGGGAAGCTCCAAGCCTCCAACTACACTAAGACCGGCCGCGGCCAGCCCACGAGAGCTACGTACTGTACCTTATTACGTACCCCTGGTAGCCAACTGGTCTCTGAACCTGGGGATTATGGCTTAGCAAGTACCTACCTTTTAGCTACGCTACTATGACGGTACTTCTGCCCAGTAGTGTTACATGCAAAGTACAGGCAGCGCTAGAGACAGCGGGAAGAAGGGAAAAGGGGAACGCGTGCGGAGAACCTCGAAAGCCTTTTTTTTTTTTTTTTTTTTTTTTTTTTTTTTTTTTTCTTTTGGGCGACAACGAGAGAGGATGCTGCTGGCAGTTGCGAGAACAAGAGAAGGTGAGACTTGGTGAGACTCTTAAGAGGGCGGATACTGTAGGCAAGGGAAGAAGAGTTTTGAGCTTCCACTTTTTTCCCGGTTTACTGGAGACGGACCTTTGACTAGGAACCAGATTTCCATGTACACCTCGCTGCCAGCTTTGTGGTTGAAGTCAAAGGCTCTTCTTTCCCAGCTGAGGAACTGAAGCCCCATAATACCCCAGCATCAACAACAACATCACCAACGACGGAGTGAAAAGTTGATGGCGGACCGGCATCGTAGTATGTAATATCAGATAACCTCAAAAAGAGAGGAGCGGTGATCCGAAAAGATTGTTGGAAGGGAAAAGCTCTATTGTCCCGCCATCACCTCGAGGTAGTCTGGCGGTAGAACGCCCCGGTTGATAGGCGGTGCTGGACGCTTCCATAGTGTACAATGGAGAAACGAAAAGACGGGGGTTGCTCCGCCTGCGTGAGGTGTTGGGGGGGGGGGGGAGGCCGGGGCGCTGCACGCGTTGCAGGAAGCTGCATGCAGTCTCGCAGCGCCAAGAGGGGGAGCTGCTCGAGCCGACGCTCTGACCTTTCTCTGGCTTGTGCATCGCCAGCAGCACGTCCTGCGCAGCTTTGGATGTGGGTCGACATTGCCAAATCTGACCTTCCGAGTGGTTGAAAGAATACAAAGAAGAGGGCGCTTGGATCAAGGCCCACTTGGCTGTTGATCGTGACGTTACTGCACGTGTTGGGAAGGCACGTTCGCGGCAAGCTTCCACTTCTCAGCCACATTTTGCATGTCGATTGTTGGTTGGGATCTGTCCTTTGGTTCGTTCCAGTTTCGAGTTGGTCTCGTTGGAGTCTGGTCCGTGTCTTCGAATTCCGTTCCTCTGGATCCGATGCTCATTGTACACTACCAGTTATCACTCTGCCAGATTTCACAATGTCAGCGCCATGTTCCCAAGTGATGTGCGCAATCCGGACGTGTAGTGTAGTGTACATAGTGTAATGTCAATGCATGACACTAGTGTAGTCCACCGAGGACGTCATCGATTCGATCGCGCAATCACGTGAAATTGGAGGGTTGTCACTGGCTTTGTGTGAAAAGTTCGATGCGAGCAACTCCAGTGACTGCCAGTTGCAATCTCATATGAGACCGGCGACATGAATCTCTCTGGCCGTGTTCCCGGATGAGCGTATGTTCTCGTTGCTGGAAATGACAACCATGAATCGCGAACTGGTATCGGAACCTATCCCCCTCATTCCATCCTACCAGTTCCGCCTAATCTGTATATCACCCACGGAGGCACCACTGACGGCGGTCGTCTGATCGCGAGCACAGCAAGAATGCGAATTGCGCTTATGAGCTGGGTCAAGCCTTCGCAAATGACGTACTGGTATGCTGTATCAGCAACCGGCTACCGGGTAACTGGTTCCATACCAACTGGTGATCCAGATCATGCATCTGGGTTTTGGACGCGCTGACCGGTCCACAGCATGACCACCACAAGAATTTGTCGGTCCGAGTTGGGGTAGTTCACACTCGCCGACAATCAATAGTCGGCCTCCAAAGTTTGCACTATGGCATTCTGGCCTTGTCCTCGAGGCAACGCATCGAATACATGGCGCTCCATTGCAGTCATGAAACAGTCACTGAAGGACTGTCCGGCCCAACGATCCAGAACTGAGTGTTGAATGTTATCCAGTAATCTAGGCAATCGACGTCGTGCGGCCCACTGTCTCACGGGTAACGAACACGTCGTACGAGTCCCATTATCGACGCTGGTCCGTTTACGGTTTGTTCGCCTTCGGCGCCGTCGTGGGTCTCTCGTTTGCCTGTCACCCATACGTACAAACCCTGGGGTACATGGCCGCTAGCCAGCTGGTGTCAACTTCCGTGGAGAGGAAAGCCATGCTGTGAGATTGGCGATACATCGGGTGCCGTGATCTTATATCTGTTTGCTTGCGCCTGGTGTTCATAACAAAGGGAATGACAAACCGGGTGCAGGCCAGACTCGGCCCCGTTTGCAGACGCCACACCCCTGGACTGCTACCCATTAGCAATGTTGACTGGTGATGTTCATCCAGGATGTCAAACGAGGCGTCATCGCTTTGAATAATTTCCACGCCCGGGGGGGACCATGAGCTGACATTGCAAGATTGGGACATGTGACTTCGTATCGAATCCGGCGTCGAGGACAAGTCTTTACGCACTTTTTCTGTAAAGGAGAGGCCGATAGGTATCGAGTCGACATTGTTAGAAATAACACATCGACGCCTCTTAACATATAATCCGAAAAAGTTCTAGGCTGACTATGCAGGAACATTAGTAAACGGACTCGCCGGGCGGGTTGCCTGAAAGCCAGTTCCTACCTCCGGCCGTAACGGTGGAATTGCTAATTTGGAAAATGGCTAGGTTGTCAGGCTGCCGATGCGAGGTCGCAGGCCAAGAAATTTTGGAATTTCGAGAAAACAAGAGAAGAAGTGGAGCGCTAGGAATTTGATCCAATTTCAGGACCATCATGGCTGCCCGGTCCCACATAATCCATTGAAGGTCTTTTCTCTGTCTCTCTCTGACGAGCTCTTCCTGTTTTAGTTACGTGGCAACTGGACGCCGACCGAGTAGCAGCTCTGTTGCTCTGTGGTTGTTGCTCGCTGGTAAACTGGAGCATCTATTAGTACCTACTCGACTTTTGACGCTCTCAAGCGTCTTGCCTCTCGGAGCTGAAAACAGAAACCAAGCCCAGGATCGCGGATCAGATCCCAAGTGGTCCGAAGCCGCAGGTTCGCTTCAAAAAGCAACGGTACACTAGGGGGGAGTTCAAGATCGAGGCAATGGGCAATGACCACCAATGGCAATGTCGAGAATGCTTTACACCACTCCACCGCCCCGCTATCTAGGAGTGATTCAGAGTCAAGCTTGCCGATCATCCCTCGCTCATTCGACGTTTCGTTGTTCCCGCCGGTGCTCCGACCAAGCCACGCCCGAACCCCTTACTACGATGGAGGTTACATAGCTCAGTTAGGAATTGTGCTTGCGTAGAGGTTTATCATAGCCCCTAAAAGCCTGTAACAATGCCTCGAGCAGACCAGGACAACCTCAGGTCCGTTTGTGTATGTACGTGCAATAATAATAGCTTGCGGCACTGTCGAGGCAGTATACAAACTGACAAGAGCCATCATGAGCTTTGTCTGGGTGGCTTGTAGTCGGCCAAGATGAAAGACAACATCGTCCGAACGGAATCCGCTTCTAGCAGCAAAAGGGATTCACACTCATTCATGCAACTTTTGTCATCCCACTTCGGCGAGTGTAGTGTAGACAGTATTTTATCCAAAAGCAATGCCGACTTTCACCCAAGCCTTTGCCGATATCCCTCGCATACCAATAAGCCTTGAGAGTCGTTGCTTTCAGACAGCCTTAAGGGCAAAAAAACAAAAGAAAGAAGAGGCTACTACCAAGCTGTGCGCGCGGGGTAGGTATCGGGTGTGAAGTGGTCTCCCATATCAACCCCCGGCCGCTGCAGGCGTCGTAGCCCGGTGACGAAAAAGAACGGAACGCACTTTTGTGTGATGGTACCAACGACCGGGCGGCTACGGTCCGTTCTTTCCAGTTCCCCACTGCAGTGGTGTTCACCCGTCGATCTCCACAGAGGCCGGGCCTGGGGTCTCTCTGGCTGTTGTAACACGGATACATTTCTGCTACCTCGTGAGTCTATGAAAAGGGCTTGCAGAGGTCCTGCATACATACCACACTAAAGGTAAGGCGAGCAATGAAATGAGAGGGATCATTTGATGACGACCAGAGCACGAGCTCTCAGGGTGTTTATCGAAGAGCAGGGGCACGGAAAAGCCGATTTTTGTCGGTGTCGATTCGCCTATCGTCATCTTATTTGCCCAAGTTTTTTCTCGAAAGAATCGAGAGAAAAGCTGGGTTATTGCTTGGATAGAACGATACTTAGCAACATGGCTCTCAACCCGCAGCGTTGGAGGGCTGGAACTTGGAAGAGCCTTCTCAAGGCCCCTGCCCCTTGCTGGGACGAACCTGACATCTCTTTTTGCTCTTGTGCGTGTATCAGAAAGTTGGTCTTCCTTGTCGACCCAAAACAAGAAAGCCGCAAACGCCAGAGGCACCTTTGACCACCAACAACCCAAAAGTGGAAAGGGACGGGAGACGGTTGGTGAATATGTAAGCAGCGAGTTATCAATCGCACAAGGTAGGATCACTCACTCACATATCCACCCGGTCAATTCAGGTACCGCGCACCTAGGCTTACACTGCAGGAGGCAGGTACGGGGCCCAGGATCCCACGTCCGAAATTTTAAGGTCTCGGTGTCTCAGCTTTCAGGCACAGTGGGCAATTTCCGTGGGGGGGGGGGGAGGGGGATTTGGGAGCACTCAGCTGCAGTCTTCTCATTCAACCTCCAAATGCTATCACAAAGCTCACATTCCTTTTTTTTCCGCGAATGCATGCTCTCGGACTCCACAGCGGGCGACTTGAAGCGAAGACTGCGGGACCAGACAGAATACGCAAGTCGAAAGCGTTGTGAAGAGGTAAGAAACAGTTCAATGGGAATCCACCACCAGGGACAGGATGGTGGCTGTTAGCAGCAGTAGAACGGCCCGGCTCCCTGGTCTCTGGTCAGGACTCCTGTTGCCAGTCAGTCCCTCTCCTCCAGGCTCAGTATGGCCCTCATTTTGGGTGGGTAATTAGCGACGCGAAAATATTAACAAAAAAAATAATTGTGACTTGGGAGGAGGAGCCGAGTGGGTTTCTGCTCTCGGCCTGGCCTTCTCTTTCCTAACTAACTCCTTTCACCTTCTTCCACTTCTTCCGAGAAGCTAGCAACTCGGGCAATCTCCAAGTCCAGCTTGCTTGTCTGGTAGTAACAACAGCCCTTTCCAGACCACTTTTATCCAGATTCGGCTTTCATCCCATCCGGACTCGGGCTTCCATTGGACACCACCAGTCCTCGATTCCAAAGTCACTGTTCGAGTCCGCGGTTCGGTTCGAATCACTGCCCTAGGTACCCTACCTAACCTGATGCTTGGCTGCTGTTGATACGCAGCTGCCGAAACGGACGGATCTGGGTTGGCATCTGGGTTGGTGCCGTGTCTCGCTGTATCTAATTCTGGATCCCCGACTGTGATGATGCTGCTGCTGCCGCTTGGTGCTGCAGGCTTCGCATGACTGATCCCGAGAGACGAGACGAGACATAGCCACGCATTCTTGTGTTTTTCCCAGAAAACTAAACCACTATCCAGCACAGCATTTGGCACCGGCATGATGCATCCTCCAAACGAACGGGAACGGAGTCACCATTTCCACTTTGGTCGTCGTCTGACTCCGAATAGTGCAGAGCTGAACAGTGCCAATGGTGGTGCCAATGGCGCCGTCCCTTTGCCGGCTCATGCTGGACCCGGACCCTGGCCGAAACACGACGCTGCCGCTTCAGGTCCGTTGCACCATCAGCAGCAGCACCCTCAGGCCCTCAACAACAACCACCATCATCCCGTCCACTGCAATCCGCTCCAGCAACATCCACCACTCCTGAACAACGATAATAACCACCACCACCACCACCCGATCCGCATGGAACCGCGCCGAGGGAGTCATGGACATGGTCGCACATCGCCCGCAATAGCCTCAGCACCAGAAGCGCATTCCCAACACCCGCAGCGCACCCAGTATGCCAGTGCAATGAACCACCACAGGCCGACTGTGCCCCTGGCGCTCCCAAACCGCACCCCGGCCTCCCCTCGCTGGGATTCCATCGATGCACGCTCGAGAAATGTTTCGCCCGTCCCTCCGAGTCCATTCCAAGTGAATCACAACCACCACATCACGTCACACAGATCGTCACAGAGGTCACGGGCCGAGTCGACCACACCCACTGGCACCCCGAGACTGACACCGCGCTCCGTATTTCCCGGCCTCTCCTCCCACCCCTTTATACCCGAGGCGCTCGAGCCCGAAGACTCGGACCAGGACCGTGACCAGGACCAATTGCAACCACAAGAAGAACGAGAAGACCCGGAACCGTCGCCTACACGGCTGTCCACCCGCAAATTCCCCTTGATCGGCCGAGGAAGTCAGCAGATCGACGATGAGGTGATGCGCCACTCGCCAATACCGCTAACGCCCACTTCGCCCGCCCACAGTTACACTTCCTCAATTGCCCATTCTCGCCGGGCCAACACGGACTCAGTCATGGTTGTCGAGAACTTCTCCCGTCCGCGCAAGACGAGTGTGTCTATACGATCCAAGAACTCGGACATTTCCGTCATGCGAGCGGCGCCTCCGGTCCGCCATCACGATGAACCTTCGTTCGACAGCCTGCACCCTGCAAACAACCACCCGACACCATACAACGAAAACATTGCGCCTAATCAATGGCCCCAGGACCGCCGCTTCTCCACTGCGTCTTCGCACTCGTCAAGCACGTTCTCGTCTTCGATTGCCAAACGTCCGTCAAATGACCAGCTTCAAGCCGCAGCCAGGGACCAGCCGCCAGTAACAAGGCGCCCCTTTGCTGGACGACCTCCGCCGCCTGTCAGTTACAACAACCACAACAACTTTTACTCGCCTACGACCCGCGAACCTCCGGCGTGGATACAGGAGGAATTTAGGCCACCAAGCTTTCGCTCTCCATTTGCTACGAACTCTGGAGAGCGTTGCAGTATTCTAACCACCCACAGCATTACTGAGCAATCCATCATTAATGGCTATGCTCGCGCGAGTTGGCGAACGAATTCGGTAGCCGACGACGGCCCGAGCATCGAGGACGTAATGGTCATGTATGAGCGGGGTTTTAATGATTCGGAAATCGATAACATCGGTTTTCGCAAAAGCCGGAGGTTTTTGGACGATACCGACCATTTTGACCCGGACATCGGAGTATTTCCCCTGGGGGATAACTCCCGGCCTGCCACCAGTCATTCGGACCCTGACACCGACCGGACGACTAAAATCTTCGAGGCGATGCACGACGATCCACTGCCTTTACCTGGAGCGAGGCCAATATCCCGAAAATCCGCCAGGCTATCCAATTTCATTCTCCGGAAATCGGGACTCATGAACTCGTTGCCAAAGGACATTGGCTTGGCGATCACCGAAGACATGGAGAGGAAAAGGCAACAGAGTATCACAGAGTATATGGAGAAGCAGAGGCAGGAATCAATAAGCGGGGAGGCTATGGAAAGGAGGAGGCAGGAATCTGACGCGAAGGACCCGGCGAAGCACGACTCAGCCAAGTTAATGGATGGCGATAATGTAATTGATTTGCAGGCCCAGGAACCCGCCATGGCAGGTACTCCCACGGCACCGACGGACTCGATGGAGTCGATGGAACCGATGGATACCCCTGACATTGACGAAGTGGAGGAAGAAGAAGAAGAAGAGGAGGAGGAAGCGGCAGTGGAGGAGGAGAAATTTCGCGCCATCCTGACACCGATTCCAACAGCGAATATGCCAGTCGAACCACCGGAGGAACCGGGTAGCCGTGACCGATATGGTTTCCGAAAAGCCAATTCCAACGTTACCCGTCAGCAGTATGACGCCTGGGATGCCCAATACAGCGAATACCTGGCACGCCGCAGGAGGAAATGGATTGCTTTTCTCAAGGATAATTCTCTCATGACGGACAGGCCGAACAGGTTTCCCCCAAGAAGTAACAAGACCAAGAGGTTTATTCGGAAAGGCATTCCGCCCGACTGGCGCGGTGCAGCTTGGTTTTATTACGCCGGGGGGCCAGCACTTCTCAGCAAGCACAGGGGTGTATACGATGACTTGGTCAGGCGTGCAGGACTAGATCCGAAAGGTCCAGGCAAGCTGCCGGATACAAAGGGTGAAGTAAAGCCGTTGATCTGCGAAGACATCGAGAAAGATCTACACCGAACATTCCCGGATAACATACGATTCAAACCGCCACCATCGACAACACCTGGTGGTGACAGCCAGGCTGCTAGTGGATATATCCCGGGCGTCACCCAACCGGCCGACCCTGCCCAGGAGCCCGAAATTATTAGCTCTCTGCGCCGCGTTCTCCATGCATTTGCCTTGTACAATCCACGGATCGGCTACTGTCAATCGCTGAACTTCTTGGCTGGGTTGCTTCTTTTGTTTGTCGAAACCGAAGAGCAGGCATTCTGGCTGTTGAACGTCATAACGCGAGTCTACTTGCCAGGGACGCACGAAATGAGCTTGGAAGGCTCCAAGGTCGATCTTGGTGTGCTGATGGGGACGTTGAAGGATTCGTTACCCAACGTCTGGAAGCAGATTGGTGGAGACGAGCTTGAAGGGAACCCCAGCAGAAGACACCGGTTAGGGAACCGCGTGAGGCACGGCGGCAAGAACCTCAGCATCAGCGATCCGAACCGACTCCCCGCCATCACGCTGTGCATGACGGCCTGGTTCATGTCGTGTTTTATCGGAACGCTCCCAATCGAAACCGTGCTGCGCGTCTGGGATGTGTTCTTCTACGAAGGCTCTCGCACCCTGTTCCGCATCGCCCTCACCATCTTCAAGCTCGGCGAGAATGAGATCAGGGCGGTCCAGGATCCGATGGAGATGTTTGGTGTGGTACAGGCGTTCCCTCGGCGGCTGATCGACTGCAACATGCTGATGGAGGCATGCTACAAGCGGCGCAACGGCATCGGACATCTGACTCAGGAAGCGGTGGAGGAGAAGCGACAGGAACGACGCGAAAACATCCAAAAGTGGAGGGCCCTGCAGGAGGCCGCTAGTGAGGCTGGACCCCGGCTGAATAGGGCCGCTCATATTGGAAACCCAGCGTCCAGGTCGCAGGCTGCTGGGCTGGACCTCGCTGCCGAAGACGATGGCCACGGCAACCGGAAGGCTTCAACGCTGTTTAGTAGAAAAAGGGGGGATCGTGAACAGTCAAGGGCGGATGAGGTGATGTAGTGTGCACCTCGGCCCGTGTCCATACTTGCTCTTGGTCCTCTGAACCTGAACCTCGGCGGAAGCGTTCATCACAACCATAACCATGATCACTTGGAGAGCGGGAGCTCCTGAGCAGAACAAATGCTTCCTTCCCACTCTTACTCGAATATCATTCAAGCTTCCATCATCTATCTGCCGGCATCATACCCAACCAAGACTAGCCATTTTTTTTTCTCCGCTCTGTATAACTCCCCCCGCTCAGGCGGTGCCTTTTACCTATTGTAATTTTTCGATACCACCATGGGCATATCAAACCATAGCATATATCCTTTAAAGGTTTTAGCCTTTTATCCAACACAACAAAGACACATACAACAACACTACTCATCCAGTTTATTCGGCTGACTTGACGTCTTCCTCAACAATTCCCTTGTATCTTGTCTACACTACTACCTACCTACTTTACCTTTGATGTTGTCATGACTCACAAGTCTTGTTAATTCTTCCATTCCCTAAAGGGAAAGGGGCTGTTTTATACCTTTCCATTATGCACAGGCGAAGCCTATCCGCCTTATAGCACCCCCCAATCTCTATCATTACCAACCACATCCTCTTGCAGAGGGCGCATCTCCCTGTCTTTTCTTTTGTACATATCTTCCTTGGGTGGTCGGGAAGCGGTTGTTGTGGCGCTTTGTGTCTTGTGTTGTTCGTTTGATTGTTTTTTCTGCGTTTGTATGTACACGAGAGGAAGAGGGGATCGATCTCAAAAAAAATACGCGGAATGGTTTTGTTTTTAGAAGGAGCCAAGGTAAGGCAAAGGCAAGGATTATTCATTCAGTCAAGGTCACATATGGTCAAGGTTTCCAGGCGAAAGGAAAGGGAAAGAGAAAAAGAGAGCGAGTTGCTATGAAGGGGACAAGTTCGAGGTTCGAAAGCATAGCATAGCATAAGCATAGGCATAAGCATATTGCATAAGTTGAACTACGTACAATCAAGCATGACTTGAACAGAGCAAAAGTGGGTAATCATTGTGACTCTTTTTTGAAGGGGGGTATGTATGGCTCAAATCTAATTTCCAAGGATTTTCGCATTAGACATTGCTATGAGCCTCATAATAATGCTTGCTCCATCATCAGCTGAGCCAGTTCGATGTACTTCCTCCACTCTTCGTTCCCATGATCAATGATGCCTATCACTATTGGCCTTGTCTTGCGTTGATGTCTAGCAGTTGTCAGACCAACCCAGGCGTTCAGTGATCGCCACGTCCAGTTCTGGTTAAGCACTTTTCCCATCGATAACCATCTCCAGCCTAGTGCTAGCCTTATTCATCAAGTCCAGTTATTTTGGTAACGAGCTTGCCATACACCCGGCTTCTTTCGATTCCTTCTAATCCTGTCGCACATATGCCGGTTAAAGAATCCTTGTCACGAACCTCCCATCCCCGTTACGCATCACGTCGCTCGTATCACAGAGACTCTGTGTCATCGCTATGCATTTTGAACAGCTTCATCAAGTGACAAAAAGCGTATATCTTCTAGCAGCCACCTATCACCTACGCCCCTGCCCCTACGCAGGTGGAGCAGGGCGGGACGCCGAACCCGAGCTAGCACCTCCTTGCCTACCAGCAGCGCGACCAGGATTCACAGCACCAGTAGTAGCACCCGCAGGCGCACCATCCTTCTTCTCCGGAGGGGGAGGAGCCTGCACAAAATTCACCGACCCCTTCGCATACCTCTCCACATACGCCCTTGCATTCTTTTCGAACTCGGGCCGATCCCTCCGGTACTCATCCGCAATGCGCTGCTCGAGCGCGTCGTCGGGCATCGGTTCGACGAGAATGTTGCGCACAGCCTCCAGCACGCTGATGATCTTGCTCGCGGGCTTCCAGTTCTCGGATTTCAGCAGGCCCAGGCAGATGTTCCCCAGCGAGTCGTTGGTGATGTTGGGGTGGTAGATGCGCGTCGTGAAATTGATGGTCGGAGGCTTGAAGGGGTAATCGGTGGGAAGCTTGAGGATGAGGCCGAAGCGACCGGGGGCGTAGACGGAGTTGGGGGGCGCCGTGACGGTGACGTGCCAGGTGTGTAGGTCGGCGTCAGAGGGGAGGGTGATGGAGATGCCAGGGGGTGGGGCGGTGGTGCAGTCTGCGAATTCCTGGACGGAGGGCGAACAATAGGGTTAGTTTCGTGGGTCTTTTATTTCATCTCTTCCTTCTCCCTCTTCTTCCTCTTTAGGGATGTCGTCAGGTTCAAAAGGCAGGGCAAACGATGTGATATTTACCTTCGCGATGCGCTTCGTGGAGGCCATGGCTGCTGGTAGGTAACACACTCGACTAAACCAAGTAGTACTTGGACGGGATGTACCCAACGATGACTGATGTAGCGGGTGAGGACGGATAAGAGGTAGAGATAGATGTTCAACTTCAGATGCTGTGATCACCTCAAATGTGATTTGGCAGTTGTGAGACTCAAAGTGAACTAGTAAAATGACCGACGGCGGTGACGTTGGTCAACAAACAAGGCGTGCATAAGCTTGTTTGCGTGCTCGTGTTGATGGCGGGGTAAGCGGACTGGGCTGGTGAGGTATTCTTTGCTTATGGGGGAAAAAAAGGCAAAGCAAGGATGTAGAAAGTGACGACGCAACGAACAGTGTCTTATAGTAGTTGGGGATATACTGTCCTCTAGGAAAGAGAATGTGATGATGAATGGTTGAAAGATGCTGACTGATGTCCACGAAGGAGAAAGAGCGAGAGCTCCGTCGTCAAGGCTGCAGCACTCCACGCCCCACGGCAAGTGCTAGGTGCCAAGACCTGACCGGTAGGGCGGTTTACTGTGGGGCTATTTGTGGTGGCATTCAGAGCGGGGCCGTCCTGGTCCATGCCGCGGGTGATGCAACGTGAGCATGTTCTATGCCTTGGGCTTGGAAAGGCCGTTACCAATCTGTAATAGGGATCACCATAATTTGAAAGCGCATCGACCAGAGTTATCTAGTCAGGAACTGCCTAAGAATCAGGTCCAGAATACATCAAGTATGCTCAAATTCTTGATTAGAGGATTTCCAAGGTGTCATTTCCATGTACTGACCGTGACGTGGTCGGTTTGTTTTTTTCAACGACGAAGAGAACTTGGGCCATCAAGGCCCTCACCATATTCCGGCAGGCACAGACTTTGGGCCGGATACAGGGGTTAGGGTTTACAGCCTACTTTACAGTAACAATCACGGCGAGGAAGACTACCTCTACCATGAGATTGCAAGTATATCGTACGTCCATGAGAAGTAGAAAGCCGAGCCACACCTGAGCAATGACAAAAAGTGAAGACCAATGATGTGTTTTGGCAAGACCCGTTCTGCCTAATGATAAACTCTCGAAAAGATTTCTACTCTAGATCCAGCGTCGCCATTACCAACGTTCGGTGTGTGTTGTTCTGGGATTCCGTCACCGGCGCCAAAAATCGACAAATTCGTCGAACTCCTCGGGGCCCGATGACTCTGCGCTTGAGTCAAGCGACCCTAACCAAGGTAGAGGCCCCTAATTTCCTCTTGTCGAACTGTCATGCTCACTCTCATCATCCGTATCCTCATCCCCAATCTCCTCCTCTTCGCCTTCGCCTTCTTCCTCATCACCTTCTTCCTCATCTGCCTCCTCCTCCTCCTCTTCTTCATCACCTTCATTACCTTCTCCGTCCTCTACCACTTCAGCACCCTCCTCCTCTTCCTCCTCCTCCTCCTCCTCCTCCTCCTCCTCCTCTTCTTCTTCTTCTTCTTCTTCTTCTTCGTCTCCCTCTGTGTCTTCCTCTACATCACCTTTATGCTCGCCTGGCCTTACATCTTCTTCAGCTTCTTCGGCCTCCTCCTCATCCTCCTCCTCACCCTCCTCTTCAGCTTCAGCATCTTCATCGTCTTCATGATCCTCTTCGCCCTCTTCGACATCTCCCTCGCCTTCCCCGTCCTCCATCTCCTCATCCACATCCACATCCTCATCTCCCTCTTCCTCTGTCTCTCCAACCTCCTCAACGGCTTCTTCGGCGTCCTCGTGCTCGCCTTCATCATCATCCTCATCTTCGACCTCCCCTTCCACTTCATCTTCCTCCTCCTCTTCAGCATCCTCCGTCCCCGGCACTCCATGTACAACAGCAGAAGCACTCGCACCACTGCCATTACGAGGTCGGCCAGTCTTCAAACCCCATCTCATCGGTCCTATTGAGCCACCCTCGGTCGCCTTATGCTGATCAATGCTACTGCTTCCTGGCCGCTCATGCTGAGCTTTGGCTGCCTGGCTTTTATGCCAGCTCGGCTTCCTTGGCGTCCGCTTTGGCTCCGATTTTGCCTTCTCGTCAGCGCTACTACTGCCTGATTCCGAGCTCGAACTGTATATCGTAGGTCTGCCTGGGGTAAGAGGGGTCGTAGCAGACGCGGCAACGGCACCACCGGCGGCAGAGGCATCTACGCTCCGCCTCAGGTTGGGGAATAGCAGGGATGGGGGAATATCGTCCTCGTAGTCAGCCGGCACATCACTGAGATCGCTCTCGTCGTCGGCTGAGTCGTGAACGCTACCAGGAGGAGAGGACATTGCTTCTTCTTCATGCTCATCGTCGGCCATCTGGGTATCGTCTTGTCCTCTTCTGCTGCGGCGACTGCGAGGCCGATTGTTGTCTTCATCATCGGCGTCTTTCATCGTAATATCCTCGTCATCATGGCGAGTAACATCTTCGTCTGTCTCATCGTTATCATCATCAGCGCCTTCATCACGGGTTGTCTGACCCTTCCTTCCGCTACCACTAGATACGGAGCCTTTTCGTGATGATCTGGTGACGCCGGACAAGGCTTTCGGTGGGCCCTCTGCGGCCCTCAACACGGCTTGTTCGGCCTTGCGTAGGACATCCGGTCTCCGAACACCAAGCTTGCGACCGCGGTGAGCGATGTCCCCATTAAAGGATAGTTGCTTTTCTGACATTTTGTCGGGTTGCTCGGACGGGGCCCGCAGAGAACCTGAAGCAGCGGCAGCAGCAGCAGCACGTTCTCTCTCCTGAAGAGCCGGCAGGATGCTGAGAGTCATGGATTTGGGTTCTTCTCCTTCTGCCGGCTTCGTCGTCAACTCTCCCTCACCAGCCCGGCTATATTCATCACCGCCTTGCGGCGTCTCCGAAACAGCTCGCTCAGGAACCATTTCGTGATGGATGATCGAGTAGCAATCATTGATCAAGTCATCAATCGGTCCAGCTTTCATCAAGTTGGCGTTCAATTTCTTGAGCTCGATCGCTTCCTTCATGGCGTTGAGGGCGGCATGATTCTCAGCCTCTGGCGTGATGACCCATTCCACAATCTTCTCAGCCACCGCTTCAAAGTCCTCTGGTGCAACGTTCTTGAAAGGATCCTCATCATTTGCTGGAATATTGAATGCCTTCCGGATCATCTTGAGGTATATCTGCACGCCATGTTGCCATAGTTCGCTGAAGTGGTAGAAGTCGACACCTTTCTTCCGAATGCGTCGCAGTACTGCCTCAAGGTTGGCTCTGTCATTCATGACGGCCAACAGCCGGGCCATGTACCGGATGTATTGCTCCGTGTAGACATGATGACGACCGGGCCGTTCAGCATCACACTTCCAGACGTTCATCACCATCGTCTTGGTGAACATGTTCTCGCGCAAAACCGCAAAGGCCTTGGAAGCAGCCTCCTTGCTTGCCTCCTTCTTCGTCTCGTCTTCCTCATCTCCAATCTCGTCACCGTCGAACAAGAGACGAGCATGACGAATGATCATACGATGCTGCCAATTTGACTTGTCCTTATCTCTCAAGTGACGCATGTACCTGAGCATGTACTCGTGCCAGTCCTCATCGTTTTCAAGCGTAACCTGTTCACCGCGACCAGGAGCAAGTGGCTGTCGTTGCAGAATGTCTGCAGCTTCCTGGCGAGGGAGGTCGCCGCGGGTAACGAGCTTATTGATGACTGATAGGATCTTGTAGTGTGGCTCCAGAATCGGATCCTGGCCGTGCCGAGGTTTGGGAAGCGTCCAAACAACCTCGACAGTTTTCTCAAGGGCCTTGATGACCGCTTGAACTGTCGGTCGGCCGTGCCTGTTCTTTTCATCGAGCTCGTCCTCTGGCTTCTGATACATCTTCCATAAGCACTTCGCTATCATGTATGGATTCTTCCAGTCCTTAGGCTTGCCAGCCATGGCTTTCCGAAACAAGCTCGCAGCAAACTTCCATACTTGGTAATCTGACATCTGATTATGCAATATCTCCTTGTAAGTACCATTGCCCGATACTTCGATGAAGAAGCGGTGCTGGTCCGAATGCATAAAGGGCTCCATGGCAAATGGTTCACGGCTTGATGCATACATTCGCATGCCAAACTCGTGGTATAGGTCATAGAGCGCCTCCGTATCTCCACCCGATAACGCGTAGACGTTGGGGTCTGAGGTCGAAGCGTAAGAGTGTGATAGTGCGAGAGTGTAACAATGAATTGACTGCCGCTGGAACTTGACAAGATCTGCTCTGTCCTTGTTCATTTTATCAGCGGTCCAAAGAACCATATCATCCAACTCATAGTCGAAGCATTCGGCAAGACGAAACCAAGCATCCCACCTGTCTGGTGTGTACTGAAGCTGTAATCGCAAGAAGGTGACTGCAATGCGTAAATCGTCCAGGGCACCCGGAGTCTGGCGACGGTTGAGGTCGACACCCTTGAACTTGGTAAGGGCAATCATACCCAGCAAGAAGAACCAGCCGTGCTTCGCGGGTGCGCTATCCGGCGTGTTGATAGTGACTGCATCCAGGTCGACATTGCCGGTCAGGGCCTTGTACAGATGCAATGGGTGAATCGGGGTCTTTAAATATTCGTTAAAGTTCCGATGATTGTGCATCATTTGAGCTGTTGACTTGGCAGAGCCAATCGCTTGCTGCATCGATTCGACGGTGTTTTTGAGGTCCGACTTCAACAGGTCCTTCATTGTCATTCGGTGAGCAAGGAGGCTGATCTTTTCCACCATCGCCAATGCCTGGCGCTTCTCGAGCTTCTCAGGTGGGCAGTCATGCTCCTGGACGTCCCAGATCCCTACTCCAAGCTTGAGGCCATGAAGGTCATAGAGGACTTGGCCGAGATAGTCTTCCCAATTTTCGATATTCTTCAGCTTCAACAGTTCGACCCGCATCATCTTGAGGAAGATCTTATTGGAAGACTTGCAGTATTTCCTTAGACCAAGGACTTGGTGAACGGCCGCCAAGTAATCGGCCAGATCATTTTCGGGCGTCAGGAAAATGTCTGGGTGAAGATTTATCCCCATCTTCAGAACCGTGTATTGCAGGGACCATGTTCTCACTTGCATCTCCCGAAGTCTGTTGAGAAATGATGCAGCTAGAGATCCAGTTGCCGGAGGTTGGATGATTCCTACACTGGCTTCATCTTCGTACATAGCAGCAACGTGAAGAAGACAGCTAACCTTGGCGAGAGCGGCTGATGTAGTCTTGATGTGTTCCTCATCAATGATGTCGAACGAATTGTTGTGATTCAGCGCTAGATGCAACGACTGAATGATTTGGTCATCTAGGGCCTTGAGCATTGTCATGAACAACTCTTTTCGAGCTGCTTGTGGTGTGTTGACGTAGTCCTTTCGCTCAAAATCGTGCACAATAGTTTCGATACTCCGCAGAAAGCACGAGAATTGTTTTGTGGTGTACTTGATTTTGCCGTAGGCGTCGCCGAGCCTCGACCAGAGCAGTAACCGGAGATCAGTGCTGCTCTTCTCGATGAAGTTCCACAGGTCCTGCAGCCCTTGACTGGCGCAATCTTTGACGGACTTAATGTTTCCAGCAGGCTCGGTGTCTTCGTCCATTGCGTCTTTAGCAGGGTTCGGAGCAGCTGGGCTATTGATGCAGACTGATTCGGGATTAAGCACAGGCTCCAAAGTATCGATAACGGACACGGGATTGTCCTGTTCTTCTTGGAAGAGACCCAGGAAAAACTCCATGGTTGTGAGCTTGCTAACTTCACGATCGGCAGCGGCTACCGAAATCTCCGGCATCACTGCGTTGTTTGGCAGAACAATATCGGGGACCGTAGTTGTCGCAAGATGATCGCGCAGACTATGCCAGCAATTGAGAATGTGTTCGCGGGGTACCCCTTCAGTAACTGTAATGAAGACCACAGCTGCCCAAAGGAAGCGGATTGTCAAAGCATCATCAGTTCCGAGATAGCGTCGCCGGCTGACTTGCGTAGCTAAATCCCACCACCTCCCCAACCTTATCCGCGCTTTAGTCCGCGTAATTTGCTCCACGACGCTGTTAGGGTTCGTGATCCGCTCGTACACATCAAGATGTAACTCAAAAAGCATGTAAACCAGATCGACAATATCTGTAGGAGGCTGGTGCCCGCTCGCGTCGCTCAGCTGCCATTGCTCAAGGTCGTAAACGACTCGTTCGTAGATTCCTTCGTCCAATCGGCTAATGACTTGAACGACAGCAACCTTCATCTGATCTGACCATTTCTCTGTTGAGTAGCTCTCTGCAAGAGACTTGACATACTCATAGACGACATCCTGGATTGTATTCCAGCCTGAGTTCATTCTCGTGACGAAACCACGAATATTTCGTACATCGTCGAATTGGGGCGGCTCAATTGCCCTTTGGGATGGTGATTTGGAGTGTTCTAGGAAAGCAGACAGGCTAAGTGGTGGACTTTCTCTCCCGTCCAGCAGGATGCTTGCAGTTTCTTCGTCGAAATGAAGTATTGCTTCTCGCAAATCAGTCGTAGCAGGATTCTGGATCTTACTTGTCCGATCATCCGAAGCGCAGGAATCCAGGATCTCGGTTATCCTGTCCAGTGTATCTCGGTCTGTCACTCCAAGATTTTCCAGAAAATTTTTGGTCATTTGAAAGAGGTTCTGGTCGGCGGCTTGGAAGGGCTGAAGCTGAGTGGCGAGAAGTGTGGCAGAATCCATAGCCTCCTCCGGTGCTGTCTCCCTTCGCCTCGTCCTTTTGCTCCTCTTGGTCTCGCCTTTCTCCTCATCTCCTGGATCTGGTATGCCAGCGGCAGATTGCGAACGTTTTCTTGTCGGCAACGAAGATGTTCGGTCCTTTGGGGGCTGAGCCGCTCTGGCCTCTTCGACAATGGTAACTTTGGTCTCTTTAAAGCTGGATTCAGCTTCTTCGGTGTCTTGGGCCCCAGACTTCTCCGCCGAAGTGACTTCAGCCGCCACCGCCGCCGCCTCCTCCTGTGTACTTTCTTCGGGAGGCTGCAACTGCTTATCAATCTCCATCTGAACATCTTCATCTTCGACAATTCCTTTTGGTAGTTGGATCGTGACAGCCTGACCAGAAAACCCATGTTCCGCCACGAAGTGAACCAACGCAATACCAAGTTCTGTCCAGGAGTAGCTTGGGATATTCATGACAAGACGAGGTTGGCCAACCTCGTCAGAGTCCGGTCTTGGGGCAGCCATTGTTTTGGTGTAATCAGGGAGTGATGGTATGGGATCGAGGTAACGCTCCAAGAATTTCGGAAGACCTTTTTCACGAAATGACTTCATGATAGGATGGCTAAGGGCCATCTTGTCGTCCAGGACCTCGAGTTGTCGTTTGAGCTGTTCGCCAGCGAATCCTTCGGCGAGCGAAGGGGGTTCAAAATCGGTAACAGCAGGGTCATCGTCCAATTCCACAGCTGCCTCCAGACTGTAGCGACTAATTCGTGCGCTCTTGAGAAAAGCGGCAATCCTCGCGGTCTTCCTCCATAAGTCGGCATCGGATGGGTCATAGTCGAGGGCGGCGCTGAACTCGTCCAAGGCTTTCTTGGCGTCATGTTGAATGGCGGCCTCATCGTAATCGAACTCGCTACCCAGTTTGCTGGCCCGTGCCTTGTGTTTTATCCGATCGACTATGAATTGGCCGTGATTCTTGAAGGATAGGTACAAGGTCTGCGGTAGAGTGCTGGCGATCCCATCTACATCGGCAGCACCGACCTCGAGCCCCTGGGCAAGGGTGGGTTCAACGACAAGAGTGCCATCCGGTCGCTCCTCAGTGCGCTCGTACTCGGTCTTGCTCTCGGGGTATCTGAAAATCTCGGACTCAAAAAGGGCATTGTAGGCGTCGGAGGCTTCGTCAAAGAATCGGGGCCCTTGGGCGTGGAGCTTGAGGGCGTTCTGGAATAGTTTCAAGGCATCATCGACCTGTCACAAGACTTCTATAAGCGGTCGAGCTGGCGAGAATCACGACGGGCAGACAATATGTACTTGAATTTGCTTGGTTGTGTCGATTTCCTCATCGACGTTCTCTTCGGGCTCGACGTTGATCGCCTGAAAGGTTGGCTACAGAAAACAGACATGTGAGCAGGTTGGCCGTCTTCCACAAAATGCGCTGAAGAGGACACCCCAAGCTGCCGGCCAATCTTACCATGTTGCCAGAATCGATACTCTTTTCATGCGGTTAACAAGTGATAAGAGTGACGGCGCAACGGTATAGAGATGCCGGGTGTGGTATACGGTGTAGCCCAGTGATTAAGTGTTGGGCTAAGAGGCAGAAGATTATTTGTCTTGCCTGGTGAGGTAGTGTTGTCGACGGGAAGTAAGGTAGAGGTAGTCGTCAGAGTCGCGACCTGGGCCAAAGTGAGACGCGATTGCGTTGTTGGACACTGCTTAGTACACTACCGTAGAGCCGGGTGCTGGGTAAATTAATTGTTAGTGTGCTCCATGCGGAGGTGTGCCAGCAGGGTTCACACTCCATCCCGTCACGGCAGGCACATGAAAGCTCCCATCACCGAAGCTGCCCGGCGGTGCATGAAATGGCAGGGATGGGCGTGTGGCCTGTGCTCCCGTCTTTCTAGCTGCCTGCCTGCCCCTGTTTTCCATTGTTGCGATGACGGACAGCCAGACACGCAGCCCAGGGTGAGCTGGAGAGCTCGAGCTCCTGCCGTACTACAAGGTGGGCTGAGCTTCCATGTGCTGGCGGTAGTGTACATGCACTGCTGGCTTTAATGGGCCGGGCCCGAAGCCAGAAGGAGTATCCCCCACCCGCTGCCCGCCGCCCTTGGAAGGCAAGCACCAATCCACGAACCGGATCTCAACTCAAAACAGCTGTGAATAGGCTCGCTGAACCATCAAGTCGACGATCCCTCTTTTCGGTCAATCAACTCCCCGTTCTCGTCCCGACCTTGGATGACAAACAGGGCGGCTGACTGTTGGCGACGACAAATTGCGACAACACAGGCAATTGCGCCTCCAGATTGCCTGCTCTCAACTCTGTTCTAACCACTGTAAACCAACCATCAACATCCCGCCGCAGCCTGGCGGTCCATCGCCCTCACCATGGTTGCGCCAGCTGTCCCCGAGTTCGTGATTCCCGTTTAGAGTTACAGTCCACCCTTTGTCTTGGGTCCTTCAACCAAGCGCACCTAGGCCGAAACTAACGTTTGATTTCACACAGGATCACCGAAGAGATACTGCATGAAGCGGTTGACACTCGTACCGAGTCTCTGAGCTCTCTCAGGGAGCTTGGCCCCCCCGACCTCGTACACCTGGTCAAGCAGCCCCTGAAGAACCCTGGAAAGCACGTACGTAACCAGTCTCTCCGACTTCATCCATATGCAACACGACAGCCATCGCTGACCTGCGCATCCATCAGTATGGTGTCTATCACCATGTCACCGGCGTCGACGCGTCCTCCTCGGCCAGTCTGGCTGCTTACATCAACACCCTGACCTACAAGGAGTTTGGCAATTCCGCCACTGCCAAAACCGTCGAAGGAACTTATTGGTAATACCACTCTTTGACCGACTGCGTTCTGGGCTATTCCTAACAATCCCTCGTTCTAGCTGTTACAATGCCTTCTCCCGCGTCGACATGCGTGTACACGCTCCCTTCCCCGGCTCCGTAGAGAGCTATTGCGTTGACGAGCGGGGCGAAAAACGAAAGGCGACCGACGAACTCTGGCTCGAAACATACCTCTGCAGTGTTCTCCGCGCATACTCGTATGCCGACGATGGAAGCGGCGAGACAATCAGAAAGATCATGGGCGTCCGGCGTTTCAACCCGGTTTCCAGTACCGAGACCGAACACAAATTCCTCAGCGCTGCCGAGCAGCTCTTCTTTAGGGGTACCACTCCCCAGCTGTTCACCCTGCGTACAAGCGATTTACTGACTCTCCTATAATAGGCTGGCAACTTGGGTCCGACTCCGTGGTGCAGGTGCCAAACAATGTCTCTAACCACTTGACAGCCGGCCTCCTAAAGTATTTCTCCACAACAGGACGCCACACTTCCGGTATCAATCTCTTTGAGAAGCTTCGGTCGCAAAACGTTGAAGTGGCTTCGCTCTTGGCAAAAGTGCTCTTCATGGGAAACGAGGAGGTGCAAGGAGTCCGTGTTTTGTACGAGGCCCTCAAGGAATCGCCCATGGATTACGTTATGCTTGATACCCAGGCCGAATTCCTTCTCAAAAAGGCCGAAACTGCCCCAACGCCAGAACTGAGGGAGGAAAGACTACGCATGGCTCTGGGCTGTGCAGACCGAAGTACGATAGCCGCTCCCAGTGAGTTCGGCACGTGGGCAAGACTGGCCCAGGTCTACGTTGCAATGGAGGATTGGGAGAATGCCTTGACCATCCTCAACTCGTGTCCCATGTTCACATACCAGGACAAGGATGCGCCTGTTATGCCAGAACCCAAAGACGTTAACCTACCGACCCTCCCAGAGACCAGGTTGGACGAAATCGACAGCGAGCCAGATTCGAGGTTCTCTGAGCAGGTCGACCCAAGTCTGCTTGGTCTTCGCGCCGCTGCGTATCGGGGAACGTTCAAGCAGGCATACAGCATTCTCACCGAGATGACTGCCAAGATTGGCTGGGATCAGCTTCTCAAGATCAGAAGCAACGTTTTTGTTATGGAAGACGAGTATCGAAACGAGAAGCAGGAGCCCTCTTACCCTGTCAAGCGCAATGCTAGCACCGATGCGCTGCGTGGAAGCCCGGATCATACTACGAATGGCGAAACCGCTCCCAAGGAGGGTGCCGAAACTGAAGAGGTTGAGGACGAAAAGAAGAATGCTACTTTGGCTGCTGAGCAAACGGAAGGCCTGGAGAGACCTCCTAGCGCTATCGACCCAGAGGTAGTCCGCAAGGCCGAAGAAAACGTACGTCTCCAAGCCGATGCTTCCCTTTGGCAGTTTACTCTGGACACGATGCTAACACATGATAGGGTGATAACGAGGATCACTTCTCTCGCCTCAATAACAAGCGTCTATGTGAACGGTGGTTAGACAGCTTGTTCATGGTCCTTTACGAAGATCTTCGCGTATATACCATTTGGCGCACCCAGATGGCTCAGTACAGAGCACAGAGTATGCAGTACAAAAAGTCGGCGGAGGAGTGGGAGATTCTCGGCAGTCTCGCAGAACGCCTACAGCATACGGACGAAGCGGTTGAGGCATACCGGGCGTGCTTGGGTCAGCGCTTCAGCCCCAAGGCTCTCACCGGTATTCTCAAGGTGTTTGAGAAGCAAAAGAGCACACGCGAGAGTGTCGCCGCTCTTATTAGGTTGGTAACTTGGCAGTATCGGTGGTACAGCGAATTCTCACCCGAACTACTACATACCATCCGGACACTCATCGAGGACGAGGGTGCTGTGAAGGTCAGGAGTATCATCCAAGCGACCAACCTGCCACAGAACGTGCTGGACTTGACGCATCACTATGCGGCGTTGTGTGCTACTTTCCGCAGCAGCGGGACCGACGGCTAGGTTGCTGGGGTTTGATGTTGGGGTGCTGCTGATGAAGTGATGGCTGAGAGACGACCATGGCCGTTTACATGTGGTATGGACGTATACATGATGCCTCTGCGTATGGAGAGCAGTCGCGGAGTTGTTCGTATGATAGCGAGTTTTATCATTAATAGAGAATTTGAGCGGCCTGATGAGACAAGATAAGCATTAAGTTCCGGTTGATCCTATCTAGACTCCTAGAGTCTTAGGTCTGTGGACTGTCGAGTGGCGGGAGGACCCCGGCTTATAGCGGTCCCCGTTTTAACTCCGGGGCGATTCCCAGCCCCGGTCATCGGGCCGGGCTACCCGTCCTTCCCGTCTTAGCTATGAGCCTATGACGGGACCTGCGCCAGTTGTCCCCAATCCGCTCCACAGAGCGGCGTCCCCCCACCATCTGGAGTTTGGCCGCCCAGTTCGCGCTTCGACCTTGGAACCTGCAGGAACTTGCATAAAGCTAGGTTGCTCTTCTTTGTTACCCCCGGAGGTGCGGGGCTATGGTACCTTATGGTGCCCATCAACGTCATTACACTACATAGAAGCGTGGGATGGAGAGCCCAAATCCGTCAGAGCCAGCTCGTAAAGTATGTAATACAAACAGGCACCAGAATGATGGAGAAGACTGCATTGGAACGGATAGGAATCGGCTCTCCACCGTTCGTGGGAGGAGAAAGTGGGGGTTGACTAAGAGAGGGGCTCCAAGCCTTATAAATCATGTTGAACTGCCCTTCCAGTCGTCGTTGATTCTCAATCATCCAAACTTTCTGTTGTCTTTCATGTTGCCTGTCTCACGCGCAATCTCCAGAATACCGAGCATCACAAAAACCACCAGACATTTCTTCAGTAAAACAAACACCATGGCTCCTCTGTAAGTACCTCTACTTTGGCGATGAAGTGCCAGGAGGAACCCCTCGAAGCAGCTCACCCAAGCTTACAACTGTCAACAGCAGCAAGACTCACAAGCTCAACACGGGCGACGAGATCCCCGCCGTTGGCCTCGGGACCTGGCAGTCCAAGCCTGGTCAGGTCGAGAAGGCCGTCGAGGCTGCCCTACGTGCCGGCTATACTCACATCGACACCGCGTATGCCTACGGTAACGAGAAGGAGGTTGGCCAAGGCATCAAGGCCTCCGGCGTCCCACGCGAGAAGATCTGGCTTACCACCAAGCTGGACAACGACTGGCACAAGCATGTCGCCGAAGCTATCGATACGTCGCTCAAGAACCTGGACACCCCCTACGTTGACCTCTACCTGATGCACTGGCCCGCCAGTCTTGTCAAGGGAAACACCAAGGAGGTGTACAACGACTGGGACTTTGTGGACACCTGGCGCGAGATGCAGAAGCTGGTTGACACCGGCAAGGTCAAGAACATTGGTGTCAGCAACTTTGGAGTCAAGAACCTAGAGAAGCTTTTGAGCGCCGAGAGCACCAAGGTAAGCTAAGATTGTGCTCTTCCTTTTCAAGTTTCGTTGTGAATTGATGAGGTCCTCACACATATAATTACAGATTGTTCCGGCCGTTAACCAGATTGAACTTCATCCTGGTAACCCATCCCCCCACCTCGTCGAGTATCTGCGCTCGAAGGGCATTCATGCTTCGGCCTATTCGCCCCTCGGTAGCAGCGATTCGCCGCTTTACAAGCTTAACAGCCTCACCAAGCTCGCCGAGTCCAAGGGCAAAACTGTGCAGCAGGTTCTCCTTAGATGGGGTGTCCAGAAGGGCTGGAGTGTGCTGCCTAAGAGCGTCACTGAGGAGCGTATCAAGGCCAACATTGATCTCGAGGGCTGGAGCTTGACCGATGAGGAGATTGCTCAGATTGATGAGGTTCACAAGGAGAACAGCTTCAAGGTCTGCGGCGATGACTGGTTGCCTGTTAAGATCTTCTTCGGTGCTGGTGACAGTGACTAAACGTCGTACACCGTGCAGCCAAGAGGATGCTGGCAAGATATTCCCCCCATAGATGAAAAATAATGAATAATGACATCAGAAAATGCTCGCTCGAGATTAATAACTGGCTATGCTCCGTGACCACACATCTGTGACATCCCTCCCGACCAACCCCGCTAACCCGCTCACATCATTGACTTGGTATGTACCACAAGAGTACGAACTCCACGCCAGACCCTCAGGCCAAGCAAAGACCACAGAGATTTCATCGCCCGATTATAACCCAACAAAGTCCCAAAACGAAGCCAAAGCCAGCCAGGCCTACAGCTTCGCTTTCTCCCTTAGCCCCCTCTCCTCCTCCTCCTCCCTAACCACCTCCGTCACAAACCCCCTCATCCTCCTCGCCAACTCCTCCCCCTCGTCCTCATCCAGATCCTCCCTTTTCCCCCTCCCAAACATGGTACTCGTAAACCTCTCAGCCTCCCTCAGCCCCGGCCTAGGAATGATATGAAAATGCATATGCTCAACAACCTGCGCAGCGGCAATCCCGTTGTTCTGGACCACGTTCCAGTCTTTAATCCCCGTCGCCCGCGTCACCGCTTCCGAGAGGATCCGTAGGTAGCGCCCCAATTCGGCGGCTTCATCGGGAAGCACGTCGGTGAGTTTGGCGGCGTGCCGGCGGGGGCAGAGTAAGAGATGGCCCGGGGAGAGGGGCATGATGTCGAGGAAGGCGATCAGGAGGGGGGTGGAGAGGAGGAGGAAGGTTTGTGGTTGGGGGGAGGTGGAGGTGGAAGGGGGGAAGGGAGAAGGAGGGGAGGTAGGGGGGTAGGGGGGAAAAGTTGAGGAGATGTGGCAGAAGGGACAATTGGGTTGGGTATCGGAGGAGGAGGTGGTGGTGTTACTGGCGCCGGCGCCTGACTTGGAGGCGGGAAGGCTGGGGTCGAAGGTGTTGGCGTCGGGGACGATGGAGCGTGGAGTTGGTGTTGCTGGTGGCTTCTTGTCGGTTGAAAAAGCCATGGCTGCAGTCTGGCGTATGACGTAGTGATGTGTTTGAAGAATTGTATATGTCAAGCCCCGAGTTGAACTTGAACTGAAGAAATACTCAACAGAAATCTCGACAAGTGCTAGAAGTGTAGTTGATCTCACTAAGTAGTGCTGCCGAAAATGATTGTTTGCTGAGTGCGCCCCGTAACCGAAGGACCAATGCGACAGAACGGCAAAATAAAAAGACACAAACAAGAAGAACGCCTTGCTCCGTGACAAATCCGAAAAGGAAACACCAGTAATGACTCTTGTATGATGATTTCAAGCTGATGACCAAATAGTAGCTCAGTGAGATTCGGGACGAAAGGCTCGGGGCGGGATCTTGAAAAGACCCCAAAGCCAAACACAAAGCACCGGGCCCGTTTCCCGTCCCTGTCTCACCTCCGCTTGCCGGCGGGATTCGACCCGGTAGTGTACAGTGAGGCGCCAGGGCTGCCGCAAACAACCTCGGCCTCCAAACTCCGCCGAAAACGTGGGGGAATTGCCTGCCGCGCTGACAGCTACCCACAGTGGAGTGGAGACCTTATATGACAGGGGTAACTTGCACTCGCAAAGTCCGAACGCCGCCTGCTTTTGTCACCCTTTGTCAAAGTCTGGAACTTTCTGCCTCAGCGTCCCGCCTTTTTTTACCTTTTGTTGTTCGCGTCCAGTTAAACTCGCCTGTGTAGGTAGCGCTCCGTCCCTCTCGTCGCAAACCACTCCACCGGTAATTATCCATCATCATCATCAACCGAACGACATCATTGTCGCATTTCGCTATACATCGTATAACAACGTCGTCGCCTCAACACGAATACAATCTTACACGTTACATAACCGTCATCCAATCTATCCGAGCAAACCCAACGACAAATAAACCCAAATTACAAATACCACACCACCCCCAACACAACACAAACAATCAAGATGTCTTCCCGCGAGCAGTACCAAGTCCCCAACTCCCAGGGCTTCACCACCGGCGCCTCCAACAACGACGGCAACAGCGGTGGCAGCAGCGTCATGTGGTACACTTGCGGCGACTGCGCGGTCCGCGTGCCGCTCGAGAAGGGCGCCCCTATCCGTTGCCAGAAGTGCGGTGCGCGTGTTTTGTATAAGGAGCGCACCAAGAGGTACGTTTTCTTGGGCTTACCCTGTAGAAGGTTCTGAGAAGGTGGGAGAGAAAAACATTGTGCTAATAACGGTTTGGGGGGTATAGAATGGTTCAGTTCGAGGCTCGGTAAATGGTTTCTTATTCGACTTTGTTCGACTTGGGGCCAATAAAGGAGGTGTAGAAAAGGGTCGCTCTTCCTCGATGCCGTATCGGGCTGAAGTTTTCATCCTATCTGGACCGGCCGGGATGTCCTGATGCCCAAGGACGGGAGCCGAGTCAGCCTTGGAGGCAACGGGAACATTTGTTGAGGGGAGCTGGGACCGTAGGAGACTCGAACCGTCGATATCTTGGTGTGATTTTGCACCATCAGCGGTGGCTTAGCATGGCCCAGCCTTGAACCTACGGCTTGTTGTGGTCAGAAGAAGGGAGATATCATATTCATCACAATATCATGATGGCGGCGTTCTGGGAAATATCGGTAGACTTGTGGGAATTTATACAAAGAAAGCATTGCTTTTCATCATCGTCATTATCACCTATCACCAGCAAATAGATCCGCTCTGTGATGCTTCTCATTATTGATCATGTTTTTGCCACCTAAAATATTGGTATGGTATCACTCTGAAAACGCCGGTTGTATGCTAATTCTCCCTCCCTCTGAATCACTTTTCTCGCCAGCATTGCTCCATAAATCCTTTCCTTACCAATGGCCAATCTCATCACCTCTGGCTGTGGAGGTACTTTGCAAAACTTGCGTCGGCCAAAACCGAATCATCTTCGCCCTGCATGGCAGCGGCGTACCTCGCCTGCAATCCCTCGCGGTCATACTCGTCGTTGGGGTCGTCACCATATTCCTCGTCGCTGCTCTCCTCGTCCGTGCTCAACGGCTCGGGGGCCTCTTTATCATTGACGTCACCCACTGTGACGTCGCCCGCCGCGTCGCCCATCGACATTCCCTTCATCATTTTGTTGAGTTCCCTCTCCCGAGCCTTCTTCTTGTTCTCTTCCCTTTCTTCACGCCTCCTCTCGAGCTCAGGCTGGTAGTCGCGCTTGAACTCCTCTGCCTTCTCCTGAACCGCGGCAAAGAACTCATCAATGCCCGTCCCGTACAGCGAACTGACGCCCACAACGTTCAGATGTGCGTAAAACTCCTCCAACATCAGACTCATGCTGTTCAACAGCGAGCCCATGTATCCGCTGCCCGTGCCCATGCCATCGCCGCTGCCCTCCGCTCCGCCAAACGCGTTGTTGGTCTCGTCCTCCTGCAGCGCAGCCTGGAACGCATCATAGTCGGTCATCCACTCCTTCGCAAAAGCCGGGTCCTTAACGTCCGACTTGTTGAACACCAGAATCATGGGCAGCTTGGTCTTGTAAAGGATACTGCAGGCGTACAGCATGTTGCTCATGAAGGTCGACGTCGAGCTCGTCCGGGGGGTGTCGATGATGTAGGCGATGACGGTGGGGAAGGATGATGCGAGCGACTCAAGGAGAATCTGGCCCGACGCGGACCAGACGAACACCTCGATCTGACCCGGCGTGTCGACGAGGATGTGCTTGATGGGCGTGTGCGTCGGGTCGTCGGGCTTGGGCGCCGTGCGCTTCTCGAGCAGGCCGAGGACCTGGTCGACTTTGGTGGCGAAGAGGTTCAGCGATGTGAGAATGCCGCCGTTGGGGCCGAGGTTGTACTGCTTCATCACCTCCTTGTAGTTGACCGAGTCGCGGATGTCAATGTTGCTCTCGAAGGGCGAGTGGGTGACTGCTGGGTCGAGGTTGATGACATAAGGGGGCTCCTTCTTTCCGTGGAGATGGGCATTGATTTGTTGCATAAAAGTTGTCTTGCCGGATCCTGGGGAACATGGTCAGCTGGATGATTCCGCTTGCGGTTGGGAAAAGCACAGAACATGAGCATGCGTAGACCTACCTGCCATGCCAACGCAGACGATGGCAACAGGCTGGTCAGCCTTGGCGGCAGACGATGCCGAAGTCGAAGCCATTGTGCAACAGCTATGCACGGGTGTGTGGAAGATTGTTTGGTGATCTCTGTGTTATCTGTCGGATAAAATCAAGGTTGTTGCAGATTTCAGTTTGCGCAGAGATGGTGTTGTGATGAATCTCGGGAAGAAAGTTTCACGGATGTCGTAAGCGGCGGGGTCACTACCGTAAGGATGGTGGTCATAGGTGGTTGCGACGGAGTGAATGTCCGGGGGCCACAGAAGGGCAACACTGCAAGAAAAAAAACAAAAAAGTCCATTGATCGCCTGGCGTAGCGGGCGGAAAGGTTCCATCAAGGCATGAGTGGGGTGAAGGGTAGGTAAGGCTTGGCATTTTGTTTTCCCCAAAGTGAAATGACTGAAACCTCGAATATTGGTCTCTTTTCGTTCTCTCACCCATCCATCTTCCAACTACGTCTTTATGTTCCTCGATATCCAATCCATATCCGGCCGGCTTGCATCTCACCCTTCATTCTGACCAATGTTTGAATAAATCCGTGGGCGACCTGGACCCCATTAGCATGCATATATTGACAGCCCATATGGCATGCTTGACAGCTTCTTGTTCTCAGCCGAGCCGATGTTAATCTACGAATATTACAGCCCTCAACCGCAATAGCTAATCGACCTGGTAACTTTGCGGTCCTGTTATTCAAGCTATACCGTGGTATCATGGGTGCCTGGATATTTTAGGATCTGAACGGCTGGATGGAATAGCACTTGCCGCGGGCAGACAAGCCCCGAAGGCTTCATCGACCTCACAGACTATTGTTCAATGAGGTCTGTCCACTTGTCCAGTTTTCACTAATCCTTTCACGCCTAGCAACGAAGCCGGGTACGGATGCTTTTTGAACGTTTCGCGGAGTCGTCGAGTGGCAATTTGATAATGCTGAACGAGACCGGGATAAGCGATGGGAGAAGAGGCGTCTCACGTCATCTTCGGATAAGGTCAGGAACTATAGGCAGGATGCTGGCGGGGGCTATTCACCAATGCCAATGACCGCTAAACCCATGTTAAGCGTATGGTCGGTGGTCCCGCGCTGGGGAGTGGGCGCAGTCGGTGGCCTCTTATTGCGTCAAAATTCTTTCCCAAATGGTGGGTGATGGGAGCTGCGTCTGTGAAGTAAGCCACAAACGTAATGGCAAGATCCGTCTGTTCGGCACTACCAGGAGGCAGCGTGGCCGGGGACCAAGCGGCCATCCACGAACTGCCCCTCATGATACTCAGCCCTACCAACCTACCGCTTCCACGTTCCATCCATTATACTCCAAGCTGACCCCCAAGATCCCTTTGGATTCTCTCCCTTCCACTTCTTCTCTTGTTTCATCTCTCGTCTCCTACCAGGGCCAGATTCATCATTCGACCTGGGCCAATTTCCAGCGACTCACCAAATCCAGGCTTCGGAGATCGGCTACTGTACTCTGCCAACACCTCTATAGAGGTGTATATAATTTCATTTATCGGTGTTACATATCTGCTCACAGCACCCAATGTCCACCATGTTGCGCAAGAAGGAAGCCTTCACTGTTATCACACCCATCCCGGGCTTCATTCCACGACAGTTGGCCATCGACATCCTTCATTCTCATTCTGAAGTTATTACTCTTAACCCTCTTGTCCTCGACCACAAGCCCATCGCGGCCCCCCAGGATGCAGAAACAGACGAGTATTATGCGACATGGTACGAGATCACCGAACGAGTCACGATTCTGCCTGGAATTGGGAGGATGGGAGCTACAACCATCAAGTTCAACGGCTGCTTTCACGACATGCCATGGGGTCTTCAGACTCATATATACGCCCCCATGAGCGTTGACCTTCGCAACACCTATCGCATCGCCGGTAATCAACCAAACTTTGAGCCTCCAGAGCCACTTGAGATGGGGTTATCAGCTCTTGGGGCACCGTCGGATGGGTTATATCTTCGTGAGGATATTGAGATCAAGTGCAGTCGCACTGTCATGAGCTTTGTCAAGTCGCAAATGAAGAAGGCGGGTGGGGAAATGGTGAGACGCATCATCAAGAAGGCCGAGTTACTGGATGCTGGCGTGCTTCAGGCTATGATCGAGGACGGAAAGCTGAAGACGTTCAACCCGGCCGACAAGAGGAATACAGTCCGACGACCGGCTGTGGCTTCTCCGGGCCCTCAGTTTTCGCCTACATTTGCCAGCTCATCGGCCTCTGGTACACCACCTCAGTCTCCCGGTATTCCCTACCAGATCCCGCGACCGCTATCTGCTACTCCCAGTCAACACCGGTCAAGTACTCCTGGATCCTACCACCGTCCTAACAGCTACGGAAAGGCACCCGCTGCTTTCGGCTATGGAACCCCGAATGGACCACAGGAGCTGTCTGTCACCAACCCTGAACCGGTCTCAAATGGTCCGATTGAGATGCCAGGCGACTTCTACCATGCACCATCAAACCTTCAGCCTCAATCTCTGCCATCTTCCAACCGAAATTCCAGTCAGTCGTACTCGTCCGACCGGCCACAAGCAAGCCCGAACCCATCATTACGCAGCGGGTTCCCGTCTCCCGCTTTGGACAAGAATTTCGGACTACAGACTCACCAGGAAACGTCCGAGGAGCACAGGGAGGAGGCTTTGAAGAAATTAGACCCGCGTATCCCACATCCGTCTCACTACGCTCCGTATAACCCAGCGGATTACGGTCCCGTGGACCCGTTAAAAGTTCCTGGCAACCAGTATGGACACAGTCCACAGGCTCAGCAGCTGTATAAGAACACATACACAAGGTGATGGAACAGGAACGAATTTAACAGGTTTTTTTTTTTTTTTTTTTTTTTTTTTTTTTTTTTCAACGTGGCTTGACATTGGATGATAGACAGGCAGGTGGCAATATCTAGTTTTTTTTTTAATTTTTGTTTTTATTTAAATTATTATTTTTTTTTTCTTTTTGGATCTTCGTATACCCATTCGCTTTTTTCTTTGCTATATTATGTATGATATGTATACAGACATCTAACTTTCTGTGATGATGAACACTTGGACAAGAAAACAAAAAGGGTTGGCGTGCTGGTCTATTGTCAAGGCACTTCAAGGTTCGATAAGATCAGATCAATGTAATTTTTCACTTTGTAAGCGCCAAGTTGACAGAGCATTGTCCCGTAGGCCCAACCAAATATCCTCTGCACCTCTTCCAGGCAGCAAGACTCTAATCGATGTCACACCCGTTCATAACAGCATGTGCGTGATGTGCTAGAAGATCAGATGCAACTGCATACTTGATTGCCAAGAATGCTCTTGATGAAATTACTCTTCCTCTTCTCTCCCGAACGCAATCATTGTGCCGATGGTTGTTGAGAATCGAAATCGAGGATTTTTGAGCGCATATCAACTTGAAATCACGAGTTCGGCTACGTAAAAATGGATCTGGGAGCAGTATCGTGATATCGAGAGTTGGCGGCACAAAAACTGGACTTTCGATTCTTCCTATCCATCGGAGGGTTATCAGTCATCAACACTCTGAAGACTACAAATGGCTTCCGGTGCAGCTAAGCTTAGGCTTCGTTTAGTTATCTTCCCATTGAGTTCACATAAAGCGTGCCA